AGCGGTAATTCAAGTTCGAAAGTTATTCGATCGAGCGGACGCAAAAAACTGTCACGATTAAAAAGAAAAAGTCCGTTATTAACCGAGATTTTTCGGTGGGTGATTTTTAAAACGTTTAGGGAGTCGGCGGTGCGCACCAGCGGTTTGTCCATCGAGGCATGCTCCGGTTTCCTCCCTAACAATTACCGTATCGTTTCTAAGTTTGTTCTTCCATCGATAAGGTTTCCGGGACGTCATTCCGTTGATTGATGGAATCTTTAGCCCTGCTACATTCCGGGACAAATTTATGCCGTTTCCGGTCCCTGAAGTATCGACAGGCGTTATAAAGCGATTGAAAACTTTTTATTTCCGGTAGAACTTTTCACTTCATTCCAACTTTTCATCGCCGAGTCATGTCAAATAAGACGACGAAAGATATTTATTCTTTTGTTTTCTGGACGAAACGGCTGCAGCTCTATCAAGCGTTTAATTAATTTCCACGGATAATTTGTCAAAAATTCCAGACGGCTGGAGTTAATGAGCAACTGCAAGTTTTCGCAAATGTGACACTCCATTAAGAGTTACAAATGAGTGAGTCTCTCGAGTCGAAAATCATTTGATTAGGGACTATGATGAACTTGCTTGGTGGCTATTCTTGAAAAGGAGCTAACGAGGAGAAGTGGATTCTGTGTTATGGTGGGAGAAAAGTGCTGGCTTGGAAAGCTGTTTGGAAATAAGATTGGAATGCAACTTGACGCCTCAGGAAAACTGATCCAATTTCTTTCTTAAAATGTTCTTTTTGTGCTGGTTTGTAAGTAAGAAGGGGAATCGGATATCACTTAGACGTCGATTTCTTACTACCGACAGTTGCTGTTGGAACCTGGGTTCGACGTGGGAGCGGACAAAAAGAAAGCATTCCCACAGGATGAAGTCCTTAAATTATGACAGGAACACGCTTTGTACTCGAACACTGGCACTTACTGAAAAAAATCGCAAACTAAAGTTTTATTTAAGCAGTCACTATTGCTGGTTTCATCAGTTTTAAATCGCCACTTTGTCACAAAGTGCTCAGACAGGTGGAGCAAGCGCCAATTTTCTGATAGACCGCAAATGAAAAGCCTGCTGGTTTGAAGGCATAAAAGGCGCCAACTTCGCTTCAGTGAAGTGGAATGGATTAATTTGACCTTCTAGGGGCGCTAGCCTGTTATCAGATAAATGTCCCCGGTCTTGCGTCAATAAAAAATTTACTTTGAAGCACGATTAAATTAATCACATTTACCTTACTTCATTACAAACAGACGAATTATGGTTAGCATTTTATTATTTACACCATATGTTGATGATACAGAAAAATTTCACAATAATCGGTCCAGTAGTTTCGGAAATTATCAATTTAATGCAAACACTAACGACGGACAATTGAAAATGTGAGACCTATATTTTCATTTAAAACAAACGCTGACAAGTCGAGAAAACATGAAATTAACATTGTTGGACCATCATTTGCAACGCTTACCTCAAAATTGATGATGTCATCGGTGACAGGCCAATACAGTGTGCACTTATTTAATGCCACCCTAAGGGATCACGAGATTCTTTGCAATTCTCAAAAAAAAGACATTTGGACATACCGAGATTCTTAAAACTTATCCACATAAAAAAAACACCGGGGAACCCCGACATTCTTTCGCATTTTAGAAAAGATAATACTAGGGAACCAGGAGATTCTAAAAGCTTCTTTTAGAAAAAAACACTAGGGGTCCCCTAGATTTTTTCGCATTTTAGAAACAGATAATAACTACTAGGGAATCAATAGGTTTTAAAAGCTTATTTTAGAAAAAAAACACTAAGGGACCCCGAGATTCTCAAAGCTTCTTTTAAAAAAAACATTAGGGGATCCTGAGATTCTTTCGCTTAAAAAAAGTAGTAGTAGACTACAAGATTCTTTCTCCTTCTCGAAAAAAAAAAACACTAGGGAACCCCAAGATTCTTTCAATGTCCCTACAAAAAAGACACTTGGAAACCCAAGATTCTTTCGCATTTTAGAAAACATAATACTAACGAACCAAGAGATTCTAAAAGCTTCTTTTAGGAAAAAAAACACTAGGGGTCCCCGAGATTCTTTCGCATTTTAGAAAAGAAATCATTCTAGGGTACCAAGAGACTTTTAAATCTTCTTTTAGAAAAAAAGGACCAAGGTACCATGAGATTCTTTCACATTTTATAAACAAATAATACTAGAAGACCAAGAGATTAAGAGATTCTAAAGACCTCCTGAAAAAAACACTAGGGGACCCCGAGATTCTTTCAACTTCCCTAAAAAAGAGACATTTGGGGACCCGAAATTCTTTCACATTTTAGAAAAAATAATACTAGGGAGCCGAGATATTCTAAAAGATTCTTTTAGAAAAAAACACAAGGGGACCCCGAGATTCTTTCACATTTTAGAAAAAATAATACTAGGGAACCAAAATATTCTAAACGCTTCTTCAGAAAAAAAAATCTAGGGTACCAAGAGATTCTTAAAGCTTCTTTTAGAAAAAAAGGACCAAGTTACCCTAACATTCTTTCGCATTTTATAAACAAATAATAATAGAAGACCAAGAGATTAAGAGATTCTAAAGGCTTTCTTAAAAAAAACACTAGGAGATCCAGAGATTCTTTCAACTTCACTAGAAAAAACATAATTTCGGATCCCAAAGGTTCTTAAAGCTTGTCCCTAAAAAAACATTAAAATTCTTAACGCTTCTTTTAGAAAAAAACATTAGGAGACCTCGAGATTCTTTAGCCTTTTTTGAAAAAATAAAACTAGGGGACCAAGTGATTCTTAATGCTTATCTGTACGAAAGTACTAGGGGACCCGAGATTCTTTCGCGTTTTAGAAAAACATTATTTTAGGGGACCGCCAAATTCTTAACGATTCTTTTAGAAAAAACATTTGGGGACCTCGAGATTCTTTCGCGTTTTAGAAAAAAAATAATTCTAGGGGACCAAGAGATTCTCAAAGCTTCTTTTAGAAAAAAACACCAGAGGATCCCTAGATTGTTTCCCGTTTTAGAAAAAAAAAATAATTCTTTCGCATTTAAAAAAAGGCACCAAGAGACCCCAAAATTTTTTCAATGTTCCTACAAAAAAGACACTTAGGGACCCGAGATTCTTTGGCATTTTAGAACAAATAATACTAGGGAAACAAAAGATTCTAGAAGCTTCTATTAGAAAAAAACACTAGGGAACACAGAGATTCTTTCGCATTTTAGAAACAAATAACACTAGAGGACCAATAGATTCTAACTTCAGAAAAAACACACTAGGGGACCCCGAAATTCTTTCAAATTCCCCAAAAAGAGACACTTGGGGATCTCGAGATTCTTAAAACTTGTCCATAAAAAACACTAGGAGACTCCGAGTTTCTTTCCGGTTTTAGAAAGAAAAATAATTCTAGGGGATTAAGAGATTCTTAAAGTTTCTTTTAGAAAATAGTACTAGGGTACCCCGAGTTCTTTCGTATTTTAGAAACAAATAATACTAGAGGACCAAGAGATTAACAGATTCTAAAGGCTTACTTTAAAAAAAACACTAAGGGACCCCGAGATTATTGCAACCTCCCCAAAAAAAAAATTACTTGGATACACCAGAGGATCACTAGATTGCTTCGTATTTTAGAAAACAATAATACTATTGAACCCCGAGATCTTAAATCTTGTCCATAAAACTATAAAAATACACTAGGAAATCTCGAGATTCTTTCGCGTTTTAGAAAGATATAAAACTAGGGAACCAAGAGATTCTAAAACTTATCTGTACGAAAGTACTAAGGTACCTGTGATTCTTTCGCGTTTTAGAAAAAAAAAATTCTAGGGGACCAAGAGATTCTCAAAGCTTCTTTTAGAAAAAAACACTACGGAACCCCGAGATTCTTAAAGCTTATCCATAAAAAACACCAGAAGATCCCTAGATTGTTTCGCGTTTTAGAAAAAAAATAATTCTTTCGCATTTAAAAAAAGGCACTAGGGGACCCGAGATTCTTTCGCATTTTAGAAAAAATAATACTAGGGAAACAAAAGATTCTAGAAGCTTCTATTAGAAAAAAACACTAGGGAATACAGAGATTCTTTCGCATTTTAGAAACAAATAGTACTAGAGGACCAATAAATTCTAACTTCAGAAAAAAACACAATAGGGTACTCCGAAATTTTTTCAAATTCCCCAAATAAGAGACACTTGGGTATCCCGAGATTCTTAAAGCTTGTCCATAAAAAACACTACGAGACCCCGAGTTTCTTTCGCGTTTTAGAAAGAAAAATAATTCTAGGGGATTAAGAGATTCGTAAAGCTTCTTTTAGAAAAAAGCACTAGGAGACCCCGAGATTATTTCAACCTTCCCAAAAAAAATACTTGGGTACACCAGAGGATCCCTAGATTGCTTCGCGTTTTAGAAAAAAATAATACTATTGAACCCCGAGATCTTAAATCTTCTTTCAAAAAAAGACATTAGAGGATCTCCAGATTCTTTCAACTTCTCTAAAAAAAAGACACTTGGGAATCCCGAGATTCTTCAAGCTTGTCCATAAAGCTATAAAAATATACTAGGAAACCTTGAGATTCTTTCGCGTTTTACAAAGATATAAAACTAGGGGATCAAGAGATTCTAAAACTTATCTGTACGAAAGTACTAGGGGACCCGCGATTCTTTCGCGTTTTAGAAAAAAAATAATTCTAGCCCACCAAGAATTTCAATTTCTATATCTAGAACTGAACTTTCGACAAATATTCTCTGGTCGGAACTGCTTCGGATCCTGGGGAGGCGGCGAAGCTGAAACGGGGATCAAACGGAGACGGTACACGGAAAGAAGGGGGCGGTTATAACGGAACGGTCTCTAGATTCATTACGGTGTGGAACTAACTTTTAGTATTTGTAAAGAAAAAATATTAAAACAAAGATACTAGACGAGAATAAATTTACAAAGAAGGAATGGGGGTCTAAATGGTTATTGATTATATTTATTGTGATTATTTTGCAGGGCGGCCGGTGTCCTGGGCCCTCCTCGCCCCGTCCATTACGCCGAAGAGGTCTTCAGAAGGGGCCAACAACCCCGGCTTAAGGATATACAAATTCGACAAAGACACGGGCCAGGTAATTCCGTCCACAATCTCAATCTGAGGCTGCTGCAAATCTTAATTAGATTTGACGACGTTATCCTGTGAAGCCCCGGACGAAGCAGGGACGCCGAAAAAACATGAAATATTCATACATTATCATGCCGAGGACACAGGTGCCTCCATTATTCAAAATTAAGAACCAAGTACTTTATCTAAATGTGTATTTGCATAATGGCCGGCACATACACTAAAGATAGTACCTCAATTATGCCGCGAGATGAATAGAATTAGCCTTAAAGTAGCACAACGGTCTGAATATTTTAAACATACACCCCTTGTGTTGTGTTGTACGTACATCGGTGTGGAAGGAAATTAGAAAGGGAAATACGTCGTCTCTATAATACGCTTTAATTAACTACTCTCTTGTATTCGTTACGACTGATATTTGAACTGCATGTACTTTTAAAGTCGACAAAGCCCTAGCTGGAAATTAAATATTGAAGGTTCGGAACGAAGTTTTCTCGCGTTTCTAGAATTTTCATTTTTAACAAGAAAGTTTATCGGCGCGATTCTTTGTTAAACCAGTTCTTTACCAACTTTTATGAATAATCCATAAAAAGGTCGGGGTCTTACGGGCATATCCGCTTCGCCATCGGCGGATGGATCATCTGCTGCTGCGTTATTAAAAAGGTGAAAGCGCCCAAAGAATCCACAAAAATTGCTACACACAAACATTAAGGTCACACCCCAGTTTTGAAAAACGACACACTAATCGCCGACCTAATTCGATAAAATTGTGTATAATAACAATACAGTAATGATTATTTTATCCCCTCTCCCCCGTAGGATTCTCGGTCATGTTTATTGTCCGCCGAGCTTCAAGTTGTAATTCTTCATCCGTTTTATTGCACGTAAAATTTTCTCGGAGCTTTAATTAAAATGTCCGTGATCGGTCCGGCGTGCACTTTTAAAACATTATATTTTAGTTGCTGTTTACGAGGCATTGTCAAAGTTTTATGGCTCTAGATAAGGGCACGACAGTAGTTCCACATTATTTTATACAAGCGTGAATTAAAGTGTGTAAAATGTAAAGTTACGGTTTTATGAGGAAAGTTGGAGTTCGTAAATTGGATTTAAAAATGTTTTACGGACTTGTCTTGCAGCGGAAGACTCATTCTGGGCTGTTTTCTTGGCGCCGATGTGTACGCCGTATTAACTCTATCGACGGTTGTTTTCGGAGAAATTGGAGCACAAAATTGACTCTTTTCATTGGAAATTTGCGAAGTTATTTGATCTCTGATATATCATTGGAGACAAATGTAGTAAGATAATTGGATTTTTGTATTGAGTAATCTGGAACTGACATGAAACAAAAATAAATTTAAAATTCGGTTAAAAAATGAACGAATTTTAAATGATGAAGTGTATCTAGCGCTTCGTGTCAATACCGAACGAAAGATTACACAGGTTTAAAACGTGCAATTTCCTAACCTCCAGCGAATGAGTTTAAAAAAGCATAAAATACGTGAGAATTCCATCGTCTTCAGATGTCTGGCATTTATAGCCCCAAGGTATTCCACGGATCAATAAGAAAATTGCCCGTAACTTTGGCATGATAAGTGAACAGAGCAAACCCTTATCGATAGTGTTATAGAAAACACAAGTTTAGTTCTTGTTTTATGGCTTAAAACGCGTAAAAAAGTGTCTCGGGAACGGGATAGATTTTAGTGCTTCTAAATAAAGTCATACCTCGTAAAACATCAAGTCAGACCTTTGCCGTACCGACCTATCAAGCAACATCAGGCCGTAATAAAATAGTGCCCTGTCGAATATGCAGGAAATAATCCAAAAGGGAAAAAAGAGCGCTTTTTGCGTCTGCCGTCGTCTGCATAATGCATGATCTCCGAAATTCCGTCGTTTATATCGATTGTAGACGCAGCGACGACACTTGTAAAATTCCTTCGTCGTTTCTATTATTCAAGATGAAATAGTTTTGGATTTTTCGCTTCCGGGGTACGCTCTATTTAGCCGCCGCCGGACTTCCGGTTATCGACGGATGATAATAAAACCCAATCGGAGCAGAAGATGCATTTTTCATGAACACAACGCGAGCTCGTTTTTCGCGGATGACGTCACGGTTGTTACCGGTATACATTTTTTATGTTGGGAGAATTTGCTCCACGACGTTGTTATTAATAACCGACATTTCAGTATCATCTATAAAATAAACTGCCGACGAGTCATCAAAAGTGATAAAATTCATCCGACGTCCGCCATTAGTGCGCTTCTGCGATCATTATCTGTGAAAAAATAAATAGCTGCGATTTTTCTTCGTTCTACTTTTATTTTGTACGTAATGGAGGAGCGACGACGATCCGCTTTGTTTGTGGCTTTGACTGTTACCGAATTGAATTTCACTTTGCATTAATTAAATTTGGCTGCATTCCAGGTATTGGACTACACTCAGTACTATCTGGACCTGTCTCAAGCCAATTCGAAATCCAAAGGTGAAGCGAACTGGTCGATAGAATACACTTTTAGCTCGTATTATGGGATAAGCGAGATAACACCAAACACTTTGCACCAGCTGGCGGACAAATTGACGGCGGTGAACCACAACACATTCTTTGACAGGTAAAACGCCATCAATGCTTCTTTATGCTTTGGAACGGAACTTCCGCTTGAAGTTTGCTCTGATTTCCAGGTCTTTCAGAAACTACTCGAAGGGTGTAACTGAGCGAGCGGGGTGCGTGACACACTTCATTCTGGTTTCCGTCTGTCTGTCTGTCCGTCTGCCGTCCCGATTTTTAAAATTTCTCTAGTCATCCCCACCAATAATGTAATGACGTCACTTCAAAATTGTACATACTAAACGGGTTTTAAATTGTATGTAGTTTATAATTCCGTATTGAGTTTTTACCCGAAACGTCCAAATTATTAAACAACATTTTGAAAAGCATGATAAATGTTTACTCAAAATATATTTACTTATCCCCCCTCCCAAAATTGACGACGTTATCTCAAAATTTTGCCGAATAAATTCTACCCAAAATGTGCAAAATATGATGAAGTTTTACTTGTGATTGACTCACTCCATTTTCCCAGAAAACTGGGAATACTATACTGTTATTTTTCAATTTCTATTATAAACTAAATAAAACAAGTCAGTGAAATGGAGAAAGAAGGTGGACGGAGCTAAATTTTGATTTTTGGTTTGATGAGCAAGCAGTAGCCCCGCCCACCCACCCCTTCTTCGTTCCAGTGACTACTCTTAATATTGTTCATTCCTAGCTTAGCAAGTTTTAGCCCTACCCACCCACCCTTTTTTTCTTGGAAGATATGTCATTTACCAAAATCAGTCTTATCTTAGCAGATATTTGCTCCGCCCATTCTAACGATTTTATCTCTTTTCAATTGAGATCCACTTTTCAATCGGACTAGACTAAATGAATCACTGAAATGGAGGTAGGGAAGAACGTATATTTAACCCCGCCCACCCACCCCGCCTCTATTTCAGTGACTAGTTTTATTTTCCTTCAATGAAAGATGCATCTTAGGCTGAACAAAAATAAAATTTGTCGTTACAATGAGAACAGGGTGGGTGGGCGGGGCTAGTACTTGCTAAGATAAGGCTGATTTTGGCAGATAGTTTATTAGCGAATGACATACTCTCTAAGAGAATAGAGGTGTTCCATTTAAAAAACACCCTGTATACAACCTTCTCAGAGGCTCTGTTTTTAAGGAGGAAGAATGTGTACCTTCTCGGGGACCCAAGTCTGTTTTCTACATAGATGAAACCTTCACGGGGGTCCCAAATGCATTTTTTTCAAGAAAGTGAAACCTTCTCAAGTACCCCAACTGTTTTTTTAAGAATGTGAAACCTTCACGGGAGTTCCAAATGTTTTATTTTTAAAGAGACGAAACCTTCTTGGGGCCCCAACTGTATCTTTAAGGAGCTGAAACCTTCTCAAGGGATATTTTTTCAAGGAGGAATAATGAGAAACGAGGCGAAACCTTCTCGGGGGTTCCAATTGTACTTTTAAGAAGATGAAGCCTTCTCAGGGTCTCTTTTTTTAAGGAGGAAAAATGTGAAACCTTCTCAAAGGCCCTCAGCTGTGTTTTTAAGAAGGTGAGACTTTTTCAAGGACTCTTTATTTTAAGAAGGAAGAATGTGAAACCTTCTCGGGGGCTTCAACAGTATTTTTAGAAAGGTTAAACCTTCTCAAAGGCTCCTTTTTAAGGAGGAAAATTGTGTACCTCCTCAGGGAACCAAATCTGTTTTCTACATATATGAAACCTTAACGGGGGTCCCAAATGTCTTTTTTTTCAAGAAAGTGAAACCTTCTCAAGTACCGCAACTGTTTTTTTAAGAATGTGAAACCTTCTCGGGGGTTTCAAATGTTTTATTTTTTGAGAGACTAAACCTTCTTGGGGCCCCCAACTGTATCTTTAAGGAGGTGAAACCTTCTCAGGGGATATCCTTTCAAGGAGGAATAATGTGAAACTTGCTCAGGGGTCCAAAATGTTTTATTTTTAACGAGGTCAAACCTTCTCGGGGGCTCCAATTGTATTTTTAAGAAGATGAAGCCTTCTCAGGGTCTCTTTTTTTAGGAGGAAAAATGTGAAACCTTCTCAAGGGCCCTCAGCTGTGTTTTTAAGAAGGTGAAACTTTTTCAAGGGCCCTTTATTTTAAAAAGGAAGAATGTGAAAACTTCTCGGGGGCTCCAACTGTATTTTTAGGAAGGTTAAACCTTCTCAAAGGCTCTTTTTAAGGAGGAAGAATGTGTACCTTCTCGGGGGCCCAAATCTGTTTTCTACATATATGAAACCTTCACGGGGGTCCCAAATGCCTTTTTTTCAAGAAAGTGAAACCTTCTCAAGTACCCCAACTGTTTTTTTAAGAATGTTAGACCTTCTCGAGATTTCCAAATGTTTTATTTTTAAAGAGACGAAACCTTCTTGGAGCCCCCAACTGTATCTTTAAAGAGGTGAAACCTTAACAATTAAGCTCCTCCCCTCGGTCTGGCGACGAATGGAAACTTCATCATAATTGAGTTGCGGTGGGTGGGATTTTTTTTCGCTAACATAATAATAGTTTTTTTTCAATAACACGATCCTTAAAACACGTTTAAAATGGTCAATTTTTGTCGGGAAATAATCGATTTTGCAGTTAAGCTTCGCCCGTTGGCCTGACAAACAAAAAATAAATCATCATCATTGAGATGGGGGCGGGTGGGCGGGGTTTATATTTTGAGTTCTTTTTCTAATATACGTAGTCTTCATTTCACTTCAAGTTACTCACAATATGTATTTTTGTAAAGAAAAATCCATTTTACAATTTTGCTGCGCCCCTCGCTCTAGCGACGAATGAAGAATTCATCACAACTAAGATTAGGACGGGTGGGTGGGGCTTGTAATTTACTTGAAGCATGATTGAGACGGGTATAAGACGGACTTAATAATATAATTCACATAGTTTTCTTTCAACAGCACGATTACGCAAGAACATGTAGAAAAATAAAAATTTGTATCCACATCTGTCAAAATATTTACCAAAGTTTATTATTATAGTCAACCGAATTATCAAGGTTTCAAACCAGTTTGTCACCTACCTACTTTCCAAGATAAATCGTAAAATTTTGTTATCCATTTTTGACACATTCTAAGCCAGAATTCGTCGACAAAATTGTGAAATGACGTCATCAGTTTTTGGATGAGGTAAATAAATAAAATTTTATTAATATTCAGTAATCACTAAACCGATGTGAGTATTTTACCAGACATTTTAAAGATCTATAATTTGGTGTCTCCGATAAATGGTTCCAACTTAAACCAGTAAACGTATTCTCTGTTGCTTTCGGTTGCCACCACCGCCACCACCGATCGGTCAACAGCCAGGATTTCGCCAAAGGCTCCCCACCTGAGCACGCTCTCAGTGCCCAGGTGGGGCACCGCTACTTTACACTGACTCTGAGACATGTGTCTTAAGTGGGGGCTATTAATTAACACTGCATTAAAAATTCGTATTATAAAACGTGTCGCGAGCTCCGCTCGCCCTGCTAGACTGGCTGCGTTCCACAATATTTTCCTCAATTTTGTGCTGCATTTTTTTTTACTTCCAGATACTACACAGCAAATTCTGTCAAACTCTACAGCAACCCCCACCAGAGCTGCGATGCCAACTGTGCGCACAACCACTACTGTGCTATAACGCGTGTGGATTACGAAGAATTCGCACACTGTTTGAAGACTGCAGCAAGTGCTCTCGCTTCTTCTTCCTTTTTGGTTCCAGTCCCCAACCTGTCTCTAATCGTACTCATTTCAATTCTTGTGATCATCAAAGTGTGATAGACTCGTTAAACATAGGCGATTAAGTAAATAAAAGTGTAAAAATTATCGTAAAGCTGTGCAACCTGTTTTTGAGTCTCTTTTAGTAAAAATTGGTAACATTCCGTTTCGCTGAGGATTTCTGGTGCTACCTTTGCTCATTGAAAAATCAGACACCGTAAACTACTTGGATTTTTTCTTGTACCAGCCTACTGAAACGGACTCAAGACTATGTAAATTTGAACTAAATTAGAATTTATGGAATTGGTACTATTAAATTTTATGGATGAGCGGATGCACTATTTATCTAAAATATTTTTATATCGATGCAGTGTAAATATATAAAACGTATAAAACGCAAAGGTATAAATGCATCTAACATCAAATTGTAATATAAAGCTTTTTATGTGACGTTTTTAAAGGGACAACTTTCGGTGCGACCCTCCTCTAAAAAAACGTTTTTGAATCAAGCTAAAGCCGCGCCGTTTTTAAAAATACCCCATAAATAATCTGTGTTTCCGTGGTTTAAAAACTAATCCTTGTTACCCTCTCAAAACAGAGTTTATATTTACGAGAATCCTGCCAGGATGTGTAAGGATTAAAATTGCAAGATGTGTTCTTGTGTGATAACGTACTACAATTTAGGTAAACGATTTCATGTATTTTTATATCATTTAAACGTTCTAAAATGTATATAACGATGTAAGGATTGTTGGATGCGACAAAACTGACCAAAATTTGCTATTATATAGCACCACTATTATAGCTGTCTACTATATTATATATCCTTGACTCAATAATTGTTATGAATTTTATTAAACCTACTATATGTACTCGACATTGGTGTGCCTGCGCAGCCCCGGCGTTTCGTACTTCTTAAATACTCATCATCATCATCATCAGTCTCGTTCTTGAAGGCACACCCTCTTATACTCTATCACGTGACAGCGCATACCCGTCACGTGGTACCGTATACAACTTTATGTTCCCCAAACTTATAATAACTGTCCTTACTGTATGTTAATGAAACGATGTTTTGATACTGTGACCATTTTTATGCTTTTAAAAGAAATGTAATTATACCGATGCCACTGTGAATACTTGAACTAATTGTTGTACGTAGTTGTTAATCTGATGTGTTAATTGTTTTGTATTTTTTATTATAAAATTTTATTTCTAATCTGATAAATAAAGATGAAATTATTAATTATCATTTCAGTCACTACAAAACTACTAAATGTTGCACCTCCGAAACGCTTCGTCCGCCACAATACTCCCAAACACCGTCGACTCCTTGCTCTTCATATCCTGCAAACAACCACAACTCCAAGGATTCTTGTCGATGAAATTCGTCGAAAAAGGTCCAGCCAATTCGTCCCTCAAACACCTAAATCTATTATGCGAGATATCCAAAACGTTCACTTTCACACCTTTCAACCAGTTCCGTTCCAAACTCTCAAGCCGATTGAACGCCAAACTCAAAAAATCCAGTCTTTTCGTGTTCCCAAACGCGTCACCGCTGACTTCTCTTATCTGATTATGACTTAAATCAATTCTTGGTGCGTTGAGTTTTTCCATTTGGAAAGCAAACTCAGGAACTTGCTCGATCAGGTTATGTTGAAAGTTGAGTTTAATCAACTTTGGAGTATGCCTAAACCAGAAAGGATTAATTCGTGGCAGTTTATTGTGGTCGAGATGGATACTCTTCAACGTCATATTATCAAAAGCGTGATAATCAATATACGCTATCAAATTATAACTTAATATCAAAACCGGAACTTGGACGTCGTTGAAAACTCCTCTTCGGATTTCTTTGATATTATTCGACTGTAGTGACAAGGCTTCTTTAAGCTTCACATTTTTGAAAGCTCCGGGTTCTATTTCTTCTATGTTGTCGTTTTCGAGGAAAAGGTAATTCGCGTTGGTGATATCTGATAAAGAATCTTGATATAAAGTGTGGATGGTGGCATACTGAATAGCAATTTTGAAACAGTCGGTGCTTGGAAGGTGCGGCTTGAGTTTGTTGGTAGTGACAATGGTTCCAAAGGGAATGTCGTCGTCTAATGGTTGTTCACTATCACAAGTTACCATAACATTTCTAAAGGTGAGTTGTGACACCGCTGGACTTGCAAAAGCACAGAGAATCACTAGTGTGACGAACATTTTAACTTTGTGAAAACTGTGTCAGCGTGTTTCTGTGTTTTATATTAAATTTATCAGGCTTGGGTGACATGATAACCTTGAAATCAGTGGAAAACACGTGCTGGCATTCTAGAAGTTGCGTGGATTCGTTGTTACTCTAAACTATGTTGACACGAATTTATTAACAGATAAGTTTGTTTGCAAAATATTGGAAATATTTAAATTGTTTTTATTTTGATAAGTATATACATTGGGGATACAGACAATATTAGTCAACACTTAATTTAAAAATTTCAAGGGAACTCCCCCGTGCTGTTGCAACTCCTCACAGAACTCCTCATGCTCACACGAACCTTCTTCTCAAAAACCCACTTCGCAATTTTCAAAAGACACTCACAGTTCCACGGATTGTTGTCAATTCTCGTCCGCCCGGCCACAAAGAAGTGCTCAAAATCCCCGTCTAAACACTCTAGTTGGTTTCTCGAAATATCAAAAACTTTAATATCGACACCTTTGATTAAACTCTCCTCCCACTTTTCGATGTGGTTGTCGCTTAACCACAACTGCCCCACTTTCCTGACACCAGAAGCAAACATGTTTTGAGACACATTCTGGATTCTGTTGTTGCTGAAGTCGATGTCGTTGTGGTAGTGCTCAAGAGTTCCATCAGGTAGCTGCGAGATCTCGTTGTAAGTGAGAATGACGGAAGTGAGAACAGCTTTATCTTTCAGCCATTCTGGATAAAAATCTCTAATTCTGTTGTAGCTCAAATCTAAAACTTCCAGTTTCGGTAGTTGATCGAACGCTTTCTCCGATACTACTTCGATGGAGTTGTGGTCCAAGTTGAGAAACACCAGACTCAAGTTACTGAAAACCCCTTCTCGTATCTCTGTGAGTTTGTTCCCGTTGAGTCTTAAAACTTCCAACAGAGGCACGTTTTTGAACGCCCCTGGTTCGATGTTCTCGATGCCGTTTTGGCGGAGTTGCAAGATCTTGAGTTGTGGGAAATCTGAGATTGAGTCCTCGTAGATTGTGGGTATTGTGGATTTGTCGAGCACGGTGATTCGAGATATTTTTGTTGTTTCTAGTGCGTCTTTGAGACTATCTATTGAATCGATGTCAACATTGAATACTTCGTAATCTTCTGTTTGGTATTGAACTTTGACATCGCGAAAAGTTACGTTTTGTGATAAAACACCAGAACTGAGTAGGGCGGTGAGAGAAAACAACGATAAACTCGTCAACATTGTGTTCTACGAATGAGGTGGCTTAATTTGTCGATGATTTATATAAAAATTCAAAAGAGAAAAACAACAGTGGTATTGTTGGATGATAAGTGTTATCAGCTTTGATTGGACGCTAAAACGCATTAATCGTTTCGATAACCGCTGCAGTTAGTAAACAATATTTGCATGTGCATGACTGTACAGATAAGCGATGTGTGGAATAAGTGAAACATTTTTTAACATGGAAAGATTGTACTTTGACTTTACTTGGTTGTTCCGAAAATAACGCTTACATTGTATCATTCTGGTAATAAAACGAACCAGTGGGTAAGGTGGTAACCTCGACCTAGAAAATCCTCCTTGAACTACGACATCATATCAGTTCGTTAATTTCAAACGAAAAAAATTTCCTTGATAAATTCACTCTAGACACATAGTTTTAGATACAATCTCTAGATGGACACCTTGTAAATGTAGTAATTGGTTTTTAAATTGTATAAAATGACACATGTAGTGTTGAGTTTTTTTTTTTTAAACAATCAAAATTTCAAAACAACATTTTGCAATTTAACTTTGATGTTTTAAAGTTAATCATAAGCATGGTAAATTTTTCGTCAAAATGTATTTGCTCATCCCCCCTAACAAGTTGATCACCGCAAAATATTGCTTAAATGTGTAAAATATGATGTTGATGAGCCTACACTTGTGAGTTATCACTGCATTAATATTTTTACAGGGTGTCTCAAAAAATTAATGTCAATTTATGTTATTGATTAAATCAAGAATTGCACAACTGAATACTTTCAGATCTTGCAGACGTTTTAAAGTTATTGTAAGCATAGTAAATTGCTAATCAGAATATATCTGTAATACAAAAAAATGAGAGAATGGGTGGGTGGGGGGGGGGCTAAGTTTAACTTTTTCCTGCAGAGATATTCATAAGCAAGCAATAAACTTATCTTAGCAATTACTAGCCCCGCCCACTCACTGTAACAATTTTATCTCTCTTCAATTGAGACCTACCTTTCATTCGAACTACTTAGACAAAATGAATCACTGAAATAGGGGCCCTTTGAATCATATGTTTTTTTTGTAAAGTGAGAATGAGAACTAATAGAACGTACGCTGTTAAAAAATCATTTATTTCTTATTTCTGAAGACAAAAAATAGAGAACGGGTGGGTGGGTGGGGCTAAGTTTAACTTTTTCATGCAGAATCTTCTATAAGTAAGCAATAACCCCGCCCACCCATCCCCTCTTCATTTCAGCGATTACTCTTAATATTGTTCAGTCCTATCTTAGCAAGTTTTGGCCCCACCCACCCACCCTTTCGTTCTTAGGGGATACGTGGTTTGCCAAAATCAATCTTTTCTTAACAAGTACTAGCCCCGCCCACCCGCCATCTCTTTTCTTAGAATGTATGTCGTTTTCCACTGTCAGTCTTATCTTAGCACGTATTAGCCCCTCCCACCCACCCTTTATTTTCTTAGAAAGTACGTCATTTACCAAAATCAATCTTATCTTAGCAGTTACTAGCCCCGCCCACACATACTGTTGTAGGTACTACTTATTTGCTATAATATTCATTTCTTATTTCTGAAGACAAAAAATAGAGAAAAATAGAGAAAAATCAATATTATCTTAGCAGATACTAGCTCCACCCACATACGTTCTTCTTATTCTACCGATTTTATCTCTTTTCATTTGAGATTCTCTTTTATTTATTTATTTATTTATTTATTTATTTATTTATTTATTTATTTAATACAAAGTAATCCCACAGGCATTAGCCCAATTATTGGATTACATCACTAATAGGTAGGTAAACAGTAATAGTAATAATAACGATGAACAGCGCAAAATAGATAGTAAATACTCAATTAAATTTCCATAATTTCAAAGATAAGCTTAATCTCACTAATGCTAGTAAAAAAAATGTCGATTTTGTGACCAATAAAGGAGTAGTTCCTAACAGCCTGATAAAGAGGGGAGGCCTTCATGATGTTAGTTCTCGGTGCTGCGATTTCAAATAGATTAGTATTCCGAAAACGTGCTGTTACTGTCCGAAACTTTAACATACTCAGTAACTGTGGGCAATCTATGTAGGAACGCACTAAATAAACCAGCATTAAAACAGAGTCCACCATTCTTCTTCTCTGAAGACTGTGTAATTCAAACCTTTTTAGAAGTAGGTCATGTGGAAAACCTTGATTCGGATAAACCCCATCAATCCTGTAGGCAAGGTATTTTAGGAAACGCCTTTGAATTTTTTCGATGTTAGAAACATGAATGTCATAAATAGGGCTCCAGATTCTAGATGCGTACTCCAACTTGGATCTTACGAAAGCAAGATACAAACCTTTTAATGCAACAATATCGTCGATTTCTTTTGAGTGTCGAATGACAAATCCTAACGATTTAAATGCCTTAGCAGTAATTATGTTAATGTGATCAACAAAATTCAATTTTGTATTAAACGTAACTCCCAAGTCACGAATTAAAGATTTACGTTTTATGACATTATTGTCAAAACAGTAATCGTAATGAGTGTTGTTGATAATTTTGGAAAAGGACATTACATAACACTTATCACCATTAATGCAAAAGAAATTCTCCTGGCACCAATTAGAAATAATGTCAAGATTATTCTGAAGCCTGTCACAATCTTCGAACAACTTAATCTCTACAAAAATTTTCAAATCATCAGCAAACATTAAACAGTCGAATGTTAAGTACTTCGTTATATCATTGATATACATATTAAAAAGCAGAGGACCCAAAACAGAGCCCTGAGGAACACCTGAAGTTTGAGCATAAGAGTAAGAGTCGAAACCATTTAATGAAACATACTGAGATCTACCAAATAAGTACGATTTAATTAAGGCGATAAGAGAGTCTGATAATCCAAAGCTTGAGAGTTTACGGAGCAATGTATGGTGGTCAATGCGGTCAAAGGCCTTAGAAAAATCTATATAAATACAGTCAACTTGCCCTCGTCGATCTAAAACTTCAGATATAAATTGAGAAAATATTGTGAGATTAGTGACTGTCGACCGACCTTTCATGAAACCATGCTGCTTAGTTGTTATCATATTGGAGACGTGAGAATAAATAATATGATGGAGAATATATTCAAACACTTTAGCGAAATTGTTAATTATGCTTATAGGACGATAATTAAATATATCAGAACGATTTCCAGCCTTAAAAATAGGTGAGACACGTGAAACCTTCCATAGATCAGGAAATTGTGATGTTTGAAGAATTAAGTTAAAAATCAAAGTCAAGGGTCCGGCAAATAGTATGGCACAGTCCTTTAAAAGAAAAGAGGGTATGGAATCAGGACCAGCAGTCATTGATGGCTTCAATCTCTTTAAAGCTTTCTGAACAACGGATTCACTAAACTGAGATACATGCAGCATATTGATATTTAATGCTGACAAGCCTTGATCACCGATATCTTTATCAGGAGATGTATTATGAATGAATGTTTTGGTAAAGAAATTTGCAAATGAATTAGCAATTTGCAATGGGCTTTCAACGTTGTAGTTATTGTAGGTCATTACGGCCGGGATTGAGATATCGTTATTTTTGGCTTTAAGAAAGTCCCAGAATTTTTTTGGATCAGATTTTATATTTCTACTGACATTTCTAATATAATTAGTGTACGCAATTTTAACCATTTTCTTTATTCTGGCCCTAATTAACTTAAAGTCATTGTAATCCGATTCAGATTTAGTACGCCTGCAGTTTCGCCAAAGTCGATTTTTTCTTTTCAACAAATTAATAATTGTGATGTTATACCATAACGGATATTTATTGGTTCGTCTTTGTTTCATCGGCACATGTTTATTAAAAATTGAAGTAAGATGATCATTCAATTGACTGACTGCAACATTGGGATCTCTAATACCGTTTAAAAAACCAAAGTCTAACTGGCGAATCTCGTCATATAAGAGAAATAAGTTCGCTTTTCTGAAATTATAGATCAAATTTGACTTGACTCCCAAAGGAACGGATTTCAACTTCGAAGTCGACAGAGTAAATTCTAAGGGTGGATGATAAGAATCAATTTTTGTGACAGGAACTTCAGATTTATTAATTTTTAGATATAGATTAGAGATTATAAGATCTAATAATACGTTATTGCAGTTGACTACATCATTGTACTGGCTAAGTTCATAAAAATTCATAAAGTTTAGAAGAGCTGAGACTTCACTATTATCGGTAGCATTGATTTGACTAATTTCATAAAATTCAGGAATATTAAAATCACCGAGTATTATTATTTTAGCATTATAGAGACAATTTAACGTCATTAAACAGTTAAAAAATAAAAGATATTCATCCAGATGACATTATTTTAGGTGGTATATAAACTAAAATCAGGTAAAAGAGTAACCCGACCGTGTCTCCACACTTCATAATTAATATGTCAAAATTTTTTAGCTTACAAAAGTCATCATTAATTGTACAAATATCAATCTGGACAGCATTCAAGTTTTTACGAGTTGCTATCAGTACACCTCCGCCACGTGTTCTAGAAGTTTCGCTAAAGTTACGATCAGCCCTAAAAACATTAAAGTAGTTTGTATCAAAAATTTCACGGTCGTTGACATTCGAACATAACCATGTTTCGGTAAATGCAAAAATATCATGTTCCATACTAATACTAGAAGTTAAAACCTCAATAAGTTTGGTATTCAAACCTCGCACATTTTGATAATAAATATCAATATTTTTAAGACGATGGTGTATTTCTGTACGATGTGCAGGAACGGTCGACTTTGACATTAATTGCTATTCTAAACTTAAGATGTTGTGTTTAAAATCAGAAACAGCTCTTTGATACATACGACAATTCTTTATATCCGAAGCGGCATGATCTGCTGGTAATTTTTCGGACTGGGTAGAATTCTATATAGTACAGTTTATGCAACACAGAGTTTCACTTTTGCACTGATTCAAAGAATGTTCCTGTGAACACCTGGGACAGGTTGGTTTTCGGAATGAACATTGTTTTGATAAGTGATTAAAACCGCAACAATTAAAGTATCTCCGGACCTCCACGGCATCATAAGCCAAACAATAATCAAGACCAACAATAAGGTGACCACTGTGTAAAATACTCTTATATGCCGCATTATCAACTTGGATTAACGCTTGAAACTTCGTCTGATATTTTTTATTACTATTGCTGTCTCTAATCACATTCCTGTTTTCGTTGTTGTCATTGCTTCTATTCGGACTAGACAAAGTGAATCATTGAAACGGAGGCAGGGTGGGTGGGCGGGGTCAATTATGTGTTCTTTTGTAAAATGAAAATGGGAAGTAACATGGAACTAAAAATAGAGAACGGGTGAGTGGGCGGGGCTAAGTTTAACTTTTCCATACAGAATCTTTCATAAGCAAGCAATAACCCCTTCTTCATTCCAGCGATTACTCTTATATTGTTCAGTCATTTACCAAAATATTTAAACAAATACTAGCTATGCTCACTGGCCCTCTACCATAGATGTTTCATTGTATTTTGGGTGCGAGGGAAGTTCTGTCGAAACAACTTTCGACCAATTTTTTTTAAGAATAATTCAAGGACTTTATACTCAAGTTAGTAGTAATAATAATTAACTATAACTACTGGAACTAGACACTAAACAACTGGATTGAATTACCTAAAAATAACTCCATTAGTCTGTTTACATGAAACACTAATTACTTGCTGCAACATCTATTATTTAATTCAATATAATAAATAAAATAGTGTAATTACTATTATTACCATAGTTTTTTTGTAAATCTATAATCGAAAACAACTCACTGATTTGTCTAAAACATCAACCATTTTTCGGGAAAGTTAAGGTTTTATTTATTTACAAATGTAACATATAGACTTCAAAAACAGTACAGTGTAAAATGATAATACACTAATTTTATAACAGCCATATAACCTTTGAGTATTTGGGACACTATACAACATATTTTTTTCTATACTGATCAGTGGCGGCTGGTCAGGGGCGGCAGGGTCGGCCACGCCGTACCAGTCATTTTAAAATACTTAGTAAGCGTTGAAATTAGAAAATAAAAAAAGAAATAAAGTTTGATAGATCATATATATTAAAAATATATTTTATTATATTGTAGGTAGAAAATAAAGCATTTGTTGCTTGTTGCTAATTTTAAATGCTGATAAACACGCTTTGCCGGCGAGATTTCGGCACGCCGTATCCAGGAATGCATTATGCTCGATGTTTCGACTTCGCAGCAGCTTACGGTTTCATCGTTCTCTTTGTCTAGCACACTGTAGTAGACAAAGACCTGGCGGAACGTATGTTGTGCCAGGTCCGGCGAAATCCTCCTTCGCCGTACCCAGCAACGCGAATTTAGTTTTTAAAACGCTTTAAATTATCTAAAATTTTATTTTTCGTACATAACTTAGCTACAACATAAATGCGCTTTTTCTGTATTTTTAGCATCTAAGCGTTTTCAGATATTTCAGAAACGAATTTAAAGTTTTAAATCATTTTAATTTTTCAATTATTCAATTAATTTATTTGATAATTTGTCATATACATTAAAAAAAAATAAATGTAAATGAAGATAGTTAACAGTTGGTACTTTTATTGTTACTTTTTTTTTATATTTTTTAACTGCATGTCATTATTTAATTATTATTATTTAATTGTGGATGTCCGAGGTCGGCAAGCCGTATAGCCGCCGGTCGACGGGGAACTCAGTAAAAATAATGTTTTCGGTGGTTCTCAATTAATGATAAAGCAGAACAAGTAGAATTAAGGATTAATAGTATTTAGAATCAAACTGACATTGTAAATTTCCTATAAAAAATTATTTTAACAGGTCGAAACATTTGAGATGTTTTGTACATCCTGGCACGTAAAATGTCAGTGGTTAATGAGTAGCAGCCATACATTACGAAAATATATAACACCAAGGTGTAGACTCAAAATATTTGGCCGACCCGAAATTTTGACCCACCAGCCGCCACTGATACTGATTTAATAACAACTGTAAAGCACAAAATAAAGAAAAAATAATTATCTTTACAACAGACAATGTGTTGTTTTGTGTTCGTTATTGTAAACAAACAATAAAAACCTAAAATCTCAATTTAAATAAAATGGATATGCTACCAGTAATACCCCAAGGTTTGGTCAGAAATACCAACTTCTCGAGTAAAGTCTGTCCAGAATTTTAATTATAATACTATATTTTGCCTAATTCTCCTTGTTCTTAACATAATTTAACCACCTATAGTTAATTTTGCAAAAATAATGAAGCATCACCGTTGTCACACACCACCCCCAGAGGGCGCCGCGTTCGACTTCTCTAGTAAACAAAAATGGCGGACCCGTTGAGCCTTCTCCGCCAATACAATGTTAACAAAAAAGAAATAATCGAGCGCGAGGGACAGATAATATTCGGCGAATTCTCATGGCCCAAAAATGTAAAAACCAACTATTTAATGTGGGGGTACGTATAAACTCTTTCAAGCTCCGCCACCACCAGCTGTCACAAGCTAACCTCAAAAAAAATTTCAATTTGTAGTTCTGGAAAAGATGGGACAGCGAAAGAATACTACTCACTGGAATGTCTCCTATTTATATTAAAAAACGTGTCCCTAACTCATCCTGTGTATGTACGACAAGCCGCAGCCGAGAATATTCCGGTAGTACGAAGACCTGATCGAAAAGAACTTCTTGCGTATCTGAATGGCGAAACCGCCAGTTGTCCCGCCATCGATAAGAGTGCCCCGCTTGAAATACCCACACAGGTACGTGTCGACGTGGCAAGTTTCGTGTTTAAGGACAGGTTTGTAGGTAAAACGGTCAGCTGATTATGAAGGACCGGAAAGTATTGCGAAAAAACCACGATTTGAGGATCCTCATGTGCAGAAAGTCAGGGAGAAGTTGGCTGCAAGGCTCGATGCACCAAAGGAGGCCTCAGTCACTGTTGATAATATCAAGTAAAATTTTTAATGTTGTGGTTGGAGTGGGTTGACTGGGTTGTTTTAGATCACTGTCTGAAGCTATGTCAGTTGAGAAAATTGCAGCTATTAAGGCGAAGCGTCTCGCGAAAAAGAGGACTACGATTAAAGGGAATGATGATATTGGGCAGGAATATGATATTCGCGCTATTTTAGATCTGGATGTTGATTTAACCAAAGATATTATTAGTAGGGAGAGGCAGTGGAGGACTAGGACTACAATTCTCCAGTCAAGTGGAAAGGTTTGTTCATGCTAGAAAAAAAGATTACATTCAACGTTTATCTAAAATTTTTCAGACTTTCGCGAAAAACATCTTCGCCATGATTCATAGCATCAAGGCCCGCGAAGAAGGTCGCCAGAGGCCCCCACAGCAAGCCCCCATCGTCACCCCACGTCAAACGCCCGTCAGACCCACAACCCAACCAGCGGTATACAACAGATACGATCAGGAAAGATTCAACCGTCAGAAGGAAGAGACTGAGGGCTTTAAGATCGACACGATGGGAACCTACCATGGAATGACGCTCAAATCGGTGACCGAGGGTCCAGTGAAAACGCGACCTCAACCTGCGCAACCCCAAGCCCCACTGCCAGTTAGCGCCGCCAGACCGCCACCCGGTGGTCTAACCAAAAGAGTCTCCAGAACACCAATTATTATCATCCCAGCGGGTACCAATTGCCTTATTTCAATGTACAATGTTAAGGAGATTCTGCAGGATTTGAAGTAAGTAAATCGTGCTTCAAGGGTTCGTTCTCGGACAAGCGCTATTTATGCTTTTCGTAAACGATATTAAAACGACTTTTTAGGTTTGTTTCGGTGGAACAAAAGAAATCAGAAGGGGCGAAAAGAGATAATGAAGTGCTGATCCAGAGGCAGCGGAACGGGCAGACGGTGCCCTACCGTGTTGTTGATAACCCGGCGAAACTGAGTCCCAGCGACTGGGACAGAGTTGTTGCTGTTTTTGTGATGGGGCCCGCGTGGCAGTTCAAGGGGTACCCTTGGGAGAATCCAGTTGAGATTTTCTCCAAAGGTAACGTTATTTGGTCCGTTTGAGCCGCATATTCCAACTCGAACTGATTTTCAGTTGCCGCCTTTCACCTGAAATACGATGAAATGCGACTCGACTCTAACGTCGCGAAGTGGGCTGTGACCGTTATTCAACTATCTCGAACCAAAAGGCACTTGGATCGTGCTGCCCTCATGGTATTTTGGGAGAAACTCGACCGGTAAGTTTATGCTCGTCGAAGTTGGCTGAAAACTCGAAGTCGATTTTTATTACAGGCATATCATGCAGTTCAAGCCACATTTACGATTCTAAACTTGTACAGTATTGTGTAGGAATTACCCCCGAAATTGTTCTATTAATTTAGTGCTGTTATGGATAGCGCTATATACAAAAACTAGTGCACTTTATGTATTATAAAAAATTTATACAAATAAAATATTTTCTATGAAATTTTTATATATTTTGGCTGCGGGTCAGCTTCTGCGTCTCGTCCTGCTCTTTATTTAGTTCTTTATTTTTTTTGTAGTGCAGACTTTCTTTTACTTCCCATGGTACGTCGGGTATGACGTAGGAAAGAACGCCATTGCCAAAATCGGTCTTATCTTAACAACTACTAGCCCCGCCCACCCCCCTCTACTTTTGTAGAAGATATGTCGTTTGCCACAATCAGTCTTATCGTAGCAAGTATTAGCCCCGCCCACCCATCCCTTCTTCGTTCCAGTGACTATTCTTAATATTGTTCAGTCCTATTTTAGCAAGTTTTAGCCCCGCCCACCCACCCCTTCTGCGTTCCAGTGACTACTCTTAATATTGTTCAGTCCTATCTTAGCAAGTTTTAACCCGGCCTTTATTTCTTAGAGGGTATGTCATTTGGCAAAGTCAGTGTTATCTTAGCAGGTAATATCCCCGCCCACCCGCCCTCTGTATTCTTAAAAGGTATGTAATTTGCCACAGTAAGTGTTATCTTAACAAGTACTAGCTAAGATAAAATTAATTTTGGCAAATGACATAGCTTCTAAGAAAAGAGAGGATGGGTGGGGGGGCTAGTAACTGCTAAGTTAAGACTGATTTTGGCAAATGATATACCTTCTAAAAAAATAGAGGGCGGGTGGGCGGGGCTAGTACTTGCTAAGATAAGACTCATTTTGGCAAATGAGCTCTGACTTAAGTGACGTATCCTAAGAAATTTAATTAAATTATTATAAGAAAAGACACTAGACGCTCCAAAGCACTTTCAAATTGTTTCCAAACAGGAATACCTAGAACGTCAAGATTGTTTTAAATTAAAAAAAAAAACGTGGTCCCAAAATTGACTCAAACACAGGTAAGCTCAGAATTTTCCAAAAATACAACACCGAAGTCCCCGAAATTCTTTTAAACAATTTACAAAAAAAAATCCATGGGCTCCCAAAATAATATACTATGGGTACCTAAACACTGCGGCAATCAAGACTTTTTTTCAAATTTGTAAAATATAAAACACTGAAAGCTCAAAGATTTGATCATTTTTTGTAAAAGTAAACCAAGTTTAGCTTTTTTCTGGTTATATGAACAAACAGTAGCGCCGCCCACCCGCCCCTTCATCAGTCCTGTGACTACTCTTAAAATTGTTCAGTTCTATCTTAGCGAGTTTTAACCCGGCCTTTATTTCTTAGAGGGTATGTCATTTGGCAAAGTCAGTGTTATCTTAGCAGGTAATAGCCCCGCCCACCCGCCCTCTATATTCTTAAAAGGTATGTAATTTGCCACAGTAAGTGTTATCTTAGCAAGTACTAGCTAAGATAAAATTAATTTTGGCAAATGACATAGCTTCTAAGAAAAGAGAGGGTGGGTGGGCGGGGCTAGTATCTGCTATGATAAGAGTGATTTTGGCAAATGATATATTCTCTAAGAAAGTAGAAATGGGCGGGTGTGGCTAGTACCTGCTAATATAAGACTTATTTAGAAAATGACACATCCTTTAAGAATTTAATTAAATTATTATAAGAAAAGACATTAGAGGCTCCAAAGTACTTTCAAATTCTTTCCAACCAGAAATACCTAGACCCTCAAGATTGTTTCAGAATTTAGATTTTTCAAAAAAAAACGCGGTCCCAAAATTGACCTTAAAACAGGTCAGCTCAGATGCTCAGAATTTTCCAAAAATAGAACACCAAAGTCCCCCAAAATTCTTTTAAACAATTTACAAAAAAAATCTCCATGGGTACCCAAACACTGCGGCACTCAAGACTTTTTCAAATTCGTAAAAAGTAAAACACTGAAAGCTCAAAAGATTTCCTCATTTTTTGTAAAAGTAAGCTAAGTTTATCTTTTTTCTAGTTTTATGAACAAACAGTAGCCCCTCCCACCCACCCTTTATTTTCTTAGAAAGTATGTCATTTACCAAAACAATCTTATCTTAGCAGATACTAGCCCCGCCCACACATACTACTTATTTGCTATATTCATTTCTTATTTCTGAAGACACAAAATAGAGAACGGGTGGGTGGGCGGGGCTAATTTTAATTTTTTCATACAGAATCTTCTATAGGCAAGCAATAGCAGTTATTACTCTTAATATTGTTCAGTCCTATCTTAGCAGATACTAGCCCCGCCCACACACACTATTCTCATTCTAACGATTTTATCTCTCTTCAATGGAGATCCACTTTTCATTCGAACTAGACAAAGTGAATGACTGAAGTGGAGGCCGGGTGGGTGGGCGGGGTGAATTATATATTTCTTTCAAAGTGAGAATTGGAACTAATAGAACGTAGGTTGTTAAAAAAAAACCGTTAATCGTGATTTTTTTTTGTTCTACTACTTATTTGCTATAACATTTATTTCTTACTTCGGAAGAAAAAAGTAGAGAACGGATGGGTGGGCGGGGCTAAGTTTAACTTTTCCGTACAGAATCTTTCATAAGCAAGCAATAGCCCCGCCCATCCACCCCCTCTTCATTCCAGCGATTACTCTTAATATTGTTCAGTTATTTACCAAAATATTTAAACAAATACTAACTATGTCCACTGGCCCTCTACCATAGATGTTTCATTGTACTTTCGGTCCGAGGGAAGTTCTGTCGAAAAAACTTCCGACCAATTTTTTTAAGAATAAGTCAAGGACTTTGTACCCAAGTAAGTAGTAATAATGATTAATCAATAGTTACTTAGTAAAGTAATAACACAATAAGAAAGACACATTTGAATGTCCAGTCTAGGTATAGACTCGTAAATACTCTAAGGTTATATGGCCCCAGTAACCTAATAATGGAAAAAAATATTCCCCTCATAAATCACGGATTTGTCCCGATATCTTGCCAACCAGGACAGATCCGGCTTCAGCTATATTGCTTATTTGTATCTACATTTTTTATTGTTTTAAAAAAGTACAAACTACTGGAACTAGACACTGAACAACTGGATTGAATTACCTACCTAATGACTCCATTAGTCTGTTTACATGAAACTTCAGAAATGGATTTGCATTATGTTACTTAGTTTCTAAACACTAATTACTTGCTGCAATATCTATTATTTAATTCAATATAATAAATGAAATAGTTTATTTAATTACTATTACTACCATAGTTTTTTTGTAAATCCATAATCGAAAACAACTCACTTATTTGTCTAAAACATCAACCATTTTTCGGGAAAGTTAAGGTTTTATTTATTTAGAAATGTAACATACAGATTTCAGAAACAAATGCCCAGATAATTACTCTGAATCCTCCTCTGCAAAGTCGACTTCACAATACACTAATATTATAACAGCCATAATACCTTAGAGTATTTGGGACACTATACAACATATTTCTTTCTATACTGATTTAGTAAGAACTGTGCAAGTAAAGCACAAAATAAAGAAAAAATAATTAAATTTACAACAGACAATGCTCCAGTTTTGTGTTCATTATTGTAAACAAACAATAAAAACAAAAAAATCTCAATTTAAATAAAATAACAGAATTTAACCATCTATAGTTAATTTTGCAAAAATAATGAAGCATCACCGTTTTCACTCACCACCCCCAGAGGGCGCCGCGTTCAATTTCTCTAGTAAACAAACTTATTTGCTATAACATTCATTTCTTATTTCTGAAGACAAAAAATAGAGAACGAGTGGGTGGGCTGGGCTAAGTTTAACTTTTTCCTACAGAATCTTCTTTAAGCAAGTAATAATCCCGCCCATCCACCGCCTCTTCATTCGAGCGGTACCTCTTAATATTGTTCAGTCATTTTCCAAAATCAATGAGAATTGCAATAGAACGTAGGCTGTTAAAAAAAAGCGTTAAACTAGTGCACTTTATGTATTATAAAAAATTTATACAAATAAAATATTTTCTATGAAAAGTTTATATATTTTGGCTGCGGGTCACCTTCGTTGTTCTTCTGCGTCTCGCCCTGTTCTCGGCGTGCGCCTTGAGTTTCAGTTCCAGTTCTTTATTTTTTTTGTAGTGCAGACTTTCTTTTACTTCCCATGGTACGTCGGGTATGACGTAGGAAAGCACGCCATTGGTCAATAAAATAATGTGCTACAGTTGGTATTAGTCGGACTGTAGTGGAATGACGTACCTCGAATACTATCACGCATACGAGTCTCATACCGGTGATGTACCAATACATAGGGGTTAATTTGTACTTCTTGGGGTGGTCCGGAGGATGCCGAGCTGCTGTATAGAAACACAGCGTCGAATTGTTGATTGGGTTAACAGCCGGCTCGCCACTAAGAGGTTCTTCGTAGTCTCTCATGTCGTACACTATTACTTCATTTAATATTGTAAATAAAAAGTAACACTCACGCGATAACGTCGACCGGATGTACCCAGCAAGTGACCCATTATGTGAGTATTTATAGATCTCGCGAACTACAAAATCACTCGTAAACGCCAAAACAAACGCCTGCAAATTAAATCGTGGGAATCGAACCACACGTCACCCGCTTGCCGGGCAAGTATAACGTGTTACTTACATTGGTAGCCACGCTCAAGTGAGTAATCACTTTCAGAATGCTTGTCCAAACCCCAATCCCGGATTGTTGTCTGGGCACCGGACGCCTGTACCGCGTCAATAGCTTGTAGGCGTCCACACGCAACTCCAGACAGTTGTTGATTAAAGCACACAACGGTGCCAGGGGGAAAGCCCCCACGAAAAAAGTAACAAAACCGTATTGAACCACTACAAAAAAAACTAACCCTAAATACCACCAAAGAACAATCTTACTCATTTCCGTGTACTCAGAAACGAGGAAATGGCGACGGGGTTGTATTAATTCAAACTCTTTTTCCCACTGTGGCACGTCTTGCTGGCTAGTTTTGCTCTTCCAAAGTTTTTCTTTAATCAGTCTGAAAAACATTTAGCATTTCGTACGAACCCCTAACTTACGGTATTATCAGCGTGAAGATGTTTCCAAAAAGCGACTTAAACAACATCAGAATACTGAGTTGAAGACATAGGTTCATCATGCAGCCTGTAGGCCCGCACAAGTCAGTTTCGGAATAACTAGTTGAGGGTGGTTCGTTCGGGGAGTAGAAACGTCCCTACAAGAATTAGTATTTTTCCCGTCAACACGACGTTTTATATTTAAGTACTTTGACGAAAGCGATATAAAACAGCGACGCGTAGTTGTTCCAGAAGCATAGTAAGTATCGCTTCTGCGCAATGAGCGAATCGTACTCTGTTTGTGTCCTCGGATTTTCTAAATTTGTTAGCCATTTTGATAGTCTGACGTAGAATAACCCAAACAACTGGATTGAGACCACCTGAAGACATGCGCTAGACGCTTGTAGCATGAAAGGTCCGTGGATTTCTAACCGCTCGGAGCCGGTTAATCTGATGATGGTGGTCATCGCGACTCGGTACATTATCACTCCGAAGACAATTGCAAGAACGATAGCTATCTGAAGAAACTCGTGATAAGTTGAATTAGATGGTATTTGGGTAAGAATACTAGGAAAAGAGACGTAGCGTAGGATAGTGTGATATGCACGATTCGCGTTCTTGTGGGTTCGTAAGGTTCTAGAGAACCGGTGAAAGAAGACCATCGTCTTTGGGAGCAAGACTCGCGATAACCCAGTCTGAAACTTCAATGTAAAAGTATAGCAAATACAGTTAGTAATACCGAGCTTTCGTATCCATTTTTTCGAAATCTACGTTCCAACGAATCTTCAAGGTGTTCTCCATTCGGGTCCACTGGTTGATAAAATATGTAGCTGCAAAAAATTAGGTTTCATCAGAACTGTCGCTTAAAACTTACCCCAAAATGACATGAACACCGCGAATACCACAGTAGCGTGGTTATCAAAAATGATTGATATCTTAGCATAGTGGCACGAGAGGTTCAGTGGTTTATAGACGCAGTTCTTTCCAGAGTGACACAAAGGACACATTACCAAATTACTCTCACAGATGTCTTTACTGAAAGACAAAATCATATCTTGTTTTGTTTCAAAACTAGGTACTTACACTCTTTCCTGGTCGACAACTAGCAGATAAATGATACTGATAACCGAACCAAGAAGGCCAAAAATCGCTGCCGGAAGCAACATCGTGTTGTAGAACCCCAACCAAGCGAAGTAGAACGCAACTTCACTCCCGAAGTACTTTTCCACCAAATTTAGGGGCTGGTTTTTGTACCAAAGAAACAGGCTGCCCCAGTAGTTCAGCAGCAACTGTCTGTCGTTTTCTGGTATTTCCAAACCATGGGTGTCTTTTTGTGCGTAGTCGCCGTCGTGCAAAGGGTACGCGGTTTTGGCAATTCCGTACCTGATCAGTTTCCCGACACTGAATTCGTTTTCGAAGGTACCAAATTTCACTTCTTGTAGGATTTTGTTGACGATCTGAATCCGTTCTTTGGTGGTGGCTTTCCTAAAAGGTACGATTCTGATTTGGAACAAGACACGATTTGCGTACCCCTCTCTTTGGAAAAAGTCTTTGTCGACGCTTAACGGCGTTTGGAAGGGTTGACCAGTAAATAGGTTTATTGTTGATATTGGGACGACAGTGTGACCTGGGTTGTGTATGTCTATGTCGTACTTATACGCAAAATATTCTATCACGTTTTCGGGAAGGTGGATCATGATGTAGACATTATTCTTGTTCTAGAATGACGATAAGTTAGTTGTAGATGTAGCACGCTGTTGTATTACCTTTTGGTGTTTGACTTCGAGCTTCAGTCCAAGTTCTTCTAGGTTTTTGATAAACTTGATGATGTATTGGAACTTTCTGGATTGTTTTAAGTCTTTACTGATTACGACAACGTAGTCTATTCTTTCATCCGACATTGATTTTTCTGTTTATTACAAGTAAAAAGTGTATAAGTATATTGTAAGTAAATCTGTCAAAGTTTGACAATATAATAGACATCGCCGTAACTAGAGTTAATGTTTGGGTTTAATTTTATTTAGACAGTCGTTAAAAAGGCGACTAAAATGTAAGAACAAAACGAAAAAAAGACAAAAATGGCAACAAAAGTAATTAAAAAAATCTACACAAAATTGGACAAGAATTAAGAAAAGACGTAAAAGTTACAAAAACGGACCAAAATTCGGTGAAAGAATTTCGACAAAAAAATTGTCAAAAAGAGATTAAAAGACAAGAGAAAAAAAAACACACAGAAACAAAAAAAGTAATAAAAAAAAATGATTTCGTGTTAGATAGAACTTTTTTGCTTCTTGAAGTAGAATCAAACAAATTTTTAGGAAAAAAAATAGGCAGTTTTTAAAAAAAGTGATACAAATGGGGAGTGAACAAAAGCAATAAAAAAAAATCGACGGGAAAAAGCGACAAAAAACACAAAATAGAAATAAAAATGTGATGAAAAAGAGAACAAAAAACGCAAAAAAAGGCAACAAAAAGCCGCATTAAAAGCAACAAAAAATGATCTCGTGTTATTAGACAAAACTTTTTTTGTCCTTGAAGTAGAATCAAACAAATCGAATTTTTTAGGAAAAAATATTGAGTAATGAAAAAAACAAAAAAATTTTACAGAACACAAAAAGCCCAAAAAATGCAACAAAAAAATGACCAAAATAAAGAAAATCAACAAAAATCGACGAAAAAATCCAACCAAACGACAAAAAATTTTCAAAACCGGAGTAAAAACAACAAAAAAAACCCGACAAAAAAAGTGCAGGAAAGCCACTTACAATTTTCCTCCCTTTGAAGTTTTATTTTAAGAAAAAAAAATAGTATACCGAACTTTACTCGCCCTGGAAGTAGAATCAAACGAATCTAGTTTGTTAGGGAAAAAAGTAGACAGTTGTTAAAAAAGGGGAGTAAAAAACGACAAAAAGGCACATAAATGCAAAAAAGTAATTAAAAGAGTTACAAGAAGAGAAAAAATACCACAAAAAATAAGAAAAGCAATAAAAAAATTCAACGGGAACAGGCAAAAACTGCCACTAAAGAATTTCAACAAAAAAATCGTCAAAAAATGAAGTAAAAAACACAAAAAAAATAACAAAAAAGAGGGGAAAAAAGACAAAAAAGCAAAAAAAGTTGATTTCATGTTGTCAGACAGAACTCGCTCTTGAAGTAAAATCAAACGTATCCAATTTATTTGGAACAAAAATCGACTTGATTGGATTCAATTTTATTTTATCCAGACAGTTGTTAAAAAGCGATTAAAAGCAACAACAAAATAACAAAAAAAATTAGAAAAAACGGTAAAAAAGGCAAAAACGACCAAAAACGCGACGAAAGAATTTCGACAAAAAAATGTCAAAAAGAGAGTAAAAAAAACAACAAAGAGCCGCAATAAAGGCAGACAGAACTTCCCTTGCCCTTGAAGTAGAATCAAACAAATTGAATTTTTTAGGAAAAAATAGTGAATCATAGGAAACAAGTGTTAAAAAACACAAAAAGCCACAAAAAATTCAACAAAAAAAAACCAAAAAAAGAAAGTAAAAAAAATCGACGAAAAAATCCAACTAAACGACAAAAAAATCGTCAAAAACGGAGTAAAAACGACACAAAAAAATCCGACAAAAAAAAGTGCAAGAAAATACCACAAAAAATAAGAAAAGCAATAAAAAAATTCAACGGGAAAAGGCAAAATCCGCGGCCAAAGAATTTCAACAAAAAAATCGTCTAAAAAGGGAGTAAAAAACACAAAAAAGCAAAAGAGTTACAACAAAATAACAAAAAACAGGGAAAAAAGCCAAAAAAGCAAAAAAAGGTTGTTTTCATGTAAGACAGAACTCGCTCTTGAAGTAAAATTAAACGTATACAATTTTTTAGGAACAAAAATCGACTTGATTGGATTCAATTTTATTTTATCCAGACAGTCGTTAAAAAAGCGACTAAAAGCAATAACAAAATGACAAAAAATGGACAAAAAAACATAGAAAAAACGGTAAAAAAAATCCGGAACGGCAGACGGACAGACGGACGGACAGACAGACGGAAATGGGAGACCTATTTTTTCGTATTCTAGAAGTCATGAAAGATCGAGAAAACGTAAAAGTAGAGAGTCGGCCGACGGACTCGATTACAATACTTCCTTTGCTTACGCTCAGGAAGTAAAAAGGCAAAAACGACCAAAAACGCGACGAAAGAATTTCGAGAAAAAAAAGTCAAAAAAGAGAGTAAAAAATACAAAATAATAACAAAAAAGAAAAACACAAAAAAGAAGCAAGAAAAGCTAATTTCCTGTGATTAGATAGATCTTTTCCCGACCTTAAAATAGAATCAAACAAATCGAGATTTTAGGAAAAACATTAGATGGTCGTCAAAAGTGACAAAAATGGGGAGGAAAAAAAAAAGCAATAAAAAATTGGACGGGGAAGAAGCGACAAAACAACACAAAATAGCAACAAAAATGTGATGAAAAAGACAACAAAAAACGCAAAAAAAAAACAACAAAGATACGGCAAGAAAAGCAGCAAAAAAAGCAAAAAAACATTGGTTTCATGTTATTAGACACAACTTTCCTCGATCTTAAGAAGTTAAATCAAACAAATCCAGTATTTTATGGAAAAAATAGACTTCAATGGTTCGATTTAATTTTATTTTATTTAGACAGTCGTTAAAAAAGTGACTAAAAGGTAACAACAAAACGAAAAAAATATATAAAAACGGCAAAAAAGTAATAAAAAAAAACTGACAAAAAATTGGACAAGAATTAGAAAAAACACATAAATGACAAACACGGACCAAAACGTGGCGAAAGAGTTTCATCAAAAAAATTGTCAAAAAGAGATTAAAAAATACAAAAGAACAACAAATAAAAAATGATAAAAGGACTGAAAAAAGAGGCAAAAAAAATAATAAAAAGACTGATTTCTTGTTATTAGATAGATCTTTTCTCGACCTTAAAATAGAATCAAACAAAACGAGATTTTAGGAAAAAAATTAGACGGTCGTCAAAAGTGACAAAATAGGGAGGAAAAAAAAGCAATAAAAAAATTGGACGGGGAAGAAGCGACAAAAAAACACAAAGTAGCAACAAAAATGTCATGAAAAAGACAACAAAAAACGCAAAATAAAACAATAAAAATACGGCAAGTAAAGCAACAAAAAAAGCAAAAAACATTGGTTACATGTTATTAGACAGAACTTTCCTCGATCTTAAGAAGTTAAATCAAACAAATCCAGTATTTTATGAAAAAAATAGACTTCAATGGTTCGATTTAGTTTTATTTTATTTAGAAAGTCGTTAAAAAGTGACTAAAAGGTAACAACAAAAATTGGACAAGAATTAGAAAAAACACATAAATGACAAAAACGGACCAAAACGTGGCGAAAGAGTTTCGCCAAAAAAATTGTCAAAAAGAAATTAAAAAATACAAAAGAACAACAAATAAAAATGACAAAAAGACTAAAAAGAGGCAAAAAAGTAATAGAAAAAACTGATTTCTTGTTATTAGATAGATCTTTCTTGGACCTTGAAGTAGAATCAAACAAATCTAATTTTTTAGGAAAAAATAGTGTTAAAAAACACAAAAAGCCACAAAAAATGCAACAAAAAATTACCAAAAAAAGAAAAAAAATCGGCGAAAAAACCAACCAAAAAATAGAAGAAAAAAGGCAAAAAAGGCCAAAAATTAGCGACCAAAAAATTTCCACAAAAAATCATCAACAACGAAGTAAAAACAACACAAAAAAGCAACAAACAACTCACAAAAATGACAATAAAAAATTGCAGGAAAGCAACACTTAAGAAAAAAAAAAAAAAACACACAGAACTTTTCTCGCCCTTGAAGTTTTTTTTTTAAGAAAACAATACAAAACACAATACAATAATTGTCATTTTTTTTTTGGCGAAAATCGTGACAGTAAAAATTCAAGACGGATTCATAAACTAGAAGTGTAGGAGTATGTTACGGAAAAACGGAAATGGAAGACCTATTGTTTCGTACTCTTGGAATTTGAAACGTCCAGAAAACATAAAATTAGCCATTGTCGAATGGACACTTGTTTATACTCGAGAAGTAAAAAACGACCAAAAAAAAACATTAAAAACTGACCAAAGAAACTGCGACTAAAAAAAATATGAAAAAAAAATCGTCAAGCAGAAAGTAAGAAACACAAAAAAAGTGACAAAAAAGCAAAATAAACCCAAAAAAAAAAATGCAAAAAAAACTGGTCTTATACTACTATAAAATACTGTTAGACGATTTTGACTTTTTTGGCGAAAATCTCAGGACTTTGTACGGCAAGAATACATAGAACACAAACAGGAGAAGCCAAAATAGGGAACAAACTCAGACATAAATATTAATGTTTGGAAACTTAAATTTTTCCCGGTAGCTCAACAATAAATAGTAGCAATTAAAAACTCTTTTATGCAATCGTTTTTAGGTCAAAGGTGGCACGAAAAACGCACGAACACCTTCTTCGATTAAGAGCTCCGAAAAGCATTGACAGTCTGAATTGTCCAGGAAGCCACCGAGCACATTTTTATGTCTGTAGTCTCACATATAATTTCCTCTGACGTAACTTCAGCTACAATAAATCCACAAGCAAATTCCACACGTATTTTGCACATCATTATATTTAAAAATAATTACAATATTGCCAAATTGTAAACCTTTCGTTGTAATAGCATTCCATCAATCGATTTTTCGGTAAAAAGCCACCAAATTAGAGAGACACGACTAACAATGGTGACCTAAACAAATTCCAAAGTATATCTAGGGTCTCTAGCCGTAACGATTAAAAATTAAGGGTTGTTTAGGAGTAATAAAAACTCTAGCAAACTATCTAGTTTCTTTTTATTTTTAACTTAGGTGAACTCTGATACTTCCGTGCTGACCTTGCTTCATCATTCATCACTTGAAGCTTAGCGTCCATGTCAATATTCATCTCATACTCTAGAGTCTTTTTTATTTTTGTTGGTACATCGGGAATAAAATAGGCAATAATTCCGTTCGTGAGCATTATAACGTGCTACAAAATAATCATTTCGTGTTCACTCGTGACTTGCAACGTACCTCAAAAACCAAAATGCACATCAACCGCATACCGATTTCGTACCAAAATTGATTTGTAAACTGGTACTTTTGTGGATGGTCTGGAGGGTACCGCAGACCTCTGTAGTAACACAGTGTTGAATTAGGTGGCATTCCAACTAAATCGTTGTGGCCGTACTTCATATTGTCATCTATGTCATAAACTGGAACAGCCTTGTTTAATTTAGATCCGTGTAGTTTTGAACAAGTACCAGACAACGTCGATTTGATGTAGCCACGTAGGGACCCGTGTTCGTACTTGTAGGCTTCTCTTGAAACAAAGTCGCTGGTAAATGATAATACGAAAGCCTGAAAATTGAAACTGTCTTATTAAAGAATTTCCGATGAATTTGAAAATACGTTAGTGGCTATGCTCAAATGGGTGATCACTTCTAGTATGTCTTTCCAAGGACCAATCCCTGACTCCCTCTTCGGTACTGGTCTTCTGTACCTTGTGACCAGTTTGTACGCGTCTAGTCGAAGCTCCATTGCATTGTTGATTAGCGCACAAAGAGGAGCCAGAGGAAACGCCGCTACGAAGAACGTCACAAAGCCATACTGCACAACTAAAACCACCTATATTAAAAATGTCCACACAGTTTCCTTCGGTAGTACTCATTTCCATAAACTCCGTAGTCAGAAGGTACCGTCCAGCTGGGTACAACTTAAACTCTTCCTCCCATGGCGGTGACCTAACCTCACGAGTCGGTTTTTTCGAGAACTTCTTCGTTATCTTACTAAACACAACCGTAATGACTGTAATAAAACGCGGTCGTACTTACGGTACTACCAACGTCAAGATATTCCCGGCCATTGATTTTAGAAGCATTAGTACGAAGAGTTGGATACAAAGGGCTACCATGCAACCGCGAGTGTTGCAGAGGTCCGTTTTTATACTAATAACTTCGGTATGCCTGGGAGTGTAGAATCTACCCTATGACAGATTTATAAAAGTATCATTATCGCTACAATCATACTTTGAAGAAAGCCATGTAGAACAACGAAGCGTAATTGTTAGCAAACCCCAAGATGTATCGTTTGTGGACTACGGAGTTGTCGAATTCGAACTGGGTTCTCGGGTTTTCCATGTTCGTTAACCACTCAGACAGAGGTCCATAGAACTGCGGAACGTTAGAAGCGGGATGGTTGGAATAAAAAACTTACTCGACCGTAAAACTTGATAAAGATTACTTGTAAAATCGAACTTGTACAAGCTTCAAAAAACGGCGCATAGATTTTGAAGAAATCGGAACTCCCCATTCGGATTAGCGCCGACATGACGATTCTGTACATTATGACCCCATTGACTGCCACGAGTACCACTCCGACCTGGAAAACGTGTATACATATTCATGTCATCAAAGTTTCAAACGCTACCAGTAGAAAGCAAGTTCCAAACGACAAAAAGTAGTAACATGCTTGTAGGTACGGAGGAGTGTAGGGTTCAATTTGACCCGTAACCTCGGATCTTCTTTTGTGTGTTGCTTTTTCTTTGAACGGCAACCTGCAAGCAAAACCCAAAAGAATTTGATGACCTGGCAAACCTACTAACCTAGTCTGGGTTTTCGCGTGCGTGGTCGCCGTAGTAACGTGCCACCGAATCTTCAACACATTCTCGAACCGCTTCCACAAATTGATGAACAAAGTTGCCCAAAAAGACATGAACACTGCAAAAAACACTGTGAAGTAGTTGTCGAAAACGATAAACCATTTGGTCATTTGGCATTCAAATTTCAAGGGTGAAGCTATACAAGTGTGTCCGAAGGTACAACGTGGACATAGTAGTAGATCGCTGTCACAAGTTTCTTCTCTGAAAAGCGAAAGGTATTTTTGATTTCGAAAGTTTAGTTAACGTACAGAGTGAAGTGGTAACCACTGTATAGATAAAACACGCTGGAAAGAAAACACAACAGTCCTACTAAGCTTGCCGGGATTAGCATTTTGTTGTAGAAGCCTAACCAAGCGAAGTAGAAAGCGACTTCAGTACCGTAGTACTTTTCGATTAGATTTAGAGGTTGTTCTTTGTACCAGAATCCAAAACAAGCCCAATATTTCAACAATATCTGAAATCTGTTGTTAGAAGTGGTAGATAGTGTGAGGGAGTACTTGTCTGTCGTTTAGAAATTCGTCTAGCGTGTTGTCCAGTTCGTGTGGACCGTCGTGAAGAGGGTAGACAGCTTTCACGGCACCAAGACTCAGCAGTTTCTGTATTCCATACTTGTTATCGTCATTGTTATCACCAAAACGAGCCTCACACAGCATGCCATAAATAATCAAGATTCGTTCCGAGTTCGTAGCTTCCCTACAGTTGACACTTAGAACGGTTACAAATCAAAAACAAAATTGTAGGTACCCTTCTCTCGTAAAAATATCCTGATTTAAGGTAACCGGTGTCTGACAGATTTGCAAGTTGATTGATGACACAGGTATATAGTTGTGGCCCACACTTTCTAAATCCACGTCATAAATAGATGCAAAATTCTGTACAGATTCTTCTGTGATATGAAGCTTCACGTAGATGTTTTCTTTGATCTGAAACTACAGCGTTGTCGCGTTTGCATCAAAAACAAAATACCCACGTTTCCAAAGCCTAGTTCTACTTTGATTCCACGCACTTGCAGATAGTTCAAAAATTTCACCACGTAATTGTAGAACTGGGAAGTTTTGATATGTCTATCCACAACTATGACATAGTCAGTTCTGCGATCTGCTTTCATTCTTTTTTCTTCGCTACTCGCAGAAGCCGCTAATAATTCCTGGTTGTAGTTTTGTTTGCTGAAACGGGTTTTCTTATGTAAGATTCCTTTGATTTTTTGTGGACCAGTTGTCTTTGCAACACCTTGGAGTGATTTACCACCAGACTCCATTCAAGTTATCAAATACAATTTTTGACGAGTTGAATTGTTAGTGTATTGCTTAGTTACGAACTCGTCTTGGGAAAGTAGCAACTGTTTGAGTTTTGAGCTGACTTTGTGTTCGCAGTTGTACCGGGGACACGGAAAACTGGGGTGGGATTTTGTTTCTACCGATACGATTTTCAGATGCGAAAGAAAAAGACGACCACATTTTATCGGTACCGATATTTTATCGTTACAGAAACAAAATTGTTTCTCGATAGCGATAAAATCTCGTTTGCTGATTGGTTGGGAGGCTGAGTTGGTGAGACATTTCTGTCACATTTCTCAATTCTGTCACGAAATCAAGTCTTCATGGAGTGGTATTTTCTCGATAGCTCTGAGTGAAGTGATAAATTTTTGAGACAACCTCGAAATTTATGTCAAAATAGAAGTTCAAAATCGTAAGTCTGACTTATAAGTTCTTAAAATTAACGTAATTGTAAAGTTTTGAGCATTTAATAAGCTTATATGCAAAGAATAAATGCAAACTTTGCATTTAAAAGCTATGCAATGACATTTATCGCAAGTAATAATTTATCACTTCGATCGAGAAACAAAATTCCTTGTACTTGTCAAGATAAGACTGATTTTGGCAGATGACCCACTCTTATAAGAAAATAAAAAGTGGGTGGGTGGGACTAGTACTTGTCAAGAAGAGACTGATTTTGGCAAATGACTTATTCTTTTAAGAAAATAAAGGCTGGGTGGGTGGGGCTAGTACTTGCTAAAAATAAAAAAATTCAAAATCAAAAAATGACATTGAAAAATCGGATAAATGAGAAATTGTAAAATTGTAAAACTATTTTTCAATCAAAAATCGTTGTTGTACACAGTAAAATTTAACATTGACTGTAAAATAGATATTGATATGACAGGTCACGAAATGAAAACTTTTTTCTAAGCTCCAGTTTTTGTAAGTTGACATATTTTACGTAATATAAATATATCTGTTTAATGAAAATTTATTTGATTTAAATTAAATTGAACTGCTTTAATAATTTTATTTATTTATTAAATATCTGGTAAGCTCTAAACAAAAAAAAATACTGACATATCCTCTAAGAAAATAAAGGTGGGTGGGCGGGGCTAGTACTTGTCAAGATAAGACTGATTTTGGCAATTGACATATCCTCTAAGAAAATGAAGGGTGGCTTTTCTTAGAGGATATGTCATTTGCCAAAATCAGTTTTATCGTAGCAGGTACTAGCCCCACCCACCCACCCTCTGTTTTCATAGAAGGTATGTCATTTGCCAAAATCAGTTTTATCTTATCAGGTACTAGCCCCACCCACCCACCCTCTCTTTTTTTAGAAGGTATGTCATTTGCCAAAATCAGTTTTTTCTCAAAAGGTACTAACCCCACCCACCCACCCTCTCCTTTTTTGTGTTTGAGTTTAAGATCGATTTTGGCAAATGACATATCCTCTAAAAAAGAGAGGCTGGGTGGGCGGGGCTAGTACTTGCTAAAAAATAAAAAAATTAAAGAATCAAAAAATGACATTGAAAAATCGGATAAAGGAGAAATTGTAAAATTGTAATGTTATTGTACATAGTAAAATTTAACATTTGACTGTAAAATAGATATTGATATGACAGGTCACGAAATGAAAATTTTTTTCTAAGCTCCAGTTTTTGTAAATTGACATATTTTACGTAATATAAATATATTATATGGAAAAACAAAGCATCTGGTTAATGAAAATTTATTTGACTTAAATTAAATGGAACTGCTTTAATAATTTTATTTGTTTATTAAATATCTGGTAAGCTCTAAACAAAAAAAAAATCTGACATATCCTCTAAGAAATTAAAGGTGGGTGGGCGGGGCTAGTATTTGTCAAGATAAGACTGATTTTGGCAGATGACCCACTCTTCTAAGTAACTAAAGGGTGGGTGGGCGGGGCTAGTACTTGTCAAGAAGAGACTGATTTTGGCAGATATTTAAAAACTAAGAAGATGAAAACTGGAATTTCAAATTCGATTTTATAAGATTAAAATAAGACTCATTTTGACAAATGACCTACTCTTCTAAGAACAGGTACTAGTCCCGCTCACCCACCTTTATTTTCTTAGAAGAGTAGCTCATCTGCCAAAATCAGTGTTATCTTGGCAAAAAATAAAGGGTGGGTGGGTGGGGCTAGTAGTTGTCAAGATAAGATTGATTTTGGCAGATGATATACCTTCCAAAAAAAGAGAGGGTGGGTGGGCGGGGCTAGTATCTGCTACGATAAGAGTGATTTTGGCAAATGACATATTCTCTAAGAAAGTAGAAATGGGCGGGTGTGGCTAGTATCTGCTAATATAAGACTTATTTTAGAAAATGACATATCCTTTAAGAAATTTAATTGAATTATTATAAGAAAAGACATTAGAGGCTCCAAAGCACTTTCAAATTCTTTCCAAACAGGAATACCTAGACCCTCAAGATTGTTTTAGAATTTAGATATTTCAAAAAAAAAACGCGGTCCCAAAATTGACCTAAAAACAGGTCAGAATTTCCCAAAAATAGAACACCAAAGTCCCCCAAAATTCTTTTAAACAATTTACAAAAAAAATCTCCATGGGTACCCAAACACTGCGTCACTCAAGACTTTTTCAAATTCGTAAAAAATAAAACACTGAAAGCTCAAAAGATTTGATCATTTTTTTGTAAAAGTAAGCTAAGTTTATCTTTTTTCTAGTTTTGTGAACAAACAGTAGCCCCGCCCACCCACCCCTTCATCATTCCAGTGACTACTCTTAGGGCCGGTTGCATAAACCCAAATCAAATTTAATCTCTGATTAAGAACAATTGTAACTATGATAATAACAGTCGTTACTATGGAGTTAATCAGAGATTAAATTTGATTTGCGTTTATGCAACCGGTCCTTAATATTGTTGAGTTCTATATTAGCAAGCTTTAACCCCGCCCACCCGCCCTCTATTTTCTTAGAGGGTATGTGATGTACCACAGTAAGTCTTATCTTAGCAAATACTAGCTAAGATAAAACTGATTTTGGCAAATAATATACCTTCTAAAAAAATAGAGGGCGGGTGGGCGGGGCTAGTACTTGCTAAGATAAGACTCATGAGCTCAGACTTAAATGACGTATCTTAAGAAATTTAATTAAATTATTATAAGAAAAGACACTAGAAGCTCCAAAGCACTTTCAAATTGTTTCCAAACAGGAATACCTAGAACCTCAAGATTGTTTTAAATTAAAAAAAAAACGTGATCCCAAAATTGACTCAAAAACAGGTAAGCTCAGAATTTTCCAAAAATAGAACATCGAATTCCCCCGAAATTCGTTTAAACAATTTACAAAAAAAAATCCATGGGCTCCCAAAATCCATGGGTACGTACCTAAACACTGCGGCAATCAAGACTTTTTTTCAAATTTGTAAAATATAAAACACTGAAAGTTCAAAAATTTGATCATTTTTTGTAAAAGTAAACCAAGTTTAGCTCTTTTCTATTTTTATGAACAAACAGTTGGTCGAAATTAATTCAGTTCTATCGTAGCAAGTTTTTACCCGGCCTTTATTTCTTAGAGGGTATGTCATTTGGCAAAGTCAGTGTTATCTTAGCAGGTAATACCCCCGCCCACCCGCCCTCTACATTTTTAAAAGGTATGTAATTTGCCAGAGTAAGTGTTATCTTAGCAAGTACTAGCTAAGATAAAATTAATTTTGGCAAATGACGTAGCTTCTAAGAAAAGAAAGGGTGGGTGGGCGGGGCTAGTAACTGCTAAGATAAGACTGATTTTGGCAAATGACATATCCTCTATGAAAATACAGGGCGGGTGGACGGTACTAATATTTGTTAAGATAAGACTGATTTTGGCAATTGACATATCCTCTAAGAAAATGAAGGGCGGCTTTTCTTAGAGGATATGTCATTTGCCAAAATCAGTTTTATCGTAGCAGGTACTAGCCCCACCCACCCACCCTCTGTTTTCATAGAAGGTATGTCATCTGCCAAAATCAGTTTTATCTTATCAGGTACTAGCCCCACCCACCCACCCTCTCTTGTGTTTGAGTTTAAAATCGATTTTGGCAAATGACATATCCTGTAAAAAACGAGAGGCTGGGTGAGCGGGGCTAGTACTTGCTAAAAATAAAAAATTTAAAAATCAAAAAATGACAAATTGAAAAATCGGATAAATGAGACATCGGAAAATTGTACAAAAAATCGAAAGTTTTTTTCAGTTGCCCAGAGAAATCAAAAATCGATAGAGATAATATTGAAAATTTAAAAAGCGAGAAATTGAAAAATTCGAAAGATGAAAAATCTAGTAGTACTCGCTACGATAAGAGTGATTTTGGCAAATGACATATCCTCTATGAAAATACAGGGCGGGTGGACGGTACTAATATTTGTTAAGATAAGACTGATTTTGGCAATTGACATATCCTCTAAGAAAATGAAGGGCGGCTTTTCTTAGAGGATATGTCATTTGCCAAAATCAGTTTTATCGTAGCAGGTACTAGCCCCACCCACCCACCCTCTGTTTTCATAGAAGGTATGTCATCTGCCAAAATCAGTTTTATCTTATCAGGTACTAGCCCCACCCACCCACCCTCTCTTGTGTTTGAGTTTAAAATCGATTTTGGCAAATGACATATCCTGTAAAAAACGAGAGGCTGGGTGAGCGGGGCTAGTACTTGCTAAAAATAAAAAATTTAAAAATCAAAAAATGACAAATTGAAAAATCGGATAAATGAGACATCGGAAAATTGTACAAAAAATCGAAAGTTTTTTTCAGTTGCCTAGAGAAATCAAAAATCGAAAGAGAGATAAATTGAAAATTTAAAAGGCGAGAAATTGAAAAATTCGAAAGATGAAAAATCTAGTAGTACTCGCTACGATAAGAGTGATTTTGGCAAATGATCTACTCTCTAAGAAAACAAGGGGCGGGTGGGCCGGGCTAGTATTTGCCAAAATAAGACTCATTTTGGCCAATGATCCACTCTTCTAAGAAAATAAAGAATAGGTCATCTGCCAAAATCAGTCTTATCTTGGCAAGTATGAGACTGATTTTGCAAATGATATATCCTCTAAGAAAACAAGGGTGGGTGGGCGGGGCTAGTACTTGTTAAAATGAGAAGATTTTGGCAGATGACCCATTCTTCTAAGAAAATAAAGGGTGGGTGGGCGGGTGCGAAGAGCAGGTCATTTGCCAAAGTGACACTGACAAAATATCAATCATATTGACGCTAAAGGTGCATTTACATTGACATTTTTTAAAATGGCAAGAACAGACTACCCAGAATTCCATGTCCCTCATAGTACTTGATTCCGACGTCCCCTTAGGTCCCGGACCTGTGAAGAACCGCTTCAAGAAGTGAGAACAGTAGATAAGGCTCGTTTCGTGAGTAAAAGTTTGAAATCTTTAATAAAGTTTAAAATATGAAAAAGTGCATCTACACATTAAGAAACGTTTCTTCTGATGACGACCTTCGCCTTTTCACCTAGGAATCTTCTCTGTGTCGCGTTTTTTTCCATGGTGGCCTTTTTCAACTCATACGGTTTCGTTTTCTCGTGCTTGATACCTTCTTTCAATTTCTGGGAGACATCGGGTACCAGATACGAAAATATTCCATTGGTTAGGAATATCACGTGCTAAAAAGAACCCGTTTGGAAAAGTCCAAACTCAGAGAAACTTACTTCGAACACGATCACACACAATAATCTCATTCCGATTTGGAACCAGTACTCGTTGGTGAGTTCGTACTTTCGGGGATGATCTGGCGGGTAACGTAAAGCTGTGTAGTGGCAAATTGTCGAATTATTGTCCCGGAGTTTGACATCGTTCAGTTTTAAAGTGTCTTTCATATCATAAACTACAAGAGTTGTTATTGTGATAGTAGAACATTGATAGTAGTACCTGAGAGAGCAGACTGGATGTACCCTTTCAAAGAGTTATGCCTGTATTTGAAGATCTCTCTAGCGACAAAGTCGCTTGTAAAAGCTAGAACGAATGCCTAAAGAACATCGTTATGATAGTACCAATAGAGTAGTACTTCTTACGTTTGTGATTATACTAAGGTGTGTGATGCTTTCTATAATATTGTTCCATAGTCCAATTCCTGGGTTTCGTCTTGGTATGGGTCTTCTGTATCTAGTCACTAGTTCGTAAGCGTCTAAACGTAACTGCAGGCAGTTGTTGATCAATGCACAGAGTGGTGCTAGAGGAAATACTGCGACGAAGAAAGTCACAAAACCGTACTGTATGACTACGGATATTTCTTTAAAACGTGGACTAGACTGACGATGAACTTACTCATATCCATAAACTCCGACGTAAGCAAATATCTTCCCGTTGGATATAAAAGAAATTCTCGTTCCCACTGTGGTGATACAGTCTGTTCTTGCTTTTTTTCTTTCTTTTTGAACCGTTGAGAGATCATCCTAGAAGTATCCAGATAAGCTGGTACCACCAAGAAAATTTCTGATCTACTCACGGAATAAAAAGTGTTAGAATGTTGCCCAATAAAGACTTGATAAGCATGATAACTACGAGCTGAATACATAAAGCCATGGTACATCCGACAGACAGGCACAGGTCTGCCCTGACGCTCGCTACTATAGTATGAGCCGGCGAATAAAATCTACCCTGTCAAAATGATTATATCGTCACAAAATTGATATCAACCACGATCTTACCTTAAGAAAAGCTAAGTAGAACATGGCGGCATAATTATTAGAAAAAGACAAGAGGTATCTCTTGAAGATAACAGAATTGTCGTACTCTAGTTGCGTTCTTGGATTTTCCAATTGTGTTAACCACACTGACATTGGTGTGTAAAACTGCAAGAACCCGTTTTGCTAAGTTCGATTTTAAATGTAGCAAATACCCTTGCATATATCTTGATAAAGAATAGTTGGAGAAGAGCGGTTGTAACACTTTCTATGAGCAAAGAGTGTAGAGTTATGTACTGGATTTGACTCACACGTATAAGGGCAGCTATTGATATTCTGTACATTATCACCCCAAAGACGACCAGGACTACCACACCTATCTGAACCAGAAAATAAAAAAAGTTAACAAAAGTAGGAACAAATACCAAAAGTAAGCACATTGTATAAGACAGACAGTAGTAAGCAGCTTTGATCTTCATAGGTGTGTATTCTGACGTTTCATTAAACAGCACTCGGGTTTCAGATTTCGAAACAACGTGTTCAACGTTCCATCGTATCTTCAAAATCTTTTCATTTCGTTTCCACATGTTTAAAAATGCAGTCGCTTTAAGGTGGATTAGTATGAACCGTTATTCAATTCTTACCCCAAAAAGACATGAAAATCGCGAATAAATAGTTGCCGAAATTATCAAAAAGTAGTGTCATTCGTGAATAGTAACACTCCATCTTTAAAGGATAGAGAACACAAGAATGCCCTTGCGAACATGGTGGACACATCATTATCTTACTGTTGCAAATCTCCTCTCTAAAATCGTCAACAAAAGGTTTATACAAGATACAAGAATGCGTGCAGATTTCACGTACATTCTGACGTCGTGTGATGACACTAAATATATCACGCTCATCAAAAAGCTAAACACTCCAATCGCTGAAGCCGGAATGAGCATAAAGTTGTACAGTCCCAACCATGCAAAGTAGAAAGCTACTTCAGTACCGTAGTATTTTTCGATGAGATTGAGAGGCTGTTCTTTGTACCACATGGAAAAGTTGGCCCAGTATTTTAATAGTATCTTTGACAAAAGTAGAGTTGCTTTATCAAAATGCGATAGTTTACCTGTCTGTCGTTCAAAAAATCGGAATCTTCGTCGTATTCACACTCCCCGTCGTGCAAAGGGAAGTGATCCACCACAGCGCCGATGCTTTGCAATTTTTGGATTCCGTAGTAGTTATCAAAACGACTGTCGCCAAATCTAGCATCGTTTAACAAACGATATAATATTAGAATCCGTTCCAGATTTGTGGCCTCGCTGAACAAAATTACTGACGGGAGATTCAACATGATCGACTTACCCTTGTCGCCTAAAAAGGTCTTGGTTAAGTGTTACCGGAGTTTGACTGATCTTGAGGTTGATAGACGAAACTGAAAAGTAATAGTGACCAGTGTTTTCGATATCAATTTCATAAGCATCTGCCAGTTGTCGAATAAATCGTTCAGATATGTGTAGCTTGAGGTACACATTTTCAGGTATCTTTAAAAACAAGAACCAAATAATAATTGAAAGGAAAATCTGAAGATGCGTACATTTCCAAAAACTAGCTCTATTTCGATACCCCGCTCCTGCAAGTATTGGACGTATTTCTGCACAAATTCGAAGTAATTGGTCTTCTTTATGTCTTTTTTTAGAACTATCACGTAATCACACCTAGACTGAAGTTCGTTTTCGAAGTCTTCAGACAAATCAACTCGAACACTTTCGTCAGAAGACGTTAAACCCGGGAGTTTCACAATGTCTGTTCCTGACATTTTAACAAGTGTTTGGATGCTTAGAAACCAAAATAACAAGATTTGAAGTGGAAACCCATTACTAATTTTTTTTCACTTGTATGACATCGATTTTTTTTTCGAATTTGGTCATATACTAATTTCTTTATTCCTGAAATTTACACTCCTTACTAACCAGAAGCTCCGGAATAAGAATTCTGGCCCCAAAATCCCTTACCAAGCGTTCTGATTTTTTTTTTTTTTCGATTTTTTCCCGAAGTACAGCAAAATGACATTGTTCGATTTATGACCTCCTCAAATCGAAACTTGTACTACCAAAAAAGTCCAAGGAATCGAATACCGTTAAATTTGAAGCGCTATGATTTCCCGTTCCGGAATTATAAGCCCACTAAATATTTTTGAAAATTTTTTCCTAGTGGAAAAACCCGCTTTTTCGGTGGAAAACTGAGGAATGTCGTGCAACTGACTTAAGAAGTAGATTCAGCGGTACAAAATTAGCTAGGATTCCGGTTTTCAAGTCGATTGGAAGACTTTCATTATTTAGCCAAATTTTTCGTAATGTATGACATCAAATTTTTTCCCCGAATTTGGTCATATCATCCTAATTTGTTTATTCCGGCACGGAATCTCTTGAAACTTGCACTCTTTACTAACCAGAAGCTCCGGAATAAGAATCTGGACCCTAAAATGCCTCACCAAGCGTTCCGAATTTTTTTCGATTTTTTTTCCGAAGCACAGCAAATCAGAAAATAACATTGTTCGATTTATGACCTCCTCAAATCGAAACTTGTACTTTTTCCGGTCTGAAAATCACTGCCGCGACCAAAAAATTCCAAGAAATCGAATGCCTTTAAATTTGAGGCGCTATGATTTGCCGTTCCGGAATTATAAGCCCATAAATATTTTTTTAAATTTTTTCGTAGTGGAAAAGCTCGCTTTTCGGCGGAAAACGGAGGAATTTCGTGCAACTGACTTATGAAGTAGATTCAGCGGTACAAAATTAGCTAGGATTTCGATCGGAAGACTTTCACTATTTAGCCAAATTTTTCATAATGTATGACATCAAAATTTTTTCCCGAATTTTGTCATTTCATCCTAATTTGTTTATTCCGGCACGGAATTTCTTGAAATTTGCACTCTTTACTAACCAGAAGCTCCGGAATAAGAATCTGGACCCTAAAATGCCGCACCAAACGTTCTGAATTTTTTTCGATTTTTTTTTCCGAAGCACAGCATATCAGAAAATAACATTGTTCGATTTATGACCTCCTCAAATCGAAACTTGTACTTCTTCCGGTCTGAAAATCAACTGTCGCTACCAAAAAATTCCAAGAAATCGAATACCGTTAAATTTGAGGCGCTCCGATTTGCTGATCCGGAATTATAAGCCCACTAAATATTTTTGAAAATTTTTTCCTAGTGGAAAAACCCGCTTTTTCGGCGGAAAACGGAGGAATCTCGTGCAATTGATTTGAGAAGTAGATTCAGGGGTACAAAATTAGCTAGGATTCCGATTTTCAAGTCGATCGGACGACTTTCATTATTTAGCCAAATTTTTCGTAATATATGACATCGAAATTTTTTCCCGAATTTGGTCATGTCATTTTGATTTATTTATTCCGGCACGGAATCTCTTGAAATTTGCACTCTTTACTAAACAGAAGCTCCGGAATAAGAATCCGGGCCTTAAAATGCCGTACCAGGCGTTCCGAATTTTTTTCGATTTTTTTTCCGAAGCACAGCGTATCAGAAAATGACATTGTTTGATTTATGACCTCCTCAAATTGACACTTATACTGCTTCCGGTCTGAAAATCAAATGTCGCGACCAAAAAATTCCAAGGAATCGAATGCCGTTAAATTTAAAGCCTTCCGATTTGCCGTTCCGGAATTATAGGCCCACTAAATATTTTTGAAAATTTGTTCCTAGTGGAAAAACCCGCTTTTTCGGTGCAAAACGGAGGAATGTCGTGCAACTGACTTAGAAGTAGATTCAGCGGTACAAAATTAGCTAGGATTCCGCTTTTCAAGTCGATCGGAAGACTTTCATTATTTAGCCAAATTTTTCGTAACGTATGACATCAAAATTTTTTCCCGAATTTGGTCATATCATCCTAATTTGTTTATTCCGGCACGGAATCTCTTGAAATTTGCACTCTTTACTAACCAGAAGCTCCGGAATAAGAATCTGGGCCCTAAAATCCCGCACCAAACGTTCTGAATTTTTTTCGATTTTTTCCGAAGCACAGCATATCAGAAAATAACATTGTTCGATTTATGACCTTCTCAAATCGAAACTTGTACTTCTTTCGGTCTGAAAATCAACTGACGCGACCAAAAAATTCCAAGGAATCGAATGCCGTTAAATTTGAAGCCTTGCGATTTGCCGTTCCGGAATTATAGGCCCACTAAATATTTTTGAAAATTTTTTTCTAGTGGAAAAACCCGCTTTTTCGGTGCAAAAGGGAGGACTGTCGTGCAACTGACTTGAGAAGTAGATTCAGCGGTACAAAAATAGCTAAGATTCCGATTTTCAAGTCGATCGGAAGACTTTCATTATTTAGCCAAATTTTTCGTAATGTATGACATCAAAATTTTTTCCCGAATTCGGTCATATCATCCTAATTTGTTTATGCCGGCACGGAATCTCTTGAAATTTGCACTTTTTACTAACCAGAAGCTCCGGAATAAGAATCCGGGCCTTAAAATGCCGTACCAGGCGTTCTGCATTTTTTTCGAATTTTTCCGAAGTACAGCATATCAGAAAATGACATTGTTCGATTTATGACCTCCTCAAATCGAAACTTGTACTTCTTCCGGTCTGAAAATCAACTGTCGCGACCAAAAAAGTCCAAGGAATCGACTGCAGTTAAATTTGAAGCACTATGAATTGCCGTTCCAGAATTATAAGCCCATAAATATTTTTGAAAATTTGTTTCTAGTTGAAAAACCCGCTTTTTCGGTGCAAAACGGAGGAATGTCGTGCAACTGACTTAAGAAGTAGTTTCAGCGGTACAAAATTAGCTAGGATTCCGATTTTCAAGTCGATCGGAAGACTTTCATTATTTTGCCAAATTCTTCGTAACGTATGACATCAAAATTTTTTCCCGAATTTGGTCATATCATCCTAATTTGTTTATTCCGCCACGGAATCTCTTGAAATTTGCACTCTTTACTAACTGGAGCCACCGGAATAAGAATCTGGACCCTAAAATGCCGCACCAAGCGTTCTGAATTTTTTTCGATTTTTTCTTTCCGAAGCACAGCATATCAGAAAATGACATTGTTCGATTTATGACCTCCTCAAATCGAAACTTGTACTTTTTCCGGTCTGAAAATCAACTGTCGCGACCAAAAAAGTCCAAGGAATCGAATGCCGTCAAATTTGAAGTGCTATGATTTGCCGTTCCGGAATTATAAGCCCATAAATATTTTTGAAAATTTTTCTGCAGTGAAAAAACCCGCTTCTTTGTGTAGAAAGTATATCATTTGCCAAAATCAGTCTTATCTTGGCAAGAAATCCAAATCATAGATCACGATTATGGAACCGATCCCTCTGATCAAGGTGATCGAGCCATCGACGTTACGTTACGCGCAAAATCAGTGATTTGAGCAAAGTCAACAGAATCAAACAACGAATTATTCTTAACATGTTTATTTAATGTCTGACTTCAATACAAACTCTGTTAATAACCTTAAAATTAAATTTCGCTAAATATATTCGTTTTATCGGTTTCTTGTTGCTTGAGATAAGTGTCGTGTAAAGTTTTCAGTTTGATCTCTTTGAGTTGGTCTCGTTGGAAATTTATGTGTTCTTTAACTGAAAATGGTATATCAGGAATTACGTAGGCTATTATTCCCGTTATCAACATGACAATATGCTGCAAAAAATGTGTTTTTACTAATTCCTGGGACTCGGTACCTACTTCGAACAGAACCACGGCGAGAAATTTTACTGTTACGGTGTACCAGTGATCATCGGTCAGTTGGTATCTGAGTGGGTGATCCGGAGGATATCGCTTTCCGGGGTAATAGCAAACGCTGACGTTTCGACGAGCTTCGTACGTGAAAGGAAATTCGCTTACGTTATATACTAGAAACAATTCCATACAAACAAAGCAAGTCGAGTGACAAAAACATATACCTGATAACAAAGTAGTGATATATCCTTCTAAATTATATTTAACCGAATGTCTATAAATTTCCCTCTGTACAAATTCGCTAGTGAAAGCGATGACAAAAGCCTAAACAAAATTTTCCAAGTTTAAGTACACTGAAATTAAGTTTCTTACGTTAGTAGCTACTCCTATATAAGTAATTCCTTGCAAAATCCCGTTCCAGGCTGCCAAACTCGGAACTTTGAAAGCCACCGGTCGCCTAAAAGCGTTGGTCATTTTGAAAGCATCCACTCTGAGTTCGATCAGATTATTGAAAAGTGCCAGGAGAGGTGCGGGTGGAAAAGCAGCCACAAAAAAAGTCACAAACCCGTACTGAATAACTACAAAAACGAAAATAGTAAGCGAAGATTAAGTTTTCCGTCGTTACTCATGGACATGTATTCGGACATCATATGGTACTTGATCACCGCATTTAACAAATAATCTTTCTCCCATTGTAACGTGACATTCGGATCCATTGTTTTCCTATGACGAAATTTAGTCAGAAATAGTTTAAGTTGTCTGAAATTGCAATATTTTTTATTTTTGTTGTGGTAGTACCCACACTTACGGGACGATATATTGCTTGGCTGTTAGAACTAATCTCTTCGCCATGAGTATAAAGAATAGTTGAATACTTAGCTCGACAATGCAACCTGAAGGGTCACACAGATCTGACCCAATACCTGCAGCTTCCTTAAAAATGGCTTTGTCTCCCGGATACGTGTAGAATCTGGCCTAAAACACTATTAGTTGTTTTTTCAAAATTCGAAACAACAAACACTAAATCGGGTACAATTACCTTTAAAAATGCTAGGTAAAAAATGACGCTGTAGTTATTAACAAACGCCAGCGCGTAGCTTTTGTATGTGAAAGAATTGTCGAATTCTATTTGGGTTCTCGGATTTTCCATACGCGTTAACCACATTGCAATTTTTTCATAAAACTGAAACTCGAAATTAACTCGTTGCAAAAAAGTTCCAATTGAACGATTACCATTTCGAAGACGAGTATGAGACACACGGATATCATTGAACCTGAAACAGAAGCTACTAGTCCTACGGGAACTTTAACTTCATCGGCGTGTGTCGTTAGTACCACAGACACTGTTTTAACATAAATCATAACTGCCAGAATCCCAAGTACCATTAAAATGATCTAAAGTACAAAAAAAAACTAAATTTGAGTTTTAACTTGACACCTGCGATCGTTTTTCCTCACAACGTACCAGCAGTATGATCGCAGCGGATGTGATGGCGTATCTGTAACACAGTTGTTTTTTGGGCATGTATGGTTCCGTGCTTCCGGTTATAGTAGAAAATCTAAAATTCGTGGCCTTTTCTTCGAATTCTGGTCTAAAAACGACACGATCATCAATTTGATAAGTAAAGCGTCGAAAGATACCTCATGGAGCTGTCCACTTCCACGGACCTCAAATTCCACCTGATTTGCAACATCGCTTCTTCTCGTCGCCACAGTTCCAAGAAAATGGTTGCTGTTAATGAATAAATACACGTGCGACGTCAAAAAACTCACACCAAATGGACATCAAAGCAGCGAAAGTTATCACCAGTGGGTTATCCAGAAGGTACATCAACTTTGCATGGAAACAGGAGTTCTCCAGAGGTTCGTATTTGCAATGTTCTGCTAGACACCTGGGACATAGCAGCAGGTTGCTTTCACAAATCTCTTTACTAAAAGAAATGGTTAAGGTGAAGATGACTGTGGAAAATAATACTACTTTCGAACTGTAAAGGTGTGGTAGAAGCTTATCATTCCAAGAAAGAAAAGCACAGAACCTATTGCTGAAGCCGGAAGGAGCATTTTGTTGTAGAAGCCTACCCAAGCAAAATAGAAACTAGCTTCTGGTCCGTAGTACTGTTCAATCACGTCTAGAGGTTGCTGCTTGTACCAACACTTTAGGTTACTCCAGTACCTAGCCAGCAGCTAAACGAACCACCAATTAGAGGAAATCAAACTCGAGTAATATAATAGTTGCCTGTCGGTCATTCAAAGGACCTTCTTCTGTCCATTTCCAGGACCCATCGTGCAACGGATACGCGTCCAAAAACACCTTACCATTTATCAGTTTATCAATACCGTATTCGTGCCGACTGTCCCCGAACGGGTTTTGTGATAACACCTTATAGATAACCAGACCTTTCTCAGCGTTGGTTATAGTCCTCGGAGTAATCCCTAAAATAGTGTCCCTAAAAATGTACATACTTACATGTTTATAACACTCATGCTGTATACCTTGCTCTTGCAAAAACAGCTCCGAATGGATCAGGAACTGTCAGTTCCGTTGCCATAAACTTGTACGGTTTGGAAGGTCGAATTTTATAATCAACGCGCTGAAAAGTTAACTCTATACCAAAAAGCTCGGCAAATTGGACAAGAATTTCTGTGGGAGCATGGATTTTGATAAAGTTAATGTCGTCGTTTGCCTACAACAAAGCGTTAGTGTGCACACTAAAATCGCCTTTGAATTTACAGAGAAAGGTGTAGACTCTAGCAAGAACCCCTTATGCTCCAAGTTGAAAACGAAAGTTTCGATTTTGTTATACGCCTCTTCGTTGACATGCTTCTTATCATAGACCAAGACGAAATCAACGCTTTGGATAAGAGAAGACGAGTTTGTTTGAATTTTGGGTTCAACTTTCTGGGTGATAACGTCGTCTTCTATTGGTTGTTCACTACGCTTGGTATAAGATTTCTCTTCTACTTTATCTGCGTTTCTGGAAAGAACCAATCAAATACAGACAGAATGATCTTCAACGAAACCTTTTCGTGTATTTCCTAACCGGTCCCACCCAAATCCTTCTAGGTGTTTTCATTTCAACCAAAGTTGTATTCAATAACAGACACATGAAACATGCGTGAATAAAAACTAGTAAAATATATTGAAGAAAAAAGTACAAGATAATGACAACGTCATTTTTTTCGTTGACGTAAAAATATCGAACGGAAAATTTATTGCTTTGACGGTACGGTAAATCATAAGATGGCATGTGTTTTTATAGCGAAATGTGATGTCTTTGCAAACTTACGCATTCGAAATGTCGCTTTTTGTCGTTCCTGGAATTAGCATTCTGAAGAAATCATCAATAGCTCACGATGCAACACTTTGATGTCACCTTTGACAAAGTAGTTGACAACTATTTCACAATCTTTACAAATTAGTTGTTTTGGCGTTTGTTTATATTCGATAAATCGGGTTGTTACTATTTTTTAATTAATAATTATTGTTTACAATTTACTTAAGTGTACAGTAAGGACAACAAAGATACAAAAACCATGAATGTTCCATTTTAGACTTTTACTGTCTAACGAGAAATTAAAATCTGTATTTTTTTAAATTTGGAGGCGGTTATGTCTTTTTGTCTTTTTCCATCTGCGCCTCTCTCGCCGCTCGCAGCATCTTTTCGTCGTGTTCCAACTTCACTTTCACCTTCCGCGGAATTTCCGGTATCAGATAGCTCAAAACAAGCGACAACAGAAGCGTCATTTTCTAAAACACAACGGTGTGAAAAACCAAAAACGGTTGATTTACTCTTACTTCCAAAATAATGAAATACAGAGCTCTTATTGCCAAATGCTGCCAATACAAACTTGTCGGTTGATATTGGTTTTCATCCTCGGGCGGATACCTAGAACCACGATAATAACAATAAGTTTCGTTCGCGTGTTCTCTTAGTTGTTCGTCGTAGTGGAGATCGCTTGTAGCAAATTCTACAAAGTTTCGCTTTGTTACTATATATTTTTTCAAGTTCATGCTTACTGGACAGGGTACTGTTTATGTACCCGTGCAAAGACCCGTTGTGTTTGTTCTCATAAATAGTCCTATGTATAAAGTTGCTTCTAAAAGCTACAACAAAAGTCTGAAAGCTCGTTAGTAGTATCATCCGTTTAAAAAGTTATACGTTTGAAATACACCCGAAAACAGTAACTGCTTGGAGGACGTTGTTCCAGCCTTGTATGTCTGGAATTTGTTCCAACACAGGCCTCCGATAAAATTTCAAAAATCGGTACGCATCGAGCTTGATTTTTAAAACATTGTGTATTAAAGCTATAAGACCGATGATAGGAAGCGATGCGTTAAAGAAAGTGATTAAGCTGTACTGCAACACTGGAAAGGAATTAGACGTCGAAACTGCGAAGTAACACTTCACCTAGTTCCGTATAAAGATCATTAATAACAGCATCATCGATTTCATTCATCATGAAGTCTTTTTCCCATTGACCGAAATTCCCAGCTGTGTCTTTCGGTCTTTCGGATTGGTACCACGGAGACATCCAACTATGGTACTTATTAGAATGTCATATTCACGATCAAAAGTACTTACTGCTTGATAAGATTAAATCCATTTTTTACCAACGTTTTGACAATCATTATTGTTATCAACTGCATACCTAAATCCACTAAACACCCAGCAGGTTTGCACAAATCCAACTGCAACCTCCGGACAAAAAAAAACTCGGAATAATTCCCAGGGTACTTATGAAAGAACCCTTTAACGTACGCCAAGTAGAACAAAGACGAAAAATTATTAGAAAATGTGATGATAAACATCATCTGCAAATACATCCGGTTGTACTGCAGCTGCGTTCTTGGCATCCTCAATAGTGTCAAAAACTTGATAATTTGTGCGTACATTTTCAAAATGTAAGGAGCACACTAGAACGTACAATCACTTCAACAAGTAAAGAACCCTACGATACTTACACTATCGAGGATCATAATAAGAATTGCTGTTAGTAACGAAGACGTAAATAACTCGAGTTCATTAGCAAGATTCATTTCGTCGTAATCTAAGCCCTTGCGAAGCACAAACCGGTACTCGATGACCAAAAAAACGACAAAGAAAAAAATTAAAAGCTGGAAGGGATTATTTTACGATGGTTTTTCATTTTGGTGGCGTACCATTATCAGAATTATGAGATAGGTGAACACGGCGGTGAGAATTTTCTTGTGTGGCGGTATAAAGTACTCTAATTCGCCGGTAATGGAAGATCTTCGCACGTTAGCATTTTGCTGAAAATCCTTTCTAAAATTTGAATAACGTTAAAACTGAACACTAGCAATAACCTCATGGATCGATCAGCTTTGACACCCATCAAATTCCACCTTAAACGTAGCATGGATTGTCTTCTTTGCCATAAATTCCAGAATATAACACCTGGAAAGTACCCTCAGAAACGATTCCAGAAGCACGAGAACCTCACCCCAAAAAGAAGACAGAATCACGTATACTATAGTCGCCGGGTTGTCAATCACATAGGCCAGTTTCATCAAATGACAAGCGCTTTTTAATTTTTGGTCAGAACAAAGTACGATGGAACTTTTGCACACTTCATTCCTGTTTTGCATTAGTACCGACTTAGTTGTAGCGATAGATAGCTACAACTAAGTCGGTACTTACTCTATGTAATGATCTCGACCGAACGTTAACGCGAAACCTACAATTACGGTGATAGTACCGATGGCGGTCGGTACTAGCAACATCTTCGTGTAAAGAGACGCAAGTGCAAAGTAGAATGCAATCTTCGGTCCGTAGTACTTTTCGATCAAGTGGACCGGTTGCTCTTTGAAAACGTACTTCCAGCTGGGCCAGAATTTGAACAAAAGCTAGAAAATTCACTGTCAATTTTATAGTACCAACTGATTCCTTTTTCACTTGTCTGTCGGTTAAATGTCCTTCGGTGGTCCAAGCGTAGTCACCATCGTGAATGGGATAAGCCTGCACGAAAATATCCGTGTCCAACAAGTTCTTCATCGTGACCTCGTTTTCATCGAAACTAATAGTGATTCGTTTCAAAATTTCGTAAATGATTTTACTCCTTTCAGAGGTAGTTATTTCTGTAGGTCTATCACCAGAGAGAGATTTCCTGAAAAATGTTGTTTGTGGTTCACAGTTAAAGCAGTTCTCAAAAAAATCGGACACCCCATCTTTGTGACGAAACACGACCAAATCGAATGAGCGGGTGTGCGGATTTTTTTGTACATTAACCTACTGAGCCCTCTTGTAGATGTTGCTCTCGGGATCCGGTTTTGTTAACTCCGAGGTCAAAAAATTAAACAGAATCGTCTCTTTGTACTTGTAGTACGGATTCTGGCAAGTCAGTCCGATGTTGTAGATTGTGGCATAACGTGTTAGTACAGCATGCGGACCGTGGATTTTGAGAAAAACAAGGGTTGTATAAAACTAGGGAAGATGGTCATTTCTGGATTTTTCGTAAAGATCTTACCTTTCCGACCTCTCGTTCAACAACTAAGCCTTTTTCTTTCATTTTTGTGATAAACAGGTTTATTTGTTCCAAAGGACGATGCAATTCTATGTTTTCTTCAAAGTTTGGAAGAACTATAACAAAGTCTACTTTAGTTTTACCATCCGAAAAGTAACAAGATTTAGGTAAGCGAATTTCCTTGTCCTCTACGGGGACTGCTGGAATCATACTCAAAGCTTTGACTACGTCAGTGGTCTGTCAAAGTGACAATTATCAAACGATTCACACAAATTCTTTATTCGAAACATTCACATTATAAACATATTTTTTTATTTATTTATTTATCTTTCTCCCTTGCTTCACCTCAAACTCATCAATTTTCAACCCGTTCACCACACATTCTTCACAGTACTTTTTTATTCATCGTCTGCTTGCACAAACAGTAGTACTACTGTCAATAGTCTCTTCATTGTTTTTCAAAAGTGAGTCATCAATTTCCAGCCTATTCATGCTAAGTTTCCCATTTTCGACTTTGGTACTACCTTTGAATTGTAAAGGCAACCTCAAAAAGTCATTATTATTAGTTTTTCATTTAGTTTGTTGTTTAATTAGTAGTTTTTAAGTGTGGTACCATACAACAATATTTTAGAGTGAAGAAACCCTTCAAGGGGCATTGGTTGTACGGCCACCGATAAAGGTCGATTTATAAACTTGCCGCTGGCGTTGCCATCACTTTTTAGACTGTAGCTTTCTGTCAGTAGGTACTTATACATTGTTAAAGATAGTTCTCGACAGATTAGGTATTATAACTACAAGGGCTTACATTTTCCCTTTTTTCTTGATATGTGTAGTCTTCTTTTGACAACAAGAAAAGTAAAACATGCTTAAAATGGTAATTTTTTTGTATAGTAGCCTGCATAGATATTGTAGCCGTCCATAGAGTCGAAATTTGCGAATAAAAATAAAATAAAACCGGCTCAAACGGAGCTGACGACGGCTTGCAAGTTCTGTCACTACGGCACGCGTCACATTACACAGGGGTGTATTTAAGACTGTTTGCACAAAATCTTAAGGTCACTGTAATCTTACTATTTTCTATCTACAACAAACGATTTGTCACACAGCTACGAAACCGATGATCTAGAGAAAGATGGAAGTTTGAAAATTTATTTCAACAAGTGTAATAACCGTTTGGTGCAACACAATTGGTTCAAGCAAACTAAAATATGACAGGAAACAAACAGTCCACGTGGACTAGTTTATAGCCGTGTTTCCTGCTAAGATGACCAGGTTTCTCGCTCCACCTACCTCCGCGATGATGAATATACCATACCACAACTTGTGTACTGTGAACAGAGCTTCGATTTTATTGACGAGATTCAGCTCAGAAATTAAACAGATTATATCATAACAGAAAAAATGAGATGTAATATTTAATACGTCTCTGTGCAACGTGTGCCAGAGTGATGTCAGACTTTGCAAGCCATCGTCGGCTCCGTTTGAACCGGTTTTATTTTATTTTTATTCGCAAATTTCGACTCTATGGACGGCTACAATATCTATGCAGGCTACTATAGCAAAGTATCGATTTTGCAATTAAGCTCCACCCCTCGGTCTGACAACGAATGAAAAATTCATCACAATTGAGCTCGTCATGGATATGGGTGGGGTTTAATTTTTTGTCTTAACATACAAAGTATTCTTTGAACAGCACGATACCTACTCAAAAACATGTTTTTTAATTCTTGTACAGAAATGAGGATTCTGCAATTAAGCTCCGCCCCCTTGGCTCACGACCAATAAAAAAAATCATCAGAATTGAGATAGAGGGGGGGGGTGGGAGGAGCTAATATGTTGTCTTTTTTCTTAATATACGTAGCCATCATTTCACAACAAAAAACTTACAACATGGTTAAAATGGTACAAGTTTCATATTGTGAAAAGACGTCTACACAGATTAAAACAAAAAGGCAAAATATAAGCCCCACCCACCCACCCTGTCTCAATTGTGATGATCTTTTTATTCGCCGTGAACCCAGGGGGCGGAGCTTAACTGCAAAATACTTATTTCCTTACGAGAAATTAAAAACATGTTTTTGAGTATCGTCTTGTTCAATAAATATTATGTATATTAAGAAAAAAAGGCAAAATATAAACCCCGCCCACCCACCCTATCTCGATTGTGATGATTTTTTTTATTCTTAGAAACTTAACACACGTTTAAAATAGTAAATTTTTGTAAGGCAATACGGATTTTGCAATTAGGAGCCGCCCCTCGACTTTCGACGAATAAAAAAAATCATCAGAATTGAGATAGGGCGGGTGGGCTGGGCTTATATTTTACCTTTTATTTCTTAATGTACATAGCCATGTTTTCATAACAAGAAACTTAAAACATTGTTAAAATGGGTTTTGCAAGGAAATATGGATTTTGCAATTATGGGGCGGAGCCTAATTGCCAAATCGATATTTCCTTATACAAATGTTCCATTTTAAGCATGTTTTAAGTTTCATGTTGTGAAAAGAAGTCTACACATATTAAAACAAAAAGGCAAAATGTAAGCCCGCCCACCCGCCCTATCTCAATTGTGATGATTTTTTTATTGGCCATGAACCAAGGGGGCGGAGCTTAACTGCAAAATACTTATTTCTTTACAAGAAATTAAAAACATGTCCTTGAGTATCGTCTTGTTCAAAAAATACTATGTATATTAAGAAAAAAGGGCAAAATATTAACCCCGCCCACCCACCCCATCTCAATTGTGATGATTTTTTTATTCTTAGAAACTTAAAACATGTTTAAAATAGTAAATTTTTGTAAGGCAATACGGATTTTGCAATTAGGATCCGCCCCTCGGCTTACGATGAACAAAAAAATCATCAGAATTGAGATACGGCGGGTGAGCGGGGCTTATATTTTGGCGTTGTTTTCTGAATATACATCGCCATCTTTTCACAACAAGAAACTTAAAACATTGTTAAAATGATTTTTGCAGGGAAATATGGATTTTGCAATTATGGGGCGGAGCCTAATTGCCAAATCGATATTTCCTTATACAAATGTTCCATTTTAAGCATGTTTTAAGTTTCATGTTGTGAAAAGAAGTCTACACATATTAAAACAAAAAGGCAAAATGTAAGCCCGCCCACCCGCCCTATCTCAATTGTGATGATTTTTTTATTTGCCGTGAACCAAAGGGGCGGAGCTTAACTGCAAAATACTTGTTTCTTTACAGGAAATTAAAAACATGTCATTGAGTATCGTCTTGTTCAAAAAATACTACGTATATTAAGGAAAAAGGACAAAATATAAACCCCGCCCACCCATCCGATTTCAATTGTGATGATTTTTTTATTCTTAGAAACTTAAAACACGTTTAAAATAGTAAATTTTTGTAAGGTCACACGGATATTGCAATTAGGAACCACTTCTCGGGTTACGACGAATAAAAAAAATCATCAGAATTGAGATAGGGCGGGTGGGCGGGGCTTATATTTTGCCATTTTTCTTAATATACGTAGTCGTCTTCTCAGAACAAGAAATTTAAAACATGTTTTTAATTTCTCGTAGAGAAATGAAGATTTTGCAGTTAAGCTCCGCCTTCTTGGCTCACGACGAATAAAAAAAATCATCGCAATCTAGATAGGGCGGGTGGGCGGGCTACATTTTGTCTTTTTTATTTATTAGTGTACACTTATTTCAACAACAAGAAATTTAAAACATGTCTAAGGTCAAATTAAAGGCGGATTCATAAACCACAAGGGCAGACGTAGGTACCTTATGTTTTATTATGAAATTTCGGTAACATTTATTGTACAAAATTTTGTCATAACAAGACAAATTCTGGTTAGAGTTTTACCACGTACTGTTGCTAAAACACGTAAAACTGTATAACAATCAACAATAGAGTACAGACCAGTGGCGGCTGGTGCAGGAAGGGCAAACGGGCAATGCCCCACCAAAATGAAAGCACATTTTTAAATCTGAGAATTTCGCGCTATTAATTATCAAAATGCATTTAATTACGAAACCTACAAGTTGCCTATGTTCAGAACACAATCTGACATCATCTCGGCAGGGTATCATACACCTTTGCCCGTCCTGCATGTTGCCAAATTGTGAATATTTTCATTGACCCGTACTTGGCACTCTTCGCGATTATATGCACAAATGCACGATATTGCAACATCTTGGCAGGGCATAGTAATCGCTTCGTCTTAATTATGTACTGCAACTTAAGTACTTAAATGCATATACGATTGCATACACTTTTATCGATTTATTAGTCATCGATTTTGAAACAAAACGGTCGAGTGAAATTTGCTAACTTTGTTAGTTTTCTGTGCGTTTGCAGTGATTTTAAGAAACTTAAAAAACTGTGTTGCAGAGTTGTCAATAATATCAATATGAATTCAATTGCGAGAATTTTGCGGCTACAATCTGAAAATAAATTAAGTCATGATGAAAAACTATTAATAAAAAACGTTGGACCGCCAAGACCCGATTTGGACATTGCTATGTCGTCTAAAGTTAAAGACAAACTCGTGCATCGAAAATCTAATAAGACTATGTATCAAAGTGAGTGGTGGTTATGTGGTTGCAACGCGAAAAACGCCCTTTTCTGTTTTGTATGTACCCTTATGAATAACGGAGAAGTTGATAAAGCTTGGACTGAAACCGGAATCACGGATTTAAAACATTTTGGGGAAAACGTAAAAAAGCATCGCTCGAGTAAAAAACACTTAAATCTCAACGTATCGTTCGCAGTCTTAGGTAAAGTAGACATAAGAAATCAGTTAAATAGTGCTTATAGAGAGAACGTCGAGAAACATAATGATCAGGTAAAACAGAATAGATACATTTCAAGTAAACTGATTGACGGTATAAAATTTTTGTGGAATCTTTGAGTTGGCTTTAAGGGGGCATGATGAAACGCATGATTCTACAAATCCGGGAATTTTCAGAGGTTTAATTAATTTAATGGCAGAGCTTGACACTACATTAAACTCTCATGTAGAAAAAACGAACAATCGCGTTTTTATGGGTCTTTCAAAAACCATACAAAACGAACTACTTGATTCAATTTATGCTGTTTGTATTAATTTAATCAAAGACGAAATTTTGGAAGCGGACTATATATCTATTTTAGCTGATGAAACTACAGATGTAGCTTCACAGTCGCAGCTGGTTTTTGTCGTTAGATATGAATTGAAAGGTAAAATATTTGAAAGATTTTTAGGATTCATTAATCCAACAGATCACACAGCTGATTGTATTTCTAGTATTATTTTAAATGAGCTCGAAAAACTTGAAATCAATCAAAATTCAAAAAAACTTATATCTCAGTCTTATGATGGTGCTTCGGTTATGAGTGGAAGACAAAATGGGGTACAAGCAAAAATCAAGGAACATTACTCTAAAGCTCAGTTTATTCACTGCTATGCTCACCAGTTGAATTTAATTATAGAAAAGGCGGCATCAGCACACGGCCAAGTAAGACTTTTTTTTTCAAATTTAGAATCATTTTCCTCGTTTTTTTCAAGATCTCCTAAACGTATAAAAATACTTGATGATATCGTTTCTAAAAGATTACCAAGAAATTGTCCGACTAGATGGAACTTTAAGTCACGAATAGTCAATACTGTACATAGTTTTAAAAATGATTTGATTAACTGCTTTCAAATTATAATGGAAGATAAAAATAGTGACAAATTAACAATTGCCAAGGCAAGTAGTTTACGGAAAACATTAGAAGATTACGATTTTAATTTTTGGTAATAGTTCTTTCACAGAATCATGCCTAGTACCGAGATACTTTTCAACCAACTTCAAATTCCCGAAATGGACCTAATTAAACTTCAAAAAAACATTACTTCTTTTAAACTTGCCATACAACATGTAACAGATTCTATCGACTACGATTATTACCGAGAAGAAAACGAAGAGGGTGAATCTTCAAAAAAGCGGTCTCATTTTAATGATAATAAAATTGCAATTGCTAAAGAAATTTGTGATAATATTAAATTTAGTATAAATGATCGATTTTTAGAAGCAGATTATATTACAGCAGCAAATTTGTTTCAGACTAGCTTATTTTCATATTTTCAACTAAATTTTCCATCAAAAGAAGCTGAATTATGTACTACAAAATATGATTTAAATCTTAATGTGTTAAAAAATGAGTTAAACGTTATTTATAATCATCCCGATTTTTCAACAGCAAATGGTGCCTTAACATTCTTGAAGTTTATGTATGAAAACAATTTATTAGACGTATTTTCAGAAACATAAAAATTATTGAAAATTATTTGCACATTACCGATGGTGACAAGTGAATGCGAACGATGTTTTTCGACGTTAAAACGTATAAAGACATTTTTACGAAATACAATGTGTCAAGAAAGATTGTGTGCCTTGGCAATGTGTTCAATAGAAAAAAAACTAGTGCAAGAAAGCACGAATTTCAATGAACTAGTTATAGAACATTTTGTTCGTAACAAAGAAAGACGTATGGATTTTATATATAGAAATATTAATTAAAAAAATTGAAAAGAATTTAAAGTGGGGGATAACTATTGCATCTACTGGACACGCGATTAACAAAATTTTATTTATATTTCTTATGTCAACAAATTTAAAAGGAACTTTGAGTTAGCCCCATCACTGTTGGGGAAGTATGGAATTAGGTCCACCTCCTCGTGGTTCCAGATGGTAAACAGAAATTATCGATTTTCAATTATCAATTTTCAATCGATAATTTCTGGCTAACGGACCTCTAACTTGACATTTTTCTAAATGAAGAAACACTAATTTTTACCTAGCATAAATTTTAAATTTAGCATAATACTGTGTATTAATTTTGCCCCCCCAACAGAAAAAGTCACGAGCCGCCACTGGTACAGACAAGAGACGGACAGACATACGATAGGCAAATGGAAACCTTTTTTCATACTGTATTTACAATACAATAAAAACAAAAACAAAAATATAAAAATAAGAAAGTCAAACAGGAAAATTAAAATAACATACAAATAATGAGTAAAAGAGAACCACAAGAAATAAATGAATAAAAAAGACAGAAAATAACACAAGAAGTGCACAAAGGCAAGAATGATAAAAAAGATTCAAGCAGGAAAGGAAAGAAAATAAATAGATATAAAAAAATAAGAGAAGATGAAAACCAGAAAATCAACAAATTCACCTTAGTGAAACACAAACTTAAAAAAACCTGATCAAAATAATAATAATAGTAATAATAATTTTATATCTAAAGTTATGCAACACAAAATGCGCAATTTGACACATGCCTACAGAAAACTGTAAAATTTTTGTTTTTTATGTTTAATGTTTATATTTATTACTAAAATAAGCAAAACGAATATTCAATGACCCTTTTTTCGCTTTGGTTTAGAATAAAGCGTTTTTAAAATACCCTCGCCACTTTTCGCTGCAGTATTTGAGGTTATGTTTACAAACAATGAAGCCTAAAGAAATGGAAAGTACGATAAAATCGAAGCATGTAGACACTCTATGCCGCGTTTGCCTCACGGCGTCCAAAAACCTAGTCAATTTGTGTACCCCCATCAACGAAAAAGTTTTAAACTTCAAGGAACAATGGCCCATTTTCGATATGCTCGAACGGGTAACGTTTCAAAAGGTAAGTCCGAGTTGTAAACATACACAAAAGTGCTTATCGTTACCATTTTAGGTTATTTTAAGCTCAAAATTCCCCTCCAAACTCTGCCAGATGTGTCTGAGTTTTCTGAAAATAGCGTATGAATTCCAGGAGCAGTTTTACAGTTCACAAAATCTTCTAGGAAAAGTGACTGAAGAAGTGCCGGTGGAAAAGTCCGAAATTTGTTGCAACAGAAAGGAGAGTGTTAGTGAGAAGCCACCCACTGAAGAGCGTCCAGTTGTTGCTGTGGAATTAATCTACGGTGATAACAAATTTGACTTGAATGATGTTCTTATTGTGGAAGATGAAAAAAGAGACAAAATCTCGTATGACGGTTTCCTGAAGAATTTGGGGTCAGAAGTGTCAGCTAAATTCATTCACAAACACGCCTCTCGAGTTCATAATGATGAAAACTGTGATGACTCAGTGGAAGTCATTTTAATTAATAGGAACGACACCAAGAGCGACGAAACGCCAATAGTAGAAAATTTTAAACCTAACAACACCCAGTGTGACAAAATTGATCCGGCTTGCTTAAAAGTGAACAAATACCCCAATGAGTGCAAAGTGGTCATTCAAGACGCACGCACAGATGCCGTTATTAAAACCCTGTACGAGTGTCCAGTGTGTACCAAACCTTTCGCAACTCTCAGTGACTTAGAAACCCACGTTGACTCTAAACACACGACTCAGAACTTCTTCATGTGTGAACAGTGTGGACACATGGCGCAAACCCGTTCACAGTTGTACCACCATATGGTAAAACACAAAGGAAAACGGTTCCATTGCAACTTCTGTGACAAAAAGTACGACTCAATTTCACACCTCAAAGTCCACCTTGACGTACACAAAAATGAAAGGCGGCACTTGTGCTACCACTGTGGCAAAAGCTTCAATTATGCTGTCTCGTTAAAATATCATCTACGACTGCACTACGACAAGAAATTTGTTTGTAATTATTGTGGCTTGAAATATCGCATGCCCAACACGTTAAAGCGGCATTTGCGGACGCACACGAAAGATAAACCTTATAATTGTGGGTATTGTCCTAAGAGGTTTTCGTCAAGGGGGGAACAAGTTTCACACGAAATGCTCCATACAGGGGTCAGGCCATTCCATTGCGAGTATTGCGGGAAGGGTTATATCAAACACGGGAATTTGAAAGAGCACCATTTGACTCACTCAGGGCCCCATCAGTGCAATTTTTGCTCAAAGACGTTTATAGATATGAAGTTTTTAAAAATACACATGAAGAGGGCACATAAGGACGATGACATTGTGGAGTTACCAATTGATTATTTTGTGTGATCGTAAATAAAGTTTCATTTTAATACGTCGTTTAGGGTTTGATTTTCTAAATTTTGGCTTGGAGGTTATGTTGACATACAATGGCCAACCGAATAAAGTGAAAATTTATTTATTGATTTAAACGATGATTTTCGTGCCACTGTTATTACTTCATTAACGCAATCTGTACAATCATTAAGTACTTTTCTTGTGAATATTTCAACCAGATTCCTGTCGTGTTTCGTGTATTGAATTAATTTGTCAACGTGTCTTTCACGTTTCAAGATTGGCTATTCTGGTTGTCATTTGTCATTCAAAAGGGGGCTGCGGTATCTACCCTGTCAAGCAAAATGGCTCACGTTGTAGGCCCCGAGGTGGTAAAATACGCGTGCACTTGCGGTCTTTTAAAATCAATCTCTTCGCTTTACTTTTGTCGCTATTGTTGCCAGCTCCGCTGCGGCTTCTGTGTTTGTCATGAGGTAAGAATTTTCTAATTTTTCCAAGTCTAACTGAAAATGCATAGGTGGACTCCCACTTCTGCGGGAAATGTTGCGAAAATTTACCCTCGTCCGAAGCTCGTTTGAAAAAAAATAGGTGTGGCAACTGCTACATCTGTCCTAGTTGTCAACAAGAACTGTCAACGCGCATCGGGTCCAAGGGCCCCTCGAATCCCGAAGACCCTAAATCCACCCCCAAGAAAATGTACTATTTGTCGTGTTTGTACTGTCGCTGGAGTTCTCGCGATGTGGGTATTCCAGACCAGTCGGCGGCGACTGGCGGCTGGCCTGACCGCGAAAATGTGAACGCGAATAGGCTGCAGGAGATCATTGAAATGTACAAGGCCATGGTTTTGGCGGAGAAGCAGCAGAAAGAAAAGGATAAGAAAAAGCAGCGAGGAAAATATTTGAGTTATACTGTAAGTTTGTGAAACATTGGGGCTGTTTGTAAATTTGTGTAATAGGATCGGACTGGAGTGACGGCGGCTGCGTTGCGGAAAAGAATCGGGCTTCCAGTGGACATTCAGCATTCGCTTTTAAAGGCTAAGCCAAAGGAGCCAGAGCCGGCGATTGCTAAAGAAGACGTGGAGGATTTGCCGGAAGAATTGTTGACAAAGCCTGTGAATTTAACAGAGGGTACGAAATTTCGCATTTAAAATTATTTATCTCACTTTTTGCGTTGTTAGTTACAACAATCGAACAGAGGTTGCTTCAGATTGATCTGCAGCCCACTACAGTGGAGAAATTATTCCCAGTTCATAAGCAGCTCTCCATTAAACGTTCCTTGCGTTGTCGCTCGTGCGAGCACAATGTGAGCAAGCCTGAGTATAACCCGAATTCTGTGAAATTCAAAATCCAACTATTCGCTTAGTAAGTTTAATTTATCGCACCAATGTAATTGTAATCGTCGTAATTCAGTTATCACGTCCCTGAAATTCGCATTGTCACGGTTGAACCTCTCCGAGCGGGCCGACCGTCTGAACTTATCATAAAGTTCACAAATCCAACTCAGCACCAAACTACGATCACTATTCTGTCTTTAGTCCTCTCAGGCGATGAGAGCGAAGTTAAAGAGGAAACAGGCGATCAGCCAAGTTTGCCACAAGAAGTAAGTTTCGGGTTTTTTAGTGTCAGTGCTTTATGGAAATTTCCAGAAACAACCACCATCATTGTCTAGCCAACCCAGCAGCTTATTGAGTCTCTCGTCGCGACAACCATCCATAACCATCAAACCCAGACCCGTTTCTCAAGAAGTAAATGCCGACGTCGCGATACCATCGAGTAAGGTGATTTTGCCGCCGCGAGATGACGCAGCGGAGTATGACGATTCAGGAGACACCCATAATATACAGGATGATCCTAAGTATGTATTTATTGTGTACTTAATTATATCAAATTAAAAAAAATAATAAATTTCTCCATATTTTTAATAGGTTGGTAGTGTGGAGAAAATCGAATAAGGCGTTTGTCAAGTTGTTGGTGACACCAAAGCAAGGTTTGGCTCTTAACAGTGAAATTGTGGCTGGATTCACTATGCAGCATATTTACACAAATACTATTGCTACAACTGTGGAGAATAGAGAGCCTGACAAACATGACCATAATATTAGGGTTTTTCTTACTTTGGGAAATTTGGTAGGGTTTGACTAAGACATAACCTATTTATTACAAGTATGCTTTAAGCAAGTAATCTATTTTTCTATAATTTATATTATTTAAGTTAATAAAATTGTGTAGCTTTTCTTAATATAATAATTCTAACATTTTATGGTTTTCAAATTCCCATCTCTCTCCAGTTGTTATTGAATGTCCTTCTATTTATCTGTTGTCTGTATCCAACAACAAAAAGCGTAGCCCCGCCCACCCACCCTGTCTCAATTGTGGTGATTTTTTTTATCATCAGAATTGAGACGGGGTGGGTGGGCGGGGTTTATGTTTTGCCCTTTTTTCTTAATATACATTGTACTCTTTGAACAACACGATACTCAAAAACATATTTTTAGTTTCTTGTAAAGCAATAAGTGTTTTGCAGTTAAGCTCCGCCCCCTTGGTTCACGGCGAATAAAAAAATCGTTACAATCGAGATAGGGCGGGTGGGCGGGTTTACATTTTGCCTTCTTGTTTGAATATGTGTAGACTTCTTTTCACAAGATGAAACTTATATGTTTAAAATGGAAAATTTGTATAAAGAACTATCGATTTTGCAGTTGGACTCCATCCCATAATTTCAAAATTCATATTTCCTTGGAAAAATGTACCATTTTAACCATATTCTAAGTTTCTTGTTGTGAAAAGATGTATATTAAGAAAAAAAGGAAAAATATAAACCCCGCCCACCCTCCCTATCTCAATTCTGATGATTTTTTATTCGTCGTAAGCCGAGAGGCGGAGCGTAAAATCCATATTTTCCTACCAGAAATTACCATGTGAAATATGTTCTTCAAGTAATCGTGTTATACAAAGAAAACTAAATGTATAAATTAAAAAAGAAAACCAAAAGAGAAGCCCCACCCATATCCGTTCGAAGCTCAATTGTGATGAATTTTTCATTCGTTGTCAGACCGAGGGGCGGAGCCTAATTGCAAAATCGATACTTTCCTACAAAAATTTACTATTTTAAACGTGTTTTACCTTTTTTTGTGAAAAGAAGACTACACATACTAAGAAAAAATGGCAAAATGTTGCCCTTGTTGTTAACTCTAACCAAAATTTGTCTGATAAAAATCGGTGACGCCATCTTACAATTTTGCATAATGTTAATTACAGAAATTCTAAAATTCTGACCGAATTTGTCGAAAGATTCCGGCAACTTAAAAATTCCGAAGATTCCACATATTTAAAAACTGAAAAGAGATACTGAGGTATGTAAAAATAATGAAAATCTGAAAGCTGTAAAGATTCCAAAGTTTCCAGTGGTTTGAAAGATTCAAAAAGTATAAAAGCTTTCACACTAGAAATTGCGAATATAAAGACACTTAAGATTCTAAATAAACTAAAGTTGTAATATAAAAAAGATTCTAGAAAAGATCCAATGGAATCTTAAAAACTTTAAAGAACTAGGGTCCTAGAAATTGCAGAAATTTTAGATTTTATAAAACTCCTAGTAATTCCAACGTGTTCAAAATTTCCATAGATTGGAAAGAGTCCAAAGAATCTAATGACTCTAATTATAAGGGGTCAAAAGCTAAAATTCTAGAGAAGTTCGAAAAAGCCAAAGGTTCTAGAATTTGTAAAAATCGCGCGAACTCTTAAAATGCCAAAGATTTTAAAAATTTCAAAGACTTTAAAAAAAAACAAAAATCTTAAAGACCTAAAAATCGTAAAGATCGCAAAAATGCTTTCTTTCTGAAGGCCTTGAACACCCTAATTATTATCTTATCAATCTTGGCGACTGTAAAGATTCCAGAGACTCCAAAAATTCCAAAGATTTAGACTCTTGAGATCTATAAATTTTACAATTAAGCTCCACCCCTCGGCTTACGACGAATAAAAAAAATCATCAGAATTGAGATAGGCCGGGTGGGCGGGGTTTATATTTTGCCCTTCTTTCTTAATATGCACAGCCGTCTTTCACAACAAGAAACTTAGAACATGGTTAAAATTTTTTGGAAGGAAACATGGATTTTGCAATTATGGGGCGGAGCCTAATTGCAACATCGATATTTCCTTATACAAATTTTCCATTTTAAACATATTTTAAATTTCATGTTGTGAAAAGAAGTCTACACATATTAAAACAAAAAGGCAAAATATATTTTTCTTACTTTGGGAAATTTGGTAGGGTTTGACTAAGACATAATCTATTTATTTTCAAGATTTCTATTTATCACAAGTATGCTTTAAGCAAGTAATCTATTTTTTCTATAATTTATATTATTTAAGTTAATAAAATTGTGTAGCTTTTCTTAATGTAATAATTCTAATATTTTATGGTTTTCAAAATCCCACCTCTCTCCAGTTGTTATTGAATGTCCTTCTGTTTATTTGTTGTCTCTATCCATTAGCAAAACGTAGCCCCGCCCAGCCACCCTGTCTCAATTGTGATGATTTTTTTATATCATTAGAACTGAGATGGGGTGGGTGGGCGGGGTTTATATTTTGTCTTTTTTTCTTAATATACATTGTACTCTTTGAACAACACGATACTCAAAAACATGTTTTTAGTTTCTCGTAAAGCAATAAGTATTTTGCAGTTAAGCTCCGCCCCCTTGGTTCACGGCGAATAAAAAAATCGTTACAATCGAGATAGGTCGGGTGGGCGGGTTTACATTTTGCCTTCTTGTTTGAATATGTATAGACTTCTTTTCACAACATGAAACTTACAACATGTTTAAAATGGAAAATTTGTATAAGGAACTATCGATTTTGCAATTGGGCTCCACTCCATAATTGCAAAATCCATATTTCCTTGCAAAAATTGTACCATATTCTAAGTTTCTTGTTGTGAAAAGATGGCTACGTATATTAAGAAAAAAAGGCAAAATATAAACCCCCTTCCCCCACCCTTCCTATCTCAATTCTGATGATTTTTTTTATTCGTCGTAAGCCGAGAGGCGGAGCTTAATTGTAAAATCTTTATTTTGCTACGATAAATCAGCATGTGAAATATGTAATCGTGTTATACAAAGAAAACTAATTGTATAAATTACTAAAGAAAACCAAAAGAGCCCCACCCATGTCCATTCGAAGCTCAATTGTGATGAATTTTTCATTCGTTGTCAGAGCGAGGGGCGGAGCCTATTTGCAAAATCGATTCTTTCCTGCAAAAATTTACCATTTTAAACATGTTTTACCATTCTTATTGTGAAAAGAAGACTACACATATTAAGAAAAAATGGCAAAATATTGCCCTTGTTGTTAACTCTAACCAAAATTTGTCTGATAAAAATCGGCGACGCCATCTTACAATTTTGCCGAATAAATGTAAAATATGCACAATGTTAATTACAGAAATTCTAAAATTCTGACCGAATTTGTCGAAAGATTCCAAATGTTAAATATTCTCACCCTTTCAAAGGATTTTAGGAATTTCAAAAAATTTAAAAAAGTTAGAGAAGCCGGCAACTTAAAAATTCCGAAGATTCCACATATTTAAAAATTGAAAAGAGATACTGAGGTATGTAAAAATAATGAAAATCTGAAAGCTGTAAAGATTCCAAAGTTTCCAGTGGTTTGAAAGATTCAAAAAGTATAAAAGCTTTCACACTAGAAATTGCGAATATAAAGACACTTAAGATTCTAAATAAACTAAAGTTGTAATATAAAAAAGATCCGATGAAATCTTAAAAATTTAAAAAAACTAGTGTCCTAGAAATTGCAGAAATTTTAGATTTTATAAAACTCCTAGTAATTCCCAACGTGTTCAAAATTTCCATAGATTGGAAAGACTCAAAAGAGTCTAAAGACTAAACAGTCTAAAGACCAAAAGATTTTAAAGCGTCTAAGGACTCTAAGGGGTCAAAAGCTAAAATTCTAGAGAAATTCGAAAAAGCCAAAGATTCTAGAATTTGTAAAAATCGCGTGAACTCTTAAAATGCCAAGGATTTTAAAAATTTCAAAAACCTTAAAGAAAACAAAAATCGTAAAGATCGGAAAAATGCTTTCTTTAATTTTTATAAATCTTAAAAGCACTGAAGGCCTTGAACACCATAATTATTATCTTATCAATCTTGGCGACTGTAAAGATTCCAGAGACTCCAAAAGCTCCAAAGATTTAGACTCTTGAGATCTATAAATTTTAGAAAATTTGAAAAAATTTAGAAAGTGTGGTAGATCAAGAGATCTTGAAAATATTGGAAAAGGTTGAATTTCAAAATTCTGGTATAACTCGAGCCTGATAATTTTAGAAATTTTGTTCTAAAAATTACAAAGTTTCCAAATGTTTGAAATATATAAAAGGTTTCAAAAATTCTAAAGACTCGACACATTCTAGGAATCTTAAAGTTTTCATACACTAGAATTTGCGAATTGTAAAGACACCAAAGATGGTAAATAAACTACAGTTTTAGGTTCTAAATAGAAGAAACATCCAACAAAGTCTTAAAAATTGTAAAGATCTTAGAACTATGAATGTTCCTAGAAATTATAAAAATTCTAAATTTTTCCCAAGATTGTTAAAACTCTCAGGACTCTGAAAACTCTAAAGATTCCAAATACTCTAAAGACTCAAAAGGTTTTTAAAATTATGTTCCAAATATTTCAAAGATTCTATAATTGTAAGAACCTCATGAACTAAAAATCGCAAAAATCTGAAGAATGCTTCCTTTAATTCTTATAAATCCTATAAGTATTAGGGGTCTTGAGCACCCCAATTATCACCTTATACATCTCAAAGATTCCAGAGATTCCAAAAATTTCAAAGATTTAAAGTCTCTTGGGGGTCTAGTAATTTTAGAACATCTGGAAATATCTAGAAAGTGTGAAGACCTAGAAATCTTGAAAACTGAGGAAAATGTTGAATTCTGGCATATCCGAAGACTGATAAAAAATTTACTCAATTCTAGAAATTCTAAACATTTTGCTTAATTTCGAGGATTCCAAGGGTGCCAAAACTCAAAAAAAAGGAAAAACTGACTTTTTTTCTTTTCTTAGCGGGAAATTTTAATTTCCAGTCACTACAATACGGTGATCTAATTTATGATAATCACCTCAAAAAGTAGGTCTACCGATTTGATTTAACCGGAGTCTGTTGGAGATTTTATTAAATCTTGGAAACTAAGTGAACTGTTGTGCAAATTTTTACATCTGAATTATTTTCTCACTTTTATTCTCTCTGCTGTGGTTTTTCTATGTGTTTTATGTTAACGTGAATTTAATCAGTTCTTATGAAGAAAAAAAGTGGGGTTGGTGGGACTGAAGCATGAGTAATACGTAAATTTGTAGAATCGATGAACAACAACCAGTTTACAACATAACTGTGGTAATACCCAACGCAACATGTGAAATGTGGCGCAATATAGTTGTTTTGGGGGTGATTTTTGAGGGTTCCTTCGAATAGGCTGAAATTTTGTATCGATAATCCTCGTATCGAGAAACTACCGAATATCAAATTTTGACTTGATTGGAGTATTTTTAAGCCCCAGTCTGCAAGGTTGTTTTGGGGATGGTTTTTAAGGGTTTCTTCGAATGGGTTGAAATTTTGTATCAACAATCTTCGTATTGAGAAATAAGCAAATGTCGAGTTTTGACTTGATTGCAGCATTTTTAACCCCCAGTCTGCAAGATAAACTGTGGTCTGCAAATTAGACAGGCCCCTGTTACTATCCATAACCAGGAAAGGATCCGGAAGATTGTTTGGATCCAACACCAGCAAAATGTGTCTTCGCACACGGTTCTCAGTACAAGGACCAGTTAAAACCCAGCAAAAGAGGAAACGTCAGAATAAAGACGCTGGACCTTTTCGCAAAAAAATAATACAAGGAAATCAATATTGCAAAATGATGAGATGTTAATAAAACCATTGTAAATATTCTTGTTGTTGTATAAATTTTTATTATTTTTATAATTAGAAACATTTTTGTTACCAACAGCTCGAGCAATTTGTATAGAATTATTTTATTTAAATAAAATCATTAAGTAAATAATTTTGTGTTTCCTTTAATGAAATAATCTAAAAATACAACTCAGCACTAAAGAACGCAGCAGAAAAGATAAGGAAAAGTAAACGAGAAGAAGGACCCAAACTAAGGCAGACAACTATAAACAAAAATAGAACGGAGAAAACCTTTCCCAGGAGTTTGGAAGAATGGCGAACCAAATAAAACCAGTAGTTAGAAAAGAAACAAACTTGGTTAAAGTTTATAGGGCCACACACATGGTCTTTTAATTCTAGTTTAATAATGTATTCACATTTTTAAGGGTAAGTATACGAGTTATCGTAAAAATATCAAACTTATTGTAAAAACTAGTTTTACAGTGTCTTATAATAAACAATCCTCAAAAAGAATTTTTGTAATTTTTGACAATTTAGTAACACTGATTTTATGATTAGAGGACGACGATTAAAATTTATGCATTCATCACTCTAGAAATTTAACAATGTCATCGTGAAAATTTATGAAATAGGGAGTTGAGTTTTAGGCTATTGTACAGAATGTTAAAACATTAATAGATAACTCAATTATTTAATTTATTGATTAAATAAAAATGGTTGTCTAACTAATTAATGATATTATAAAATTATATTAAGAAAATCTTAGCTGAAACAAATAGTATAGCATGATCTACCTATAGTTTAGTAATATGTACGTATTTTTATTTTAGTTTCTAAGTTTTATTACAAAATAAATAAATAAATAAATAAATAAATAAATAAATAAATAAATAAATAAATAAATAAATAAATAAATAAATAAATAAATAAATAAATAAATAAATAAATAAATAAATAAATAAATAAATAAATAAATAAATAAATAAATAAATAAATAAATAAATAAATTTGAGAACCAAATTTATCTAAGTGTGCTTCAGGAGCGAGGGAACTTCTGTTTAAATAGTTTTAGATTTGTTTGTTGTACAATGGTGTTTTTAACAGAACAAGCATCAGAACACCTCCAACAGTAACAATTCAAATAGTTATTTAAATATAAATTTGTCGATAAGATGGCACCACTATTCTTTTGAACGAAGATAAAATACACGATTACCACAATGTTTATGGTTAATATTATTTCATCTAAATATAGCTTCTAACATTTGTGTGGTGACGTTCCTCACATATCGTACGAGCTCTGCATTTAAACGTTTGTTTGGTGAGTCTAAAATAATAATATTTATGTGAATTTGGGATGAGTGGATGCAGCAATTTATACTTAAAAATTTCGTCTTTATGTCAACTTAATTAGTGCAAGTTTAATATATAATTAATAGACATATAATTTCATATAGTTTATGTAGTTGAATTACATCAGCTGTTGCTACTTTGCAGTCGTGAGTTATCGTTATCAACTTTCAATTATCATATAGGTTGGGAGGGGGGGATTCAGTTTAGCGTTTAGGTTCGACCCCCAGACGTTTTATTCTTTTCTGTTATCCATATCGTTTGTGTGTAATAGTTTGTTATTTTAGACTAAGTATCGGCCAGCTCTCTATTTTTCGAATGAAGTAAAAAATTGTACAGTTTTATTGAAATTACTGAAGATGCTCAACTTTGCTCGTTGTTTATGAAAATCAAAGTAGAAAAAAAATGTTATTTTATTGTGACTGCAGAAAGTGTAATATGATAAGTTGATAACCCAAACATCCCGCCAAAATTTGACATGTGAACAACATTTTACAACCGGCCAAAAAATTCAAATTTGGCTCTAACGGTTATCGCCAACAAAATGGAACCCTACGTTGTGTTTTTTTTAATGGCGGAATGCGTCCAAATGCAAAGTAGTGAACCCCAAGGTAGAAATCTAAATCAAACGCAAAATATGGATGTGAATACTCAAGTTATCACGATGTTCATGAACAGTTGGAAAAAAAAGGCTGTGTCGGGGTCCAAGTCTTAGATCACGGTAATGGGATCTAGGTCTGATCGAGCTTTCCTTGCTTGACTCAAAAAAAATTCTCTATTTTAACGGAAATTTGGGAATATAAAACTCTTATTATTGGTATCAAATTGCCCCTTCTCAAATTGATATACGTGTTCTTGCAAGAATGTTGATGACGTCATCACAAAATTTTGTAATGGAAACACTGGTTTGAACATGGTTATTTACCTTTACTGTTACGATTACATACACAACTTTATTTTAACCTATACTGGTTATCATAAAAAATAAAATTCGCAAAATTAAATTTTTAATTCTTTGAAAACTGTGGATTTGTTATATTGTACTTCAGATCTGTCTAAATAACTGTCGACCAATTTTTTTAATTTGTAGCAATATCGAAATCTCTTTTAACTCGGTTCCGGTTTGAATAAAAAAAATAGATTAAAATAGGTTCTTCGACACTATATTGAGGAGCAAAACTTTTTAGTAAAAGCCTTATGTTTGGACTTCGTTTTATTTTAGAGGTCTAGAGGAGATGTACCGACCGACGACCGAAAGCTACTACGACGATAATGGGGGTTAACTGACGTTTAAGTTCATTTGAACTCACTTTTAGTTTTGTCTAAATTTTCAAATAACCTGCTGTACCTTATACTGGAAAGTAAAATCGATCGGTGAAAAATTAAATGATTTGTTTTAACTAGTAAATTTGAATCAACACTGTTTCCACTTCCCGTTTGATGAATGCGTAATTTCATGTTTTCTCAGCGTTTTGTAGCTTGTATAAGGCGACAATTTAGGTCCCCCGTTTCCGTGTGTCTGCCACCAGTTTGTCTGTTGGGGTCCTTATTAGACACATAATTTCCGTAATTACTGGATCATTGGAGTTTCTTAGCTGTATTTTAAGACTATCGTGTTGATCATTAAACACTAAACAAAATTGTGTGTTTTCATCAAAAGTTTGTTGAGTCATCTCAAAATTTTAGTTGGTAAATCCTATTTAAAATTTAAAAATAAGATACTTCTATAGTTGTGATAAGCCAATAAGCCTTTATTATTTACTTCAGATTGTTAGATTTCAGAAAAAACTTCAACAAGTTTGAAGAAAATATGAAAGTTTATCTGAAGTATACGAATCTGACTACTCTGAAATCTTGAAAATCTTTTAAGGCCAGTTATCGAAAGCATGGTAAATCGATAATCTTCAAATATCACATACATGTACCATGCATATACCGCTATTCAAATCATACCCGAACAGATTTTTGGAAACAAATTTTGCTAAACAAATGTTATTTAAAACGGAGAAATGATGTTACCCTCTGATATATTAGATCCAACAGAAAATCCAATAAACATTTCTGAAATTTTTAGGAGCTAATCTTCCATTCGTGTTGGTTATTTGAAGAGATACAGCAGAAATGAACTCACATCTATGGAAAATTCTCAATAATGCAGCACTTTCTTCCATTCTAATAATTTTTGTTAAATTTTATTTGTAGTGCCTACTTTAAAATTTTGAACAATATACCATGTGATTATATTAAATATATTAAAATTAAAACGTTTCAAGATTATAAAAAGTTAATAGTGGATCTTAGGTACGAATGTGTTCAAAGTATAATCTTAATAAGTTAGGCCAATTTTTTTCATAAATATGTGTTTGTTAAGAAAAATTACGCCCACACAATTTAGTTAGCAACGAACTCCTAAATATTAATATTTAATACAATTAAAAAAGATAACGCATTCAAACCGCCAGCACCCGCACCCTATCCCCACTCCTCCGCTTCCCACTCCATTATTAGTCGAGTGGAAGGGGAACGCTTATCGGGTATATGTACTCCAGCTCGTCGCTACCTATTCTGTTTATCCTCTGCTTGCACGATAAGGTTTTCCAAGATGTATAAAATTTTGCCTTTCGCCGCCAGTGTGGAATTTGCGCTGCCAAATTTACCGGTGGAGATTTGGGCCAATATCCTAAGGTAAGTTGTGTTTTTTATTTTTGTTATCATATTTTACTAATATTTTGTTTTTTCAGGTGTTTGGACCCTTCTTCGCTCCTAACTGCTGCCAGATCCAACGACCTATGGGACCGTATCACTCAAGGAGACCCAGTCTTGAGGAAGACCGTCAGGGATCAGCTAGTGTTGGAAAAACGAAGACGCCGAGAGGAGATGCTGAACCCTGGACTGTTGCTATCCATAACCAGGAATGGATCCGGAAGATTGTTTGGATCCAACGCCAGCACAATTCTTCGGACACAATTGTCAGCACAAGGACCAGTTAAAACCTACCTAAAAAGGAAACGCCAGAATAAAGACGCTGGACCTCTTCGCAAAAAAATAATACAAGGAAATGAATATACCAAAATGATGAGATGTTAATAAAACCATTGTAAATATTCTTGTTGTTGTATACATTTTTATTATTTTTATAATTAGAAATATTTTTGTTACTAACAGCTCGAACACATTGTATAGAATTATTTTATTTAAATAAAATCATTAAGCTAATAATTTTGTGTTTCCTTTAATGAAATAATCTAAAAATACAAATCAGCACTAAAGAATGCAGCAGAAAAGATAAGGAATAGAAAACGAGAAAAAGGACACAAACTGAGGCAGGCAACTATAAAGAAAAATAGAACGGAGAAAAATAAAACCAATAGTTAGAAAAAAAAAAAAACAAAAGAAAAATGGGGAGACTCAATGAAAATAACAAACGTATGAAACATTAGCCGGAGTGGGGTTTGAACCCACGTTTCCCGGCTTGTCGGGCGGATGTCTTGACCACTAAACTATTCAGAATTATTTCTCTTCGTTTACCACGGTTATTGTACCTCCATAATTGAAAAAAACAGAAACATTTTATCAAGATTTGCACAAACTAAAAATCGGCAGTATATCCCAAGCAAAGCATAGAATCTCCAAAATCATAAATAAGCAATAAGGAATTGCAGCAGGCGCTGAAGCAAATGAAAAATAAGCCATAGAAAAGTACATGATACCTTTAATACCTGTCTTACTTAAGGAAGGATGTCACAAGAAATATCAGGGTCAAGATTTTTTTGCAATAACAAAATTGACATCGTAATAATGAACGCAAAAAAGTAGGTACATAGTCTAATCCTGTCATACTCTATTTTGTATTTTGAGCATTTATTTTAACTTAAAGTAACACTATCGCTTCCATTAGAGGCATCCAGGTTTTTGGAAAAATAAAGTTGTATAACATGTTGCAATTAAATTTTGAAAGTGCAAAACCGAATGCCATTTTAAAGTTAACGAAGCATGAATAAGTAAATTTATTTTATTGATGAAATCAGGAACGGCCCACTCCATTTCCCCGAACATTTGAGAATATACTACTGTTATTATTAGTATTACGTTGCTCCTAACCAAAATATTGATGACGTCATTACAAAATTTTGTAATGGAACACCTTACTTCAAACATAAGCATATTATACTTCTTTACCTATATTTTAACAATCCGCAGTTACCTTTTTTTAACTTGTAGTTGTCAGAAAAAATCGCAAAATTAAATTTTATAACCCACATTTTTATTATAACATTTGAAGCAAAAATATTTACGGAATAAGTTTGTACTATTAAATCAAATTTTCAGTGCTAGCACCCATCATGCGCTCTGATTCGGACTCCGATAGCCAGGAAGAAGATGAAAAACTGAAAAAACTGAAAGAAGAAATCAGGCAAATAGAGGAAAGGAAAATAAGAAGAAAATTATTAAAAAAACAAAGCTTAGCGACATCGAACACGCCATCACCCGAAATAAGTTGTTCGTCTTCAAAAAAGGTAACTTTACATGACTTTATTATAATTCGGGTGGACATTTTTTTCTTTTATATTTTCTTCTACAGCTAAATATAAACGTTGACAAAGACAGGAATAAAGGGAATCCTGGCTCATCAGTACAAGTTACCAGTAACAATAACCTATGTTTAGAAGATAAGGTAAAACACATCATACTGTACATCTTTCAATATATATTTTCACAGTTCTTGATGGGTTTTCTCTTTCTAATAGAAGCTGGTATTTTTGAGCCGTATTTTGCAAACTACGAGAAGTGAAATCCATCATTTGAAACTGTAAATATTCATTTTTGCACACTTGCTGAAAAATAAGGTTTATTCGACGAATACCAAAGATTTCTTGAGGAAATTTTATTTAATGCAGCCAGCACAATTTGAAATTTGTATAAGAAATGATATATTTTTAATTTATTGTTGGAAAGTGTTTTGACTAAACCCACAAAATGTAAAATTTTTCAGGGTCAACAAGATCGATTTCGCACATATAAAAAACTTCCTGGAGCTGTTGATCATGGCAAAGAATATGAACAAATGATGTGTGCATTCTACGCTTTAACACTGATTACGCGTGATGATGTGGAAGATTTTGAAATGACTACTAACAACAAAGAATATGGAGTTTTTGATGATATTGGACTCACAGTTACGTTCAAGAACACGAAAAGACGGATTTATCTCATTCAACTCAAACACAAAGAAGGAGGGAAGTTCATCACTACTAACAATTTACTTAATCAAAAGAATGACTTCGGCGTTCAAAAATATTTTAATTCTATATCATCTCTTAATATCACGGAAGACGTTGTTTACATTGTCTCTACAAATTCTTCTACGTATATTAAGCAAAATAAGCAAATATCGCCAGATATTGTTCTTGAAGTGCGTGATTGTATTGAATATGAAGACCTACTACTCAACGTCCAAGAAAGAAAATCAAGTACTATTTTTCAAATTGTACAAAAACTAGAGGACAAAAATCAAATGTTTTATTTTTTTACGGAGCAAAATAACATACATAACACCAAAGTTAGCGTGCAAAAAATGTTATACGAGTTGATGCAGTGTAACATTTACGACTCTTTCATGCATTTCATGAGCGAATGGTGGTCAAAAAGCTTTGTTTTAGCGAAAGACGATGTCATCGCCAAATTAGCAGAATTAGTTGTCTCACCTTACCTTAAAACTTTAACAGGCGATAAAAAAAATGCCAAAACCGAAAATCTTAGGAAAGCAATAACGAATTTTTCGTTAACGATTGTGAAAAAAACCGACGAAAATATAATCGAAAATATATGGCCGACTGAGAGTGTTACGGATGACGAATTTAAAAAAACCAAAGAGAAATTTGGACTAAAGATAGCAGAACAAATGAAAATTTTATGGTTTTTAAATAAAATCCCGCTGGTTATAAAAGTGGACGATTTAAATAAAGCAGCAATCAAATGTGCAGTAAAGCTAATAGACAAAAGTGCAGACAAGAAAAAAATCATTTTGGAGGGAAATGTAACAAAGTGTGAATTTGATGGAATGCAAGTGTTCCAATATTTATCTGATTTGATACAAAAGTGTGAAAGCGAGAAGTGTTGCCGTAGTGTTCTGGAGAGTTTTGAGGTGTCATTGCAGGGAAGAGAGCCAATTTGTTTAGAAGAATTTATTAACATTGACAGCGAAATTTCGCAATATATCGGACTCGGCGAACTACTGAAAATGTCTCAAACAAATTTCATCATCGGAAACGAACGAGAAGATTTGCCTGAATTAAACATACCAAGAAATGTCTCAACCATTTTCGTAAACACAAACAACATTTTGAGTTTTTACGAATCACAAAGATTCCAGACAGTGGTAATAATGAATTGTGACCCAGCATTTAAACATAAATTCCAAAAACTTAAAAATTTCAGTTGTGTCGAAATTTCCGACTACTTTTACCAACAACAGGGTGAAAACGAAAATATCATTTTGTTGTCAACAAAAAGTAAGTGTACGCATGCTGAATTTACTCGAGTTTGCGAAATGTCTAAAAAATCGAACGTATATCTATTTCAAACGTTTAATGACGAATCTTGTGTTTTACTTGCCAAAAAAGGACATGATTTACCGGCGAATCTTTTAGATAAATCCCGAAGTATAGAGGAAAAAAATGTCTTAAAATATTTCGACAACCCACTTAACGCAATTTGTGCTGCACCCGGAATGGGTAAATCAACACTGATGAAAGTTCTTTACAATAATTGTCCTTCGCACTATTGGGCAGTTTATGTTGATTTGATTAATTATAATGCGTTTTTGGCGACAAAACCAGACTCGAAAGCAATGTGGAATTGCTTTTTAAGAAACGAAGGAACAAAAGACACAGATGTGAAAAAACAATTTAAGAGCATTTTTCGTAAAAATAAAAAGATGTATTTATATCTTGATGGACTGGATGAAGTGGACAGTAGTTACGTTAATTCTGTTTTAGATTTTGTCAAGGAAGCGTCCTCAGATGGTATCAATGTTTGGATTTCATCAAGAGAAAACCTACGCCAAATGATATCGCAAACTTTAAATGTGGTACCAATAGAAATACAAGAATTAAGTAAAGATCAACAAGAAAAGTATATATACAACAAACTAAAAGAAAAATACCGAAAAGAAGAAATAACGATAATCTTAAAAGCAACATATAGTAGTGCAGATCTTAATAATAGTCAACAGTTGCTAGGAATTCCGTTACAGTTGCACATAATCACAGAGATGTTTCTCAACAACGACGACGCTTATAGGAAAATTGAAGAAAAAGATATCTTTGTGTTAACACAAATGTATAAGCTATTTTTCGATGGGAAAATGACATCTGCTCTTAATAAAATCGTCGCTGAAAAGCAGATACATCAAATTGGACACATCAGAGCGTTGCTAAAACAATATGAAACTGTAGCTTTGAAAGCGTGTTTAAACAGTATAGACTTTGGGAAACTGAATCTAAATTCAAAGGAATCCGAAGAGTTCATAAAGGATATAAAAGAAAATGGCGACAAATACGGAATAATCAAGAAAATAAGTGAGAACGATGACGTAGTATTCGACCATCAGACTTACGCAGAATATTTTGCATGCGTCTGGTTGAAAAATAACACAGAAAAAATAGTTTTGTTAAAGAAAGATTTTTTTTCTCCTAGATATAATAATTTGCGGTTGATGTTTGACGTAATGTTGGCGGAAAATAATCCGTTGCATCTCTCTGTTTTATACAAAAATACACATCAGTTTGAAAAATATATAGACCAGATGAACATAAAAGATGCAGGCGGTCGAACGTCCTTACATCTTATATGTACATACGGAATGAAGTATCGTCTTTCTCATCCGTATCAAAGGTATTTCTTACATAAAGAGGACCTTGTAACACCTAATCGAGAACTAGACTGTTATGTATTTATGGCAAAAACTCTTGCCCAAAAACAGTTTGATGCGAAAAACAAAGACGATCTGTTCAGTTTTGATTACTTGGATTATTGCCTTGAAGCAAATTGTCTGTATCCTATCGAATTATTTTTAGAACTAAAACTGTTGGACTTTGTTGGTATAAAAGAAACCATTTTTGGGTACTATGACGCAGCCACTTTGGCCTATTATTCAGCACAAATGGGTTATCCAAATCTATTTTGTGCGGTCATTTTAGCAAAACCACAGCTCGTGCACAGGATGATACGAGAAAAAAATTTACTCCAATCAACAATTAGTGGTTTCAAGAAGGAAACGAAAAACGCATCTAAGTCGCTAGAGAACTACAAATGTATAGTAAGTTTTTTGAGCTGCAGCGGTTTTGATATCAACGCCCCTGATCAACACAATAAGATACCTTTAGCACGTGCTTGTGAAACTGGTGATTATGAAATAACAAAAATATTGTTAGAGTGCGGCGCTTCCGTGAACGTTCTGGACATAGATAACATGAACATGTTACATTACGTATCGAAATTGCAAAAACGTAATCCAGACATATTAAAATTATTTGTTGAGATAGGTATCGAAGTAAATGCTCAAGACTAAAACGGGGTGACCCCTTTACAACTTGCCTGTGGACATGGTATTTATGAAAATGCAAAAATGTTGTTAGAGTGCAGCGCTTCCATAAACATTGTGGATAAAGACAACAACTCGTTGCATTATGCATCACAGTCAAGGCAAGGCAATCCAAATATAACGAAACTATTGATTGAGAAAGGCATCGACGTGAATTTGCAAAATAATAATGGAATGACAGCTTTACAAGTTTCTTGCCAGTCAGGTAATTATGAAAATTCATTAATGTTACTAGAATGCGACGCTTTGATGAATATTAGAGATAATGAAGACAACAATGCTTTACATCATGCGTCAAAATTATGGGAAGATAATCGAGATCTTTTAAAATTGTTGATCAAAAAAGGCATCCACATAGATGCTCAAAACAAATATGGGGAAACGGTTCTACAACTTGCATGTTTGAAAGGAGATCAAGAAATTGTAGAAATGGCGTTAGAACACAACGCTTCCGTGAATATTTCGAACGAAGGTCTTAGCAACGCGTTGCATTATGCATCAAGATCTTGGTGGAACAATCGCGATATAATAAAATTACTGATCAAAAAAGGCATCGAAGTAAACGCTCAAAATGAAAATGGAACGACGTCTTTACAACTTGCTTGCGGAAACGGTGATCTTGAAATTACTAAAATGTTGTTGGAATTTGGCGCTTGCATAAACATTGTCGACAAACAAAACCACACTGCATTGAATTATGCCTCAAAACTGTCAACCGACAATCGAAGTATAATAAAATTACTGATCAAGAAGGGCATCAACGTCAGTGCTGAGAGCAAAAATGGGACTACAGCTTTACAGTTTACATGTTTAAATGGAGTTTATGAAAACACAAAAATGTTGTTAGATTTCGGCGCTTCTGTAAACATTGTGGACAAAAGCAACAATAACAATTTATTACATTTTGCAACAGCATCACGGCGAACTACTCGAGGTATAATACGACTGTTGATTAAAAAAGGCATCGACATAAATGCGAAAAACAAAAATGGAATGACAGCTTTACAACTTGCGTGTGAACGAGGTGTTTATGCAAATGCCAAATTGTTGTTAGATTGCGGCGCCTCCATCAACATTTTGGACAAAGGCAACAATAACGCTTTGCATTTTGCATCGAGTTCAAAGTATGACACTACGGATATAGTAAATTTACTGATTACTAGAGGCATTGATGTAAATATCCAAAATAAAAGTGGGGCTACAGCCTTACATCTTGTTTGCGAAAAAGGCTCCCATGAAAGTGCACACATATTGTTAAAGTACGGGTCTTCCATCAATGTTGTGGACAAAGACAACTGCAGTGCCTTACATTATGCATCAAGATCTTGGACAGACAATCGAAACATCATAAAGCTTTTAATTGAAAAAGGTATTGACGTAAATATCCAAGACGAAAATGGGACTACAGCTATACAATTTGCGTGCAAGAATTGTGATTACCAAATTACAAAAATGTTATTAAAATGCGGCTCTTCAGTAAACGACGTGGACAAAGAAAACAGCAACGCTTTACATTATGCAGCAAAGGCAGAATGCGAGAATGAGGATATTATTGAATTATTGATAGAGAAAGGCATCAATGTAAATTCTCAGAACAAAAATGGTACCACAGCTTTGCATCTTGCTAGCGAAAATGCTGATTTTGATATAGCCCAAACATTATTAGAATCCGGCGCTTCCGTAAACATTTTGGACAAAGATAACAACAACGCTTTGCATTATTACGTAAGGAGCAAGAAACGGCGTATAAGAAACTTATGGAAGAAAAGTGCGCAACATTGTGAGGGAGCTTTACTGCTTGCACGCGAACAAGGCATGTCTGAAAGCAGCTTAAGTTTACTTTTTCTAAAAGACCATTTCATTAATGTTTCAAAGAAAAAACAGAAGATAAGCTTGGAGAACGGTACTGTAGACATAATAACATTATTGGTTGAGAACGGCATCGACGTAAATGCTAAAAATAAAAATGGAACGACACCTTTACAACTTGCATGTAAGCACACTGTGTATGAAAAAGTGGAAATGTTGTTAACTTGCGGCGCTCTCACTAATCTGATGGACGAAGAGAACAACAATGCTTTACACTATGCATCAAACTCGGAATATGAGAACCAACATATAATAAACTTACTGATCCAGAAGGGCGTCGACGTGAACGCTCAAAATAAATACGGAACGACGGCGTTACAACTTGCTTGCAAAAACGGGGTTTATGGAAACACAGAAATATTATTAGAGTACGACGCTTCTATTAAGATCACGGATGAAAACAACCAAAGTGCACTACATTATGCATTAGAATCAGAGGCGGACAATCAATGTGTAATAAAGTTGTTGATTGAGAAAGGTATTGATATAAATACTAGAAGTGAAAATGGGACCACAGCATTACAACTTGCATGTAAAAAAGGTGTTTATGACTTAGTAGATATGTTACTAGAGTTCGGCGCTTCCGTAAACACTTTGGACAAATGCAATAACAATGCGTTACATTATGGATTGTGGGCAAGAGGAGATAATAGAAGAATATTAAAACTACTGATAGAAAAGGGTGTTGACATCCGCGTACAGAATAAAATTAAAGTGGCAGCTTTTCAACTCCTATAAACTATTACAGCTTTTTCCAGTGAAGAATAAGCAATACATTATTTTATAATACAGTGTATTTTAGATAATTTCGATGGAATGCGTTTCCTAAATAAATTGAAAGTTGTAATTTTGAACTTATATAAAATTAAATTATGCCACACTCTACCAACAATTTCAAGCAACGAGTATTTCTGTACTATGTTTGTCGTTTTTATTGAAACACCATCTGTTGATTTTGCTTAAAATTTATCAATTGGTGACAGCTTTCGGTTGATTGTGAACAGCTGTTAGTTAGAAAATTGTTTCAATATGAACTTTGCCCGATTTACGATCAACATGCGGTGTTTCACGAGAAATGGTAAAGACATTTCATTGTGTGGAGTGTTTCAAAAATGATGGAAAAGCTCGATGGTACGTTGTCAAATTTTATATGCATGATATGAATATCGTGTAGATGGTAAAATACTAATCAAACTTTGTCTAATCATCTCCACCAACAAAGTGATGACGTGACCTCAAAATTATACATAGTAAATGTGTTTTAAATTTTACCTATATAAGGTATATTCTTTTTTTTTTCAGTCATTGATGTTGGTTTGAAATTTGTCTAACTGATCTCACATTTGGGATCAACAGTAATTATAGCTGTTGAAGCAAGTTAGGCAATTTTGTAAAAATTCCAAAATAATTAAAAAACGGATAGTTTAACCTTAAAATAAATTCAATAGTTTAGTCAGATTTTTACAAGTCACAGAGTTCCTGGATATTAAGGTATTAATACATATTTGAGACAATTAAAAAAGATAACCCATTCTAAAATTGACAACGTCGGCACCCTATTCCCACTCTTCTGTTTCCCACCCCTCCGTTAGTTTATCCTCTGCTTGCATGATAAAGTTTTCCAAAATGTATAAAATTCTACCTTTCGTCGTCGCTGTTGAATTTGGGTTGCCAAACTTGCTGTTGAAGCTTTGGGCCATCATTTTGAGGTAAGTTATATTTTTACTTTCCTTACTATTCTTTACTCATCTTCTGTTTGTTTCAGGTGTTTGCTTCCTCGCTTCTAACTGCTGCCAGATCCAACGACCTGTGGAAAAGCATCACCCAAGGAGATCCAGTCTTGAGGAAGACCGTCAAGGATCAGCTAGTGTTAGAAAAACGAAGATGCCGAGAGGAGATGCTGAATCCTGGACTCTTGCTATCCATAACCAGGGATGGATCTGGAAGACTGTTTGCATCCAACGCTAGCAAAATTCTTCGGACACAGTTTTCAGTACAAAGACAGGTTAAAACCCAAGAAAAAAGGGAACGGCGTCAGAATAAGATCTCTTCGCAAAAAATAATACAAGGAAATGAATATTGTAAAATAATGAGATGTTAATAAAACCATTGTAAATATCCTTGGTGTTGTTTTAATTTTTATTTTATCTGAGGGAGATTTTTTGAGGTGGCCACCAGCAAGCAATCGGACATCGAGATCACCCAAAATTTGGGCACTACATGGAGGGAAGAACAATGCTGTAACAATTCAAAAATCAAGAATTTTCTACATTACTCACAATAAAAAAAAGTAAAGGGTGCGGTAGGAGAAAAATTAGTACGTATGCATTTAAACTCCATTAACCTCTAACACCACATTGAGCTTTTTGGGAGAATTAAGATGTCTCCAATTATTATTATTTTGTGCCAACTGTCTTCAACTGTTCACTTCACTTCTGGCTGTCGAACGTGTCGGACGTGTTTTCGGTGGTCTGCGGTGTTAGAAGTGATGTAGTGTGTGAGTCGGGGAAAATTTTTCGAAGATTCTTCGGGACCGGTGGGGGAGTCAGGAATAGGTTGGGGGGGGTTCTCCTGCGGGAGATCGGGATAAATCAGGAAGAACATTTTTTTTCTCTCTTTGTATTTGGTTTGTAATCGACGGATAAGAAGACGTATGCTGGAGTTGTCGGAGGTGCTAGATCTGGGCAGGATGATAGTAAGGAAGTGCCAAGAAGGAAGGAAACGTATTCTGTTATGATGAAGTCTAAGGATCCCGAGGAAGATGGGGATAAGATTAGAGAGAAAGTTAATAAAATGGATGTAGACGTGAAAGTGGAAAATGTGAGGAGGAACAAAAGTTGTGGATTAATATTTGAGACGAGGAGTAAGGAGGAGATAGAGGTGATAAAACAAGTGGTTAAGACAAATCCGAACTGGTCCACGGAAGATGTGAAAAGGAGAGGATTTAGGATTATGTTGTATGATGAACCTATGGAAATGGGGAATCAGGAATTGGTTGAGTCGATATATCGGAAAAAATTCGTGGGGAAGATGGCCGAGGAACAGTTTGGGGATAGTGTTAGAATTGTTGGGAAGAGGATCGGGCAAGCAGGAATAGGTAAGGTAAGTCAAAAATTCGAAAATGTTGTGATTCAGGTTACGGATAAAGTTAGGGAGGTATTTTTGGACCAGGGTAGGGTGTATGCTGGCTGACATTCGTTCAAACGGAAAGATTGGGTCGATGTGTTGAGGTGTTATAACTGTTATGGATACGGTCATGGTGCCTTTGATTGTAAGATCAGAAATAAGGTTTGCAGGAAATGTGGCCACTCGGTGTTTTCCAGTGTATGCCCGCAGTATGAGAGTATATATGACCGCTGATGATTGTGGAGCTACAGTGTTGATAGACGATAGAAGTATGGATGCTGTACAAATAAGTGTGGAGGGTCAAAATTTGGGAGTATGTGTGAATATAGACTGTGAGTTGGGTAGCATATGTATTGTCTATATGGGGATGAGATTAGACCGTATTTGGAATAGATCAGGAAGGTGTTAGGTGGATGCGAGAGAAAGGCGATGATGATATGTATGGACGCCAATGCCGTCTGAAGGAGTTAAAAGGTCGAGTTGCAAAAGCAAGAAAAAAATGGCAGTTGACTCGTAAACGAGAGGGGAATTTGGACGGAAACGAGAGGTGCAGGTTCGAGTACCAAGGCTTACTCAAACATTATAAAAAGCCCATCAAGGAGACAAAGGTCTTATGGTGGAGGAATTTTGTCTGGTTTGTTGGCAATGCAGATCCCTGGGGTGCAGTTTATAAGCTCTGTAGGAGTGAGAAGAACGAAGGACTGGTAGGCGTATGGGACGGTGATGGGAAAACGGAAACGTGGAGGGATACGGTGGAGGTATTCTTGAGTGAGTTTTTCCGAGTTGACATTCCCGTGAACTATGAGTTGTATGAAGGCGTGGAGGGTGTCGTGCAGAGAGTGAGGAGGGTGAGGAGCATGAGGAAGAAGAAGTCGCCGGGAATGGATGGTGTGACGCCTGAAATGATGACGCTTATGTGGGACACTGTTCCGGAGTATGTGTTGAAGATGTTTAATGCATGTATGGAGGAAGGATGGGTTCCGGATGAATGGAAGGTAGCGCGACTGGTCATCCTCTTGAAAGCCATGGATAAGGATAGGTCATTACCGAGGTCGTATAGACCTATCTGTCTTTTGAGTGTGATGGGCAAAGTGGTTGAGAGGGTACTGGTGGGGAGATTGGCGAGGGTACTTGAAAGAAGAAGGTCGAGGTCTCAGTTCGGATTCGTGAAAGGATTGAAAATACAGGATGCGTGGATAAGAGTGAAACAGGTTGTGGAGTGGTCGGAAAAAAAGTATGTGTTGGAAATTTTTGTTGATTATAAAGGTGCGTTTGATAATCTGAGCTGGAATGTGGTGTTGAGTAAATTGATGGAAGTTGGGTGTAAAGAGATCAAAGTTTGGGCGAGTTATTTTAGAGATCGGAAAGTGTGGGTGGTTGGAGGGGCAAATGAGGTGGACAGGAAGGTGTGTAGAGGATGTCCTCAAGGATCTATCTGTGGACCGGCGGTTTGGAACATGATGATGGATGAGTTGTTGGAAGAGATTGGAAAAAGGGGGATATCGTGTGTGGCGTATTGATGATCTGGGAACGGAAGTGATGGAAATGGTGGTTGCTTGGGGGAATGAAGTGGGTGTCCAGATCTCCAGGGAGAAAACGGTTATGATGCTGCTGAAGGAATCGTTGTCTAAGTCGAGACCGCTAAAGGTGAGGGTTCAGGAAAAGTGTGTGAATTATGTGAAAGAAGTGAAATCTCTGGGTATAAAAGTTAGTGAGCGTATGAATTTTAGGCCGCAAGTCGAGAGTCTGAGAGGTAGGGTGATCGGAGTGATGGAGAAATTGAGGCGTGTATTGAGGAAGGAATGGGGTCTGAATAAACGAACGGTACGAGTGATATACATATAAAGGATTGGGGGTTGCGTGTGCGCCGTTTGGTGTGGGGGTATGGTGTGATGTGTTGAGGTGTGCATATGCGAGGGAGTTGGTGAACAGGTGTCGACGGAGCGTGTTGTATGGGTGCATGGTGTTTTGTAGGACAGTAAGTACGGATGCGATGCAAGTGTTGATGGGAGAGTTACCGTGGGATTTGGAATTTTTGAGGCGAGGAGTGATGTTTAGGGCGAAAAGGGGAGTGAATCTAGGAGAATTGGGATGTCTGCAGATTAGGCTGGAAGAAGGAGAGAATCTGGAGAAAAAGGGTGTGTTGGATACGAAACTGCGGGAGATCTGGCAAAGCAGATAGGATCTGAACGAAAAGGGTAGAGTGACTCATGATTTTATTCCGAGTGTGAGGTTCGCGAGTGAGAATGTTTGGTTTGAGCCAGGAATGTTTGGGCTGTTTTTGTTGACTGGGAATGGCAGTATGAATGAGTTCCTGAATAAAAGAGGACTGAGTGATACGGATCTGTGTGGTTGCGGTAGAGTACAGAATGTTTGGCATATTGTTTTCGAGTGTGGATTGTATGATGAGGAAAGAAAGAGTTGTGAATAGTCACGATGGATTGGGGAAGAGGAAAAACGATTTGAGAGGTTGTTGAAATCAAAGGAGATGTATGAGAGATTAATGGGATTTGCAGAAAGGGTGTTTAAGAAAAGGAGAAGGATGTGGGTGAAGAAGAATGAGAGAATGAAAGTAGTATAAGCGGGTAATTAGTGCATTTTGGCCCTAATTACCAGCGGTAATTACCGGCGGTCTTAATCACCACTTAATCACCAGCAGAGGTAATTACCGGCTGTCGTAATCACCAGCGTTGGGTTTTTCCGGTACTAATTACCAGCGGTTCTAAAGTGCAGCTCCCTAATCCAGCTCTAAGTACCGGTGTGATTCTAAAGTGCAGCTTTTCTTAGAAAATCCAGCTCCAAGTACCACTGCTTGATGAGCGTGTAAATAGGGGTAGTATGTATATAAATGGGGGGTAAAAACAATTTCTTATTCACTTGTGCGGCTTGTGCCTTCTTGAAGTGTACATACCTGAGCTTCACTTACTCGCCAACAGTTTGCTATTTTATCGTCTATTTATTTAGGTAAGTTATAGTTGTTGTTTTGTATATAGTTTGTTATAAGTTTTTATTTTTTTAGAAAAAATGGTTGCCGAAAAGAGAACTTTCGAAGCATGTGTCGCTGAGCTTGAGATAATCAACGACAGCGACAACGACGCCAAGTGCCTCGTAGTGCATATCAAACCCCAGCCGACCAAAATTAGAATTTTGGACAATGTTTTGTTGGGTAGTGGTACCAGCAGGGACACTAGCACCAGCTCCGGTGACGACGTGGCTAGAACGGAAATATCCGTCGCTGAAACCGATGTTTCGGCAATGATCGAGACTTTCATTAAAAGCGTGGTGGGGACCGAGGCGTCTGAGGCTGTCGACAACGTCGTCAAGGAGCTGATGACTAAGGAGTCGAGCCAGCTGAATGCGGCAGAGGGGGAGGAGCCGAGTCAGCTGAAGGAGGTAGAGGAGGAAGAGCCGAGCCAGCTGAAGGAGCCAGAGGAGGACATGAAAACCTTCTCGTCGGACAACAGTATGTTGTCCCAAATATTAACTAAGTGTAAGTAAAATGTACAAAACACAATGCTTATACCTGGTCTAATTATTAACTCTGAGCGTGTAAACAAAATCAGAATTTTACAAAAAAAATACGGTTTATCAGAAATTTTACATAGGTACTCCTTAATTTTATCGCGAATGTGGTAAATCGAAATCGCTAATCAGAATTTATATGTTCATCGCTTTTAAGATGTTGTAGACTGTAGAACATAATATATTCTAACTATCGATTGTCTGTCTGTTGGCGATTTTTATAGAGAAACTTACTGTCCGAGGTTATTAGAATATCGTGTTTTGGGTTTATTTCAAAATTATTCTGTGTTTTACAAAAATCTTTTTGTCGATTTTTTCTCTGAACCCTCCTGATGATAAGATATCGAGGACCATGCATTTAGTGATTCACTCTGTATGTGTAAATAATTCAACCTTATCTTTTGATAGCAAACGATCGTGAAATAGCATTCATTCGTTTACCTGTTAGTTATCCCATAAGGTACTTAATAGGCGTGGTTGAAAAAGTGATTTTTAAAAAACGTAGAATTATACACTAATAAGGTACGTACGGCTACCTGATTATTCTTACAATATTCATAATTTTAGAATATACTCATTTAAAGATATTTTGTTACATTAATATTGTAAACAACTGTATATCTGCTATTTATTTTCATTATAGCCAAATGCCGTGTAAGCAATATTTTAATTTAATTCAGACAATATTCCATCGAATTATCGAATAAGACCAAACTAGCGAACGTTTCGTAAAAATGGAAAACATGGCAGCGTTTTATTGATAACAGTAATTCCCATACTTACTGATAAATCCAATAAAGAACTTTTCGGAGAATCGATATTATTCGGTAGATAAGAGTTGATACGTTAAATTGCGTTTTAAGCACATATTTGGTTCGATCAATTGTAAAATATTAAATTTTGTAAGTAGATTATTTTAATGACTTTAGGAACACGATAGTACATATTCGAGATTCGTTTAACACACATTAATTTTGATGTAGAATATAACTCCAATCATTGTTAAGACAAATTGGTTCGTGCATTAATTTTTTTAAAAAATGTTGCATTTCTCATACATATATTTGTCATAAATCATAACTCCATAAATGCTAATATTGTTTAAATAAACAATTATTAAAATAATTTTAAGGTATTTCGTTTCCTAAAGCAATGAAATGAATGTGTTTCCGCCTAAATAAGCGTAATTAGAGTCAGGTAGATATTTGCCGGATCAGAGTTAATGCCATGTCCAAGGAGCGAACATGACCGCGGATGTGTCGGATTAGTGAACGCCCGACCTGGATCGGAGTTTAACGTTCTCCAATTCACACAGATTCGCCGATATAGAAAAAAAAAGTTTTTGTTTATTTTTCAATTACTTATGTTTTCTTGTTAATTGCGTACACCACATTTAAAAAAAACATATGCGATACTTTATAATTTAATGTCGTGTCCATTTGTGTAAATTTTGTGTATTGGATTTATTGTAACAAAGGTGTTTTACTTTTGTTATCATATTCGGAAGTAATTTACCTTAAAAGCGTCAACTTCTAATATTGATTAACTTTCAAGGGCATCCATTATGCATGAAGAATCGGATTCCGAGTTGGAAGAAAAACTTAGGCAATTAGAAAGTGAAATATTATTAAAAAAACAAAGATTAAAAGGGACATCAAGCAAGCTACCGTTTCAAACAAGCAAGCCACCGTTTCAAACAAGTTATTCGCCTTGGAAAAAGGTAATTTTGGTCTGGTCGAAAAATCTAATGCAACTAATACTATTTCTATAAATTAGTCTAAAATTGTTGAGATACATTTCCCCCGTCTCTACAAAGCAACCGATTAAAGAAACAGATTTTTAGATAAATTTGACTTTGTGAATTTAGTTTTTTTGTGGTAACCGAACAAGTTAAAATAAAAATACGGGCGGCTTGTTAAACCATGTGTAAAGTAGTATGTATTACCAATATTTCAATGGGATTTTTGTAAATATGGACAGTTTGGATAGACACGGTGTAAGATTAATAAAGATAGTATTGTGTTTCTAAAATTTCAAGAAAACGAGATACGCCATCTTTGATAATCGATATAATAAACTTCTTCACTCATTAATTTTATGTGTTGTATGTATAGCATGCAATTCTAAACATTTAATTAAAATAGGATTAACGAAATTGTCAGATGACGTCATGGAGTTGTAGGAAGGATTGAATGAATACATTTTGATTACTGATTTACGATATTTACGACAACCTTAAAGCTTCCACAAAATTTTAGAGCACAATGATTTGGTTGTACGATTTTGAATTTTTTCCAAAAAATTAGGTGCGTAATGTTCAAAATAAAGTTAAATTAATAAATCAGAAATATAGGAGTATACGATTTTGTACGTTTAGGTAGGAGTAATAATACATTTTTTCCCTCTAAAGAGTTGATGACGTCATCTATATTCTTTTTTAGATGGAACCGGAAAGCTTTGGAGGTACGAAGAAATTAGAGTCGGGTTTTCCCCGAGCTGCTAAAAGGAAGTTATATGCAGAGGACTCTAGTGGGGTAAATATCAATCGTATTTTTATTTCAGACTTTTTAAAGGTGAATTGTTTTATGCTGAGGCTTTTTAAATATTAACACTTTTTTAACATCTATTGCTCGAATGAAAGTTAACTAAACACATATATTTCAATCTTTTCCAGCATCGTGAGAATAAGTTTCCCACTTATCAAAAGCGTCCTGCATTAATACATGGAAACAAAGAATATGAACAAACGATGTGTGCATTCTACGCCTTAAAATTAATTGCACGCGATGATGTTGAGAATTTTGAAATGACCACGAACAACGCAAAATACGAAGTTTTTGATGATATCGGACTCAACGTTAAGTTTCGCAACGGAAAAACATGCACATATCTGTTTCAATTCAAACATAAGACAGGTGCAAATTCCATCACAATAGACGATCTCAAATCAGAAAACCAACGTGACTTTTGTGCGAAAAAATATTGTAATTCATTATCGTCTCTTCGTGTCAAGGATGACGTTGTTTGCATTCTCTCTACAAATTCTTCTACGAATATTAAGCAAAATACCCAAATATCAGCAGATATTAACGTTGAAGTGCTTGACCATATCGAATATGAAGACCTACTACTCAACGTCCTAGAAGGAAAACCATCAAATATCTTTCAAGTTGTGCAAAAATTAGAAGACAAAACTCAGATGTTTTATTTTTTTACGGAACAAAATAACAAAAATGCCACTGACGTGCTAGTGCAAAAAATGTTGGATGAGATGTTACACTGTGACGTTTACGGCTCTTTTATGCACTTTATGGGCAAATGGTGGTCGAAAAACTTCGTCTTGAGCAAAGACGACGTCATTGCGAAATTAACTGAATTAGCCCTCTCACCTTACATCAAAAGTTTGAGCGGCGACCAACAAAATGCGAAAACAGAAAACCTCAGGAAAGCAATAATGAATTATTCATTAACGATTGTGGAAAATAGTGGCAAAAATGTTGTCCAAAATATATGGCCGGATGTGCATATAGAGAAAGAAGTATTAATGAAAATCAGAGACAAATTTGGACTAGGGGCAAGGGATCAGTTTAAGATGAAATGGTTTTTAGGTAAAGTGCCTTTGATTGTAGAACTGGACGATTGGAATAAAACAGTCGGATGTATAATAAAAGTAATGAATAAAAGTGCCGAAAAGAGACCAATCATCTTGGTGGGAAAAGTTACAAAAGGTCAGTTCGATGAGATTGACGTTTTTCAAGATTTATCTGACCTGATGAATAAGGCCGAAAACGAGAAACATTGTCGCGATATTTTGAGTAATTTCCACATTTCCTTACAAGGAAAAGAACCAGTTTGTTTGGAAAAATTTATTCATATTGATAGAGAAATCGCTAAGCATATTGGGGTTGGTGAATTATTGAAGATGTCTCAAGCAACTTATATAATAGGAAATGACACAGAAAATTTGCCCGAATTACGCATACCAGAAAGTGTATCTACTACTTTCGTAAATACAGAGAAAATTTTTACCCTTTGTGAATCAGAAATAAATCAAACAACGGTAATTATTAATTGGGACTCAGTAATTGAGGATCTGTCATTAACACTTAAAAAACACAATTTTGTTGAAATTTCTGACTATCTTAGTCAAGAATATGTTGCCAATAATAACGTCATTATACTTTCAAGAAAAAGCAAGGTAACACACAGAGGATTTCTTCAGGTTTGTGAAAAATCAAAAAAACCAAACGTATATCTGTTGCAAATGCTTGATTGCAAATCTTGTGTTTTGCTTTTAAAAAAAGGAAACGAGCTACCATCTGACGTTATAGATGAGCCAAAGAGTATACCAGAATGGGATGTTTTAAAATATCTCGATAGCCCACTTAACGTGGTCTGTGTTCCATCCGGAATGGGTAAATCCACATTAATGAAAGTTCTTTACAGAAATTGTCCCTCACATTATTGGGCAATTTATGTGGATCTGATAAACATTAATTCATTTTTAACGAAAAAGCCAGATTTGACAACAATGTGGAATTATTTTTTAAGTATTGAAAAACAAAAAGAAACTATGGAAGAGCAAATTAAGAATATTTTGCTTAGCAATAAAAGATTATACTTATTTCTGGATGGATTAGATAAAGTGGAAAGCAGTTACATCAACTGTGTGTTAAATTTTGCTAAAGAAGCGTCTTCAAATGGCATCAATATATGGATTTCGTCAAGAGAGGATTTACGAGATAGAGTCTCACAAGTATTAAATACGGTACCACTAAGAATACAACAATTAGATGAAGAGTACTTTAGCAAGAGATTGAAAGAAAAATATAAAAACGATGCAATATATCCAATTACGAAAATGTTGTTAGAATCCGGTGCCTCAATTAACACTCTGGACAAAGAAAACAAGAACGTTTTGCACCATGTAATAGACTCACAGGAAGACAATGGAGACGTAGTAAAATTACTAATTGAAAAAGGCATTGACGTAAATGCACAAGATCGAAATGGAACGACCGCTCTACAACTTGCATGTCGAAATGGTAATTACGAAAATACAGAAATGTTGTTAAATTTCGGTGCTTCAATTAACACTGCAGACAACAACAACAACAACGCGTTGCATTATGCATTAGAATCCTCAAAAGACACACGAGATGTAATAAAATTATTGATTGCGAAGGGCATCGACGTAAATGCTCAAAATAAATCTGGGACACCAGCTTTACATCTTCCAACAAAACGTGGTGATGATGAAATTACAAAAATGGGATTACATTCAGCCGTAAAACAACCGTTACTTCAGAAAGAAGCCAACATACAAACTTGCAAGCCATTTAAAATAACTAATTCCACTCGCGAGACCCATAAAGGTATAATGGCCTCCAGCCTAGAAGAACTAACCTCCAAAGTTAAGGAAAAGCTGCACATCTTTAGCGGAGTAACCATGGTCCTCGACAGCGACGGCACAGAAATTGACGATGAAGACTACTTCACCACTCTCCAACCGAACACAACTCTTATGGTTTTGGAAGAGGGCCAGAAGTGGATGCCCGTGGCACTCTCCTGTCGTCGTAATGTCGATCAGGTCGACGGTAGCCAAGGTGACGAGGTGATGGAACTCGTGGACAAACTACAGCACAACTTGTGCCACTTGGCTTTCCTGAGGGGCGCAGAGCTGGAGTTGCTGATTGACATGAATTTGGATTCTTTTCAGAATGCCACAGTTCCTGAGCGAGTTTTTCTCGAACATGTGAAAGAAGCTTCTGGAAGGTTATTAAGCGAGAAGCGGGAAGCCCAAGATGCCCTGGACTGTTTGAGATTGTATCGGTCCGTTTGTTAAGGTGAATCTTGAGGGTGGCCACCGTACCGTTAAAATACTTTTCGGGCACAATTCAATTCCTCAATTACTGTGGTTGAACAGTGATTGAGCAATTGGGTTATATCAGGAAAGTAATTAATCTATGTATATTGGCACCATCGGCACAAAATTCTAATAGAACATTAATGTTTTTGATATGAACTATATCACGTTTTCTTACGCCTGTGTTCATTTTATACCTTCGTGTTTACTGTTAGTGGCTTATTGTTTAGTTTAAATATGGCAAAACAAATTGTAAGATATTGTGATATTCAAATTAGATCTTTCTTTATAATTAACTACGAATATTGAATTAAATTTCTGTTAAATATATTTTGTATGTATTTTAGTAATAAACTTCGGAGTAAAAGTGGATTTCACTACCCTTTTAGAGCGGCGTCATAATTAATTAATCAATCAATTTATTGTTGATCAAATTAAAAACAAGCCACCCCATTTTCTCGAAAATGTGAGAATATGCTCGTCTTTATAATAATAAAATAATGATAAGGTAAGAATTATAACAATAACACTTAGAATATTTTATTCAATTGAGGCTTATGAATAATTTTAGTCATCTGTTTTGAGGCGATAAACTCATTCAAACCAAAGTAATGTCTACGTGACATTCTTCCGATGTATAAACATCAACATTTGAAAAGCCTGCGAAAAATTTAAAAATTCAAAGTTTGGCCTTGGCTGTGATCGTCTAACAAATAGGAACCTACGTTGTGTGTTTTTTTTTTTTGCTTTTTAAAAATGGCGGGAAGACGTTCTTTCATACAAGTGAGCATATACTGCATGTGAGTTGAGAGCGCAAGAAATAATAGACAAAATTGTTTTGGAGGGGGGAGTACGGCACCCCCTCACAGGAGGAAAGACGCTGCGAAGATTTACTCCTCAGCGCTAAAACCCCCTTTTGTTTTATTATATTTATATATTACATTTCAAACACCTTAAGATATATGAAAGAAAAACACTCGCGAATTGACAGACATACACATATGAAAAACCAACAAACGAAAATTCTATACATCTGTTTGGGATCAATGCAAATATTTGAATATCACAAATTTAATAGAACAAAGCAAAAACTGAATCAAGTAACTGGATGCAAATACACAAGTTATTACAGGCGTGTGGCGGATGATCTTTTTTTTAAGTTACGGCAGTTAACAGGAGCACAACAAAAGTACCCCTGGGGCGTTATAGCATAAGCGGAGTTTGGGCTACCGGTCTGGAGCTGTTCTCCGCCCACGACGGTGATTCTATCTATCGCAAAGCCTACCCCACACGCATATCTCCATTACGAACGTGCCCTGCTGAACTAGGCCATTACGGTCGTCCAACCCGCAAGAGGATCTAGGCTAGCACGAAATCTAGAACCCTACAACATCGGAGACCGCCCCTGAATCTATCCAAACCTGTGGACTTGTACAGGTGACACGATCAATCTCGCCAGCCCGACTAGGAACCGAACTTCGCTTCTGTCACGTTTTCTGTGTTATAACCTCAATTCCATAAATATTCAATCTCCTATAACTCTGATGTTAACAACAACTGAACAAGTGTTAAAGTTTCAAAGAGCAATAAACAACATTTAGATTCGCCATACAATCTTGTGAAATTTTAAACAACAAATAATTCTTATGTGAGATTAAAGTTGGACATCAAATATTATATATGCCAAACGATGATTTCTTTTTCTTACATTTGTGAATTAGAGCAAATTTTTGGTGAAAATTTTGAAAATATAATTTTACAAACAACTACTTTGTTGAAATTTTTAAATTTATATAAGCAAGCTACATTTGTTCATCCATGCCAAAACTTTCCATACGATTATTTGCTTGCTTTGTATGCTAGGATGAAATTATTTTATGCACTAAAATTTGTAAATGCTACCTTTAAATTTACAAATGCCAAAGGTGAAAAAATTAATAGAAAGAAAATAATTTGGCAGCATTAACTTTTTTCATTTTTGTAATTTAATTTTTATTTTATTTATTTTTTCTTAAATAAACTTGTTTCTTTTTAGATGTATTTATTACATTATTTTTACAATCATAATTAAACCTCAAGTATTCGGGGAAAGAATGTGCGAATTGTCAAATTGTATAAGTAATAAAATAAAAACTGTAACAAATCATCGTGTTTATAAATTAAATATCGACTTTTCTTTTTTCTTATTGCAATTCACGATTATACGATTTGAGTAAACTACACAGTTTGCAATAAATTGCGTACAGGAATCAATTTTTGAAATTGTAAATGAAGTGATACTTTTTAAATTGGGTGGCGACATCTAGGAATAGTTTAGGCAACGACCACCCATGACGGCTTAAAATTCGGGTCAGAAAGAACAAAGGCGCCGACACGAGCTGTCTCTACTGATTGATATCTACAGCCTGACTGGGGTTTATTGTGACAGATTTTAAGGGGTGATAGTTTGCATTATTTTGAGTAAAAAACCTGAATAACATTTACAGCTCAGACTTATTCCAAAAGAGTTATAGAATACACAAATTTCATAGCCCACCGGTTGAAAACCGCTGGAATTCACCTGATATATTGAAATTTTTACAGTTGTTTTATTAGAAACCATGACAATAAATTCAATAATAAAATAATACTTCTGTCTGACAATTTGTCAAAGTATCTGTGAACATGTTTTAATAAATTTAAGATGGATGTCAATGGGTATTCACTTAGAGAATTAGCGGACATTCATTTAATTTATGGAGAGGCACGCGGAGTAGCCCGTGTGGCAGTGCGTTTGTATGGCACTCGTTTCCCTCACCGACGGTTACCCTCAAGAAGAATGTTTCAAGATCTGCACCAGTGACTCCAAGAAACGGGATCCTTGTTACCTAGAAGAGTCGAACGAGGTCCACAACGCCCTCAGCGAATTGTCAACATTGAAGAAGAGGTGTTGGATGTTGAACATGATGATCCTGGAATTTGTACAAGATGCCTTGCCAAACGATTTAATGTGTCTCAATGGACCATTTGGAGAACACTACGAGAACAGTTGTTATATCCATACCATGTTCAGCGTGTACAAGCTCTATCTCCAGCTGATTATCAACCCCGTTTTGCATTTTGTAGTTGGTTTCTACGAAAGGTAGAAGAAAATCCAGACTTTCCTCGTATTATTTTGGCATCAGACGAGGCAGGATTTACGCGTCGGGGAATTTTTAATTATCACAACGTTCACGTTTGGGCAGATGAAAATCCGCATGCCATAAGACAAACCCGTTTTCAGCAGGAGTTTTCAATTAATCTATGGGCCGGTATTGTAAACAATTATCTTATAGGACCTTTTGAACTACCCCCGCGGTTAACGGGTGCCATTTATTGGCGATTTTTAAGAAGAAATTTACAGGAATTGTTGGAAGAAGTGCCGCTACATATCCGGGAAAGTATGTGGTTTCTACATGATGGGGCGCCACCTCATTTTAGCCGTCTGGTACGACAGTTTTTAAATGTTCAATTCCCTGAAAAATGGATCGGGCGAGGCGGGGCTCAGCATTGGCCTGCCAGATCTCCCGATTTGAATCCGCTAGATTTTTTCTTTTGGGGCCACATGAAGTCCTTGGTTTATACAGAAGAGATCAGAACAGAAGATCACCTCAGACAACGAATCCATGAAGCCACCAATATCATTCGCGGGGACCCGGAAATGCTCCAACGAGTGCAGGAGCAATGGATTCGTCGTGCCAATGCTTGTGTGAGAATGAATGGAGCTCATTTTGAGCATTTGCTTTAATAAGGTGTTTAAAAATAAATAAAATTACTAACAGTAGTATTTAATTTTTTCTACTTAGTAAAATTTAATATTACATAGTACAGTGGTTCTCAAACAGTGGAGACACATAAAGTTCTGACTTAACCATACGTTTTAGACCAAAATGTTATTAGGGTTTTAGAATCAAAATAATGCATATTGTAATCCTTTAAAATCTGGCACAATATACCCCAGTCACCCTGTATACTGTGATTCCCTTTTCGTGATTGAAATTTTTTTTTTCAAATTCAAATTATTCAAATGTGATTTCGCGCCGCTGTTAATTAACTTCAGCGCGAAAACTTTGATTTAAATTCGGTCACCACATCACTCACAAAAAAATAAAAAACAACTTGAGGAACATAAACATTTTGCTTATTATTTTTAATAGTTTTCACAGAATACAATTTGTTTACAATTTTCACTAAAAGGTTGCTGCAAGTAAAGGCCTCGCCACATAGGCTGTGCTATGCTATGCTTATATTAAAACGTTATGTCTATGCTATGTATAAAATACATTCACATAGCATGAACATTACAGATGGTGTTCACAACAGCCATAGCATAGTGCATAGCATAATACAACACGTGTGTTTAAATAGTTCGGGAAAGTGGTTGCTAATTTTGTTGGTGTAGCGGTTCATTAAAAAAATGGATGAAGAGAACCTGATCGAATTAATTAGACTTTATTATTATTCTGTGCAATGTGCAGTACAATGTAGAAATACAACCAATAAAAAAAGGAAATTAAAAAGGCCGAGACGTTGGTGGGTCCGCCCGCTTTAAACACATCATCAAAAACAACAACAGGGTGCATTTCATAATTTAATAGAAGAAATGAAATTAAATGACCAAGAAAGCTTTTTCGTTTATACACGAATGACACCACAATATTTTGATGAATTGTGTGCAATACTGTTTGAAGATCTTCGAAAGAAAAGCATTCGGCCATCAATAGAACCTGCCCAACGGTTAATGATTACATTAAGGTAGGAGACGTTTATTTTGTGGATGTAAATTGTAAAAGTTGATAAACATTTTTCAGGCATTTAGCAACAGGAGAATCATACCAAAGTCTTGCGTTTGCATACAGATGTGGCCGATCTACAGTGAGCAATATTATACATGAGACATGTAACGTAATTTGGAGGAAACTTAAAAACACATATTTAAAATTTCCTTCAAGTAGTGAAGAGTGGACCAGTATTAGCAATGATTTTAATAATAAATGGAACTTTCCGCATTGTGTAGGAGCTATTGATGGCAAACATGTTGTATGTGAAGCTCCATCCAACTCTGGTATGTATTTTATAAAACTTAAAACTAATTTATCTACTTTATGAATATTTGTTTGTAGGCAGCCTTTATTTTAATTACAAAAAAAATTTCAGCATTGTACTTATGGCAGTGTGCAACGCAAATTATGAATTTATCATGATTGATGTAGGAGCTTTTGGCTCTCAAAGTGATGGTGGGGTATTTGCCGCTTCTGAATTTGGAAAGATGTTACATAATAATACATTAAGCTTACCAACCCCAACACCACTTTACCCAGGTGGTGAGAGACTACCATTTTGTTTTGT